GGGCTCTCAACACTTCAGAGGGGCTTTCATGAACAAATAACCATACATATCTTTAAAAAAAAAAAAGCTTGCTAAATTTGCATAACAACGTTCAAAAGAGGATAACTTTCCTTAAAGATACAATTGAAAGAGGTCCCAAATCCACATCAACAGTTGCATAAGACATTACACTTGAAATAAGATCACAAACAAAAACTTTTACTCAGGATAGTCATTTTCATATTTCAATTTTTTAATCAATAAATTGAAAGTAGTCGAGTGTCTGTGCAATCGAGACACCTTGCGCAAGTTCCTAGCAAAAAATATTTCAACTAATATGAATAAAATACATAATCTAAGGCTCACAAAATATTACATTGTCGGCCTCTTAATTTCATAGGATAAAATTTGTATGTACATTTTATACAGCAAACAGGGTAGAACATATGACTTGTATAAAGCGTTGTCCGAGAGAGATAGAGAAAGAGAGAGAGAAAGAGAGAGAGAAAGAGAGAGAGAGAGAGAACGATACATCATTATGAGATTACATGCATATTTTTACACAGCTTTACAAATAGTAAATTCTCATGACGAAGTAGTTTACATAACAAGTTTAATGCCAATTTTGCATTGCATGTTTAATGCCACAGACATTCCAATTCTGCTGTTGTAAGACTAGAGCCAATATAATTATAATTCCTTATTAAGGAAATTGAACCATAGGCGATTGCAAGAAAGCAAATTAGAATATGATAGACCAGTTTAATAATGAACTTAAATTCATGTACAGTTCTGTCTAGAAACAGTACTAGAAAATTGTCTGCTTAATGGGACAGTATCTCTATTAATGGATCCAACTTCTATACATCAGTCGTTGCATCGTCAGGCATGCTTTAAGTCATACACAAGTATTTAGGTTTTTTCTAAGAAGTATGCATAAATTTGAATTCCTTTGTAAACTGGTCTATCATGTACAGTATTACAAGGACCATAAATTATCTCACTCTCTCCACAATGTACACAATTTTTTTTTTAAAGGTAATCTTTAGTTCGAGCAATGCAACTATATATCAAGAGAACCATCCTATTAAGGATGTTTTGTCTCTTTTGCAGACCTAAAACCCTGAAGTATCATTAATCCTGTGCTATATCGAAGAGGTCTAGTCTGTGATAAGGAACCTCTGATCACATGAAAAAAATGGAAATGGGCTTTCAATGAATAAATTTGCATGTTTAATTGCAGATCTTTATTTTCTAGACTCAAAAAATATTTGTACATAATTGAAAATTAATTTGACTGTTATATCTGACGATTTTCAGGGCAATTTCTTCCATGACATTATAATCTTATACCTCATTCTTTCGCAAAATTAGCAACATCACGTATTTCTACATACCACAAAAAAAATCATGTGTATACATGAAAACTTAATCTCAATTTAAAAAAAAATGATATATGGTCAAGCAGTGCAATCATTCTATGATTAGCAATACAACAATATTGCAAAATACATTAATTTCCTTATTGATAAATACTTGTACAAAATAAAAAGGAAAGCAAAACAAAGGAAAAAGCATTCACTCTTACACATTACAAGATGCAAGAGTAATAATACCAACAAGTAAGTATCTTAAAACTTTCCTTTGTTTTTATGTCAAGGGATGTATTTTTTTACCACTTCTGTAGTTTATTGTTGAATACTTGTTGTCCAAATAGTTGCAATATTTTACACTCTACAACATGTGTATTCAACAAAAAATTTCAAGGAGGAAGGATTACATGGGAATACATGGTTCGGATTTTGGCAAATAAAAACAAATAAAAAGAAAGAGATCCTCCATTGAGCTTTTTGTAACATACAATTACATGTAAGATTCCAGCAATTCCAATAATAATTAATAAATTTCATCTAGTGTACATCTTAAAATTAACTTTACAAAATTCATTTTATGAGAACTGTAATAAATATTTAAATCATCATCGACTTGATTCAAGGAATGTGTCTAAACTTAATGATTATACGAACTATTGTCACAAAAATTTTGTTTGTAAGAACAATTAACATATTCTTATTTCACAAACTTAGAAAACAATAATGATATTTAGGTGAGAAATACTGAAGCAAAAAATGGCTGATAAACTGGGACAAAAGTGTAGCATCGTTACATAAAATAAATTATAAAGTAAATGTATAACCTATAAATCCTAACTTGACCGTGTACAAAAGTAAAATAATACAGGTACGAGCACTGTATTTGGACTATTAAACATGGAGTGACTACCGAACTAACGCTAAGTCATATTTCAAGAGAGCACATACCCTGTATAGTATGATAACGATTCAGTATTTAGCAAAAACAGAGCAATTATACTACTATAGCCAGAAGCGGGGGCTGTTTAGGTAATTATATATAACACAAACGTGAACGCAACTATTTTCAAAGAAATCGACTGAAGGGCTGTTTAAAAACCCTATTGTATGCCCCACAGAAATCATGTTCAGATTTTGTACTGCATAATTCTCATGTCTGCACATTTCATTTCTATGGGTGAAACACAAGGCTACAGAAATCACCATGGGTTTATTTATTTTTTAGGAAGTAGTTGCTTTTATGTTACATGCGTGAATCAATCACATTTTTAAAGTCAGTTTACGATGAATTCTGCAAGACATATTTAGAGCCAACACCACAAGTGCCGTACAAAAGTAAATGAGAAATCATCATCATCATCATATATATTTTGGGAAGTCCCCACTTCCCTATACTACACACAATACAAAGTTGGCTACAGCTGATTGTGTGATCGTACTTTATTCCAAGCGAGTCCTGTGATGCAAGGCACTTGAGAAATGCATATCTCTAATCAAACAAATCGCGCACACAAAGAAGTAGAATCATGAACTAGATTTTGTTTTTAGAAAAAACGTTATCTCCTTCCTCTATGACCTGTACTACCGTACTTTGTTGCAATAGTATCATGATGTTGCAATAAGTACTCTGCTGTTGCAACAACTTCTGATAGACCTATTCGTAATGTAACCAAATTTATGTACACCCTGTATATGCCTTTGTAAAGTGCCTTGTTACCAATTATTTCATTCACCTGTTTACGAGTAATTGTATTTCACTAGTCAGAATGAGAATTGGATACATTCTGTGTTGTTACATAGGACAAGCCATGTTTGTCCTACCTAGCAACAACTAATGTATGAAATTTGAATTATAACTATCGAGATACATTTATTCTTAACAGGTGAATGAAATCATATGTATTGAGGCACTTCAAAAAGGCATATGAATGAATTGGGTTACTTTACGAAAATAGCCTATTGCTTGTTGCAATATCCATATCCTTTTAGTAAACCATGAACATGTAACATACCTTCTGGCAGAATGTGTAGAACCACATCACATATCTGTCCGGAGCAAGAAAGGCACTAACTCTGTGTTAAAGTATATGAGTTAACACCCTTCTGGCTCCTAACAGACAATAAAATAATAAGAGGAAATACTTCCAAGAGATCAATCACCATTTTACAAACGCACCGTACTTCATTCAAAAGAACATGACGTACTCAGTAATGTACTTTATACATATATCAAAACTTGGTCATAGTTCATGAACACGATGCTGAAATGTCCTGTGTGACTACTAAGTGTTGACTATTATCTGCATCACAATTCATGTCTCATGTTGGGTTAAAAAAATTACTTATGAAACAGGTTCCCTAGAATACATATCTGAATTTAAATAGCAATCTCAAGTCATTCAAGTAAGTTTACTGAAAAGTATCACAACTGAATGGCTGATTTAACATCATTCATGTACAACCTTCAAGAGCTAACAAGGTAGAAAGTAAATATAGAATGAAATCAATGAATCATTTTACTTGATGATAAAAATCAGTACAGCGAAGTTTTGTGAGTGATATTGTTGCAGTGTAGCCCGAAAAGCTAAGATCGGTTTCCACTGTTGACCTTGTATTGATTAGCTGTTGCTGACAATGAATATTTAAATATAAAGGAAGAAAAACATCTATTTCCATACTACAAGCAAAACCCTGCTTTAGATTGTACACATGTTTCTTAATCCACAGAGACAATAGAAGTGAATGTTGCATACTGAGTGGATGGACTGAAAAAGGAAGCAAACTTATACTATACTATCATACTATGTTCTCACATAAAAGCTTGATAGTGAACAGACTTTCTAACAGTTGAAGTTCAAAGCAATTTGATTCCAATTAATTTTGTGGCAAAAAGGAATTTGTTTCACTTTGAGAAAGCTTAAATAAAATAAAATTGTTAAACTTTGGTTTGTCTTGGAAATCATGCATATGGCAAATGGATCCATTAAGTATGTGCATGGATTTTGCCGGATAATGCAGCTACAATTATATTTTTTCCTTCAACTCTGCCTTTACCCTTTTAGTAACCTAGAGACCTTTGAGAGAGTAGATTGACTTCAACAGCTTGTTCATTAGAAGCTGAAGTTCTCTTGTGAAACTAGGAAGCCAGTACAGACGTAAAACCTGACTCAATAGTGACTCGTAATGGATGGAACTGGTGCCATGAGCAGTCACATCATTATGCATCGATGAGAATATCTCAACAATACCTGCATGGCATGAAGTCCCTGTCTCTTTAAGATGATGATACAGTTAATGACAGCCAAGGATAAAACCCATGCATTGATTTCACTTTACAAGTTCAAGCCAGGAGGTCAGAGGAAACACCTAGCCGGAGAATCTCTTAGTCATGGATGGAAAAGGTGATACTCATCGTCAGTCACATCATCATCATACATGTACTTGAAGGAGTACATCTGAACAATACTTGCATGGCCTGAACTTGAAGTCCCTGTCTCTTTAAGATGATGATACGGTTAATGACAGCCGAGGATAAAACCCATGCTTGGATTTCACTTTACAAGTTCAAGCCAGGAGGCCAGAGGAAACACAAACCGGTAGCCAAAGAATCTCTCAGTCATGGATGGATCAGGTGATATAATGTACATTGTCAGTCACATCATCATACGTCACGTCACGTCACGTCACGTCATCATACGTGAAGGAGTACATCTGAACAATACTTGCATGGCATGAAGTCCCTGTCTAGGATGGTGCTCCGGTCGATGCTCGTTGCGGAGGATCCCATTTCCTGTAGGAGCTGGATGATCTGCTGTGCCGTGTGCTCGCTGCGAGGGAGCTGTTCGGGTGAAGGTAACGCTGCTGTCTGGTAATGGTCGTCTGCGAGCGATACGTCTTCAAAGCTCCCATCGCCATCTCCACTCTCTGTGGATGACGAGGGCCAGTCCATGTCTATCAAAAGACAATAAAATGAACAATATATTAAAGATAAAAGAATATGACACATACTACACTTAAAAGAGAGAGAGAGAGAGAATAGGGGAGAGGGAAGGGGAGAGGGGGAGAGGGAGGGAGAGGAGAGAGATAGAGAGATAGTGAGAAAGAGAGAGAAAGAGAGAGAGAGAGAGAGAGAGAGAGGCAGGGAGTCAGAGTCAGAGAAAGGAAGCATAATCAAGAGAAAAAGATGGAAATTAAGAGAGAGGGAGGGAGAGAAGGATGAGAACCATTCAATGTCTACCAAAAGACAATCAAAATGAACAAAACATTCAGACCAATCTATTTCACACATACTATACACTATCATGTATCTGTAAAGCCCATTGCACACTATACGATCTGACTACGATCCGACTTTGGACAAATTTCCGATAGTATTTGATGTGAACATGAAAACTTGTAAAAAGTAAAAACACAATGATTAAGGATCTGAATAGTCAAAGGATTACTAAAATCTAAATTTCAATCGTGTCAAGCTTCCTTGGGGAGGAAAAGCTCAATCGCCTCAGAATCCCAATGATGTCAGACCAGTCGTGCGATTGTCTACGATTTGAAACTGATTCTGCTTTAATTCTGAGTAGAATGCTTAATTGCACCGAAATTCCAAAAGTTAAAATTCATATATTATTTAGAATGTAAATCAGGAAGACTAACACTTCTTCAAAAATCAGATCGCAGGAAAGATTGTATAGTGTGCGGTAGGCTTAAGGCTCTTTAAGAGCTATTAACATATTGTTTTGTTCTTATGTAACCTAAAGAATTTTCAATTCTTATACACCTTTTTCATATATATGTGAATGTTTTATAAGTTCAATACAATCAAATACCCTGCCCTGTGTCTGTGAAATATACTCTGAGAAAAATTTTGCCAAAGCTTTTTTCATGTTTTTCTTCTATCCTTTTCGTATTTTCCATTTATTTTCGTTAAGTAAAATTTGCCTTGTTACAACATTCTTAAAAATACTGATTCTATCCCTCAGTAGATAGATGAATTTATATTTGACATTGATTAAAAAAGAATCACTGAGATAAAGTCCCAATTTCATATAGAACTATAAAACAGTAATCTCTCTCTGATCTTTCTGCCTTATACTAGTGACCTTTGACCTTTCTACCTTACGGTATACTAATGGCCTCTGGAATCATGTGCAGTAGGATTGCAAAACAGAGGAAACTATAGATGATTGAAATGGTGACTACAAGAACTAAAATTTAATTTCATCTGTCTCTTGCTTATTATCCAACTCGATAAGAAAGAAAGAAATTTATAATTATGGATATCTGTACACTAATAAATCAATCGCGATAACATCTTAACAAATGAATTTGAAGTACATGCAAATACTATACAAGTACAAGGGCTTTAAATAATAGTTTGACAATGCAAAAACACTCGATGCACTGCGTAACCTTTTCCTAAAGAGTCCTAATATCTTGAACAAACATGTAGAGGATTTCTTTTGATCTTCTATTGATTTTGAAGATGTGATCTTTGAACCCCTGATAGCCTGGGATGTTATCAGTGTGCAGAAGGTTATGAGATACGAGGACACGGCAGGGCAAATCATATCGGGTGATATGTGGAGATTACCTAATGCTCATTTGAACAGCTATTTTTTTCTCATGAAGAGATATCGATTGATTAGCATTTAAAGGTACATGTAGTCTGAGTTCTGTTAATGACAAAAGACAATTACTTGTCAAATGAATAAATTTCTTGATTAATTTGGGTATAATGAGTATAAGAGCTGCATAATTAGCAAAGAAAGATAATATTAATAATAATGAATTCATATAGCGCATTTTCCATATACATATTCAAATGCCTTTACTTTTATATCAAGAGATAGAGTCATGTGATTTTGTTGATAGAAAAGGTTCATGAAAAGGTTTTTGGCTTAGAAAAGCCTTGTTAATCAATGATTAAAGTCGAGACCATGGCCTATATGCTGAAATCATAGCCATCATAATAACAAACATACAAAAACAAAGACAAAGACAAATAAACAAAAACACGACAGATTTCAATCGGCCATCTGATCAACTAGGCAATGATTGATGGCAAGACCATGGCCTACATCTTCATAACAAAAACACAAAACCAAAGACAAACAAATACCACCAACTACAGATTTCAATTAGCAATCTAATCAACTTCTTTACTTGGTAATGATTGGTGTCGAGACCATGGCCAACATGTTAAAATCATAGCCATCGCAATAACAAACACAAAAACAAATATTTAAAAACCGCCGGATTTAGATTGGCAATCTTATCAACTTGGTAATGATCGGTGTCAAGACCATGGTCAACATGCTAAAATCAGAGCCATCACAATAACAAAACAAAAATCCAACCATTTCTTTCTTACATATTATTATGCCTTCAAATGATCCAATGAAAAAAGAATTTTCTGTTGTATGATAGATGAATCAATAAATTCAAGGTGGCTGTCCAACATACAGCAACCAAATTCTAATATTTTACTGTCAATATTTGACTATTTTGTTAACTGCAACCAAAATACAATAATTATGTATAAAGTAGTACTTCTATTATATTTACTTCATGTTGATGTTACTGTTTTTATTAGGGAATTATGGAATTGAATAAATGCTGAATTGTTGAATTATTATTCAATTCAATTCATTTCAATTGACCATCTATTTAACTTGGTAATAATAAACCCTTAAAAAGTGAAGAAATATCCTGAAAAAGCTTACCATTCTGATTGGAATGCTCCATCTTTTCGTCTGCTTCTTCGGCGTGTTCAATCTTGAAAGCATTCCTTGGATCTTGAGGTGGACTGAGAGCCTTCTTGATCTCACTCTGATGGGCGTAGGGGTGCAGGTGCTGCTTCTCCTGTAGTAGCTGGACTACGAGGTTCTGGAGCTGGTTCAGCTTAGCCTGTAGATGGAGTGACAGTGAGAGAGGGGGAGAGGGGAGGGACAGAGAGAGAGAGAGGGGGGGGGTGGATGAAAGAGGGATGATATAGATAGATACAGAGAGAGAGTGATAGAGAAAGAGAGAGAGAGAGAGAGGGAGTGATAGAGAGAGAGAGATAGAGAGAGAGAGGGAGGAAGTGATAGGGAGGGAGAGAGGGGGAGATGGAGGAAGAGAGAAAAGGAAGGTGGATGACAGAGGGAGAATGAGAGAAAGAAAGAGGGAGGAATGATGGAGATAGAGAGAGAAAGAGAGAGAGAGAGGGAGGAGGGAGCGAGAGAGAAATAAGGAGGAGGGAGACAGAGGGAGAAGAGGAAGAGAAAGAGGAAAGAAAGGAAGGAAGGAGGAAGGGAGGGAGGGAGAGTGAAAGAGAGAGAGAGAGGGAGAGGAAGGGGGAGGAGGAAGAAGAAGCAAGAGGAAACAGATATACAAAGAGTCAGAGTCAGAGAAAGAAAGCAGGATCAAGAGAAAAAGAAAGAAAGAGATATGGTGGGAAAAATGGATAGTTGATAAAATACATTGTCACTATGAACTAACATAGGATTACTATATAACATATGAGACTTTGGAACTGGACATCATATGGAATAGCCATATTTTTCACAACTTTAGTCTTCATTGTATTAAAAAGAAACATTATTGCTAGAGCACACGTCATGTTTCTCTGTTTTGCATCAGAATGAGATTTCTACATAATATTGTAGATTGGTTGATCCTGAATATATTGTCACAAGTATGAACTAGAAGGTGTTCGGTTTTAGTTGTAATATTCTCCCGCTTGTTATCATTATTCCTGACACAAACTACTTGTGCATGTACATAGGAACAAGTAGGAAATATCACAATATATGCGAAAGAGGAACAACAACCAACTTTGGTCTTTCCATAAGCTGCTTATCTGAGGAATTTTTAAACATCGATATCTTGTATAGATAAAACAAGTTCAACAATGGCTCAAAGGTCACCTTGATCTCGGTTCAGCTTTATCAGATTAGGGCCCGGTTTCATAAAACTCGTTATCAATAACAAATGCTATATTTCTATGGCAAATTGGCTCTCAGCCAATCAAATGCCACGATTTCAGTAGCTTATAACAGTTATTGAAAATTGTTATTGATAACAAGTTTTATGAAACAGGGCCCAGAAAAAAACAATGTAATTGTAAATATCAAAGTATATATCTATAGCGGAATCATCAATAACTCATCAAGTTTTCAAGTTATTTACACAAGTTTAAAAAAGATTATTAGACTTAGAAATATCTTGAGTTCAATTCTTATCAAAAAGCTAACCCAAATTTAACCTATCTACATGTACATTGTCAGGGCAAAGGGATCTATGAGCCATTTACCAACGTTTGAACAAATATTACTCTCATCAAAAGACTAGAAGATAAACCATACCCATGTGAAGCTTTAAGATATATATCTTGTTACCTTTATGAACAGATATTGTTTTGAAGGTGTGAACTTTGGGTTGAAATATGCCATGTGATTAGCTATCAGGTGGTTATGAGTAATCTAGATCACATCCATCAAAGGTGAATTAAGGTTCTTGACTGTATGAATCAAGTAAATCTATTATGTTGATGCTCTGATATACTCATTTATCATTTGGTTAATTATACATGTATATGTACATATTCACATGATAAAGCATGTACTGTAGCCAAACAATGAAATGACCTCTAAATGACATAGATTTGTGATTTCCTTTGTCCTTGCTTGTGACGACATTGTAATATCTTTTGACAACAACACACAACTGAAAAGCAATAGGTGTACTCAAAATGATTACCTCACTTTACCAAATCATTAATTAGATGTACATGTAAATGTGCTGTACTGTCCTGTTTGGCGCTACGATTTATAATCTTCAAATGTAATTGATAAAGCGTGTTTCCATATTATATTATGATTTCACTAGAACCAATACCAGAATACCTCCTTATGACCATTATTCAATCCAATTAACCACCTTTTTTTAAAGATTCTAAAATAAATACTTTGATTTTACAATCTAAAGGAATCCTACATCATCATCAGCATGGTCATTATTTGTCGTCATCATCATCATCATCATCATCATCATCATCATCATCATCATCGTCAATTATCATCATCATCTGTCGTCGTCGTCGTCGTCGTCGTCGTCGTCACCACCACCACCACCACCACCACCACCACCACCACCACCACCACCACCACCATCATCATCACCACCATCATCATCATCATCATTGCCATCATCATCATCATCATCATCATCCATCTTCATCACCATTGTCATCCATCGTCATCATCATCATCATTGTGATAAAAAATTAATCAATTTTGTTCATACCTCCATATCTTCTTTCTCTCTTGCCAATGTAGTGACAAACCGTTCTCTATCGTCCTGCCTCCTCTTCATAATGTCCCTCTGATTGTGATATAAGGTGATGTATTCTCCTGCAAATAACGTCATAAATAATGTCATCATAAAAACCTACTTGTATTGAGTGAATCAGACAATCAATACCTTTACTACAATACAATAAAGATGTCATATTATGGATTGACCTACACGTAGAGTACAACATTTATTATTCTACACACACACACATAAATATATATATATATATATATATATATATATTATAATTGGAGAAATTGGCATTCACAAGTTAACAATCATGAAAATCTGATTCAATTCTCTTCATTATATTTTACCAATACTACTCAATTAAAATATCTATTTGTGACCATTAAACTTATGGAAAGTGGGATACTGTTCCACGTTTTCAAGGAAGCTACTGTATAATGTTTTTCGGTAGATGAGAGTCTAGTCTGGGTTTAAGAATAATTATTTTATATTTGTCAGTTGTTGACCAAAGGTTGAGTGCCGCATCTTGCACTCATCGGAGTAACTGCCAACGTTTGAAAATAAGAATTAGGAATTTCTAGCAGGGTTGGCACGGCCTTACCATGGCCATGTATGTAGCAGCAGTGTAACTGACTATACGTGGTAAATCTGTACAAAAAGCGAATACAAATTTGCTGCTCAATTGTGCAGGCATTCAACGCATGCAATAGAGGAACTCTCAAATCAAGGTACATGATAAAACAAGCTAAATTTGGCTTTTAAAAAAATATTTAAAAAATTGGTCTTTCATAATTTTGAAAAATCTGAATATTTGAATTTGTAGGGTCCTAACAATCCAGAAAATCAGAATATTCCGGTTAACTTGGAAGGGTTGGCAGGTATGCGCAAATGAAGTGAAATGAACGAACCTATCGTCTCTGTTTCTCCAGCCAGCTGGAGATTGACGTGCTCCAGCTCCTGGATCCTATCGTCGAGCTCCGCCCTTACTCTCATCTCATAGACAAACTTCTCCTGGAGCTTCTCCATGGCCAGCTCCAGGGTCTCGTACGCTTCCTGCGTGACGGGACTCTGCGCTCTGCTGGATCCACCTGAACGATTCAATGAGGTCAAAGGTCATATGAATTATAATTTGGATACATATATAGAGTCAAAACTGCTTTAGTGACCACCTGTGTAAAGAGACCACATTTTTGGTTTCCCTTGAAAATGGTTTCTCATTGAAACATGTACTAAACTGAAGGAACCTGTCTACAAAGACCACTTTTGGTACTTCCCTTGGGCGGTCACTAGACGCGTACACAGGGGGGGGGGGGGTTTGGAGGGGTTAAACCCCCCCCCCCCCCCCCCTTGGTATTTTTTTGTGTGTAAACCCCCCCTAAAATTCCCTAACCCCCCCCCCCCCCCCTTTTGAATTTTTTTTTTTTTTTTTTATTAAAAAAAAAAAAAATTCCCATGGCTGACCTCAAAAAGATGACCTTACCCCCCCCCCCCCCCCCAATGGAGCAAAATGTCAAATTTTCAAATTTCGATACCAAAAAAAAGAAAAAGTGTCCTCCCCCCCCCCCCCCCCCCCCCCCCCCCCCCCCCCCCCCCCCCCCCCCCCCCCCCCCGCTTATTCAGCGGCTGGCTGAGTCGTTGCGAAATTTTCGGCCTGATTTATAAATGTTAATACCCTCCCCTTGAAAAAATCCTGCGTACGCGCCTGGCGGTCACTGTAGACAGGTGTGACTGTAGAACTTGATTGAAATAACGTCTCTATGCACTTTACAGATATCATTATTATCCTGGTTATCGGATTCATTCACGCACAATGTACTCCATCTCCGCTCTCTGGGGAGTATTCCTACCATATGGTCACTATGAGGACATATGGTAATTACTAAAACGAAGGCTTACGTCATCCTACCAGGTCCCCATTCTTCTCCTGGGTATGGAGTGGCAAATCTCATGATCTGACTATGACTGCATTTTCCAGGAATTGAAACATAAGTAGATACAGAGTTTAATGTGAACTATTTCTTTTTTAAGTTTGAAATTGCCATGGTAAAAAGTAACATCCAATTACCCAATTTACCCAGTCTTGTTAAAGGCATTGAAGTTCTAAAGTTTTACTCATTTTTATTGTTATTTCCATATCAAATGTCAAAGAATGATAAGTGTGGATATTAATACACCAGTATACCACTAGTTCTCATATGTAGCCTGGGCATTATAATAATAATGATAATAATATTAATAATAATAATAATAGCTCACATTTATAATAATACTTTGTTTCTAGGCGCAGCACATATTATTACCCGGGTCATCGGATTCAGGCTTACCGGCAACACAATGTATGCACATTTTCCACTCCCTGGGGAGCATTCCAGCCAGTCGCCATTTTACAAGTGCCACTTGCTAATCCAACCACATTAACTTTCTTATCCTACCGGGTACCAATTTAACACCTGGGTGGAGAGTGGCAAATGTAGATCAATGATGTTATTGTCCATTGATGGCTCACCTGAGTTATATCTGAGTTGATCTGTTTCTTTAAGTAGATGTTTGTACTCTTCCTGCTGGTCATCCAAAGCTTGCCTTAGATGGTCTCTCTCCATTTCAAGCTGTCTGATAGCAGCCGACAAGGAGTCAACCTGCAACAAACAATATTGTGATACAACCATGTTAATCTTGAAGGCAGTAAGTCACTTTCGCAGACTTGTGCATACTCTATGAAACTTGGCGAGCGTTTAAATTACATCCTTCAGGAATTGTGTGTAAAATGTTACAATAACAGGTTCAGGAACTTCCTTGTAAGAAAGGAAAATCTAGCCACGTTTTCATATTGCTGCATAGGAAGCTACTCTCAAATCAACAGATAAAATGGTCAAATAAATTTTTTATGAAATCAAATAAGTACGATTAGGATAAGGGTTGCTATTGGTTTTTTTGTTAGGCTTAGGGTTGGGGTTAGGTATAGTATTTGATCAAGGGCTACAGGAAAGAATTCAGCAACTGTTGGAAATTGAAGTGCAGCATTGTTGCAAGAGCATATGTCATTCAATCATTTGGACAATGAGTAGCTTTTTCTTCTTCCTGATAACGAAACAGGTACATCAATTTCAAGTTTATTTCCATAGCAGATATCAGAATATCTACATTAAAAACTAGATGGAACTTCGACTGCGTGCAGTCGAAAGTGATGCCTCCGTCGTAGAGCAATTTTACAAACCAAAACGGAAGAAATTTTTCAAATTCAAGTTCGGTTGTAATCCATTAACATGTTCTCAGATTATCGTGATTACAAGCTATTTCTCATATACATGTATGACCCTTTGATCTTTGACCTCATGACCCCAAATGCAAGATACATACATGTCTTGAGTTTGATGGTAATCCATCCATCGGTTCTAATGATAATGCAATCACAAGCTATTTTTGCATACATAATGAGCCCCATGACCTTTGACCTTGACCTCATGACCCCAAAATCTAATCAGTTCATTGCCTCAGCAAGATACATACATGTCCCGAGTTTCATGGTAATCTGTCCATCTGTTCTAATGATAATGTGATCACAAGCTATTTTTGCATACATGAGCCCTGTGACCTTTGACCTATGACCCCAAAATCTAATCAATTCATTGGCTCTGCAAGTTACATACATGACCAAAGTTTGGTAGGAATCCATCTGTCGGTTCTTGAGATAACGCGATCACAAGCTATTTTTACATACATAATGAGCCCTGTAACCTTTGACCTTTGACCTCGTGACCCCAAAATCTAATCAATTCATTGGCTTTGCAAGTTACATACATGACCAAAGTTTGGTAGGAATTCATCTTTTGGTTCTTGAGATAACGCGATCACAAGCTATTTTTGCATACATAATGACCCCTGTGACCTTTGACCTTGTGACCCCCAAATCTAATCAATTCATTGGCTCTGCAAGTTACATACATGACCAAAGTTTGGTAGGAATCCATCAGTCGGTTCTTGAGATAACGCGAACACGAGAACGGGACGTACGTACGTACAACCCGAAAACATAATTCCTTGGCTACTTCGTAACGGAGGCATAAAAATGAAACAGAGAATTAACACTTGAAATTCTCACTGCTTTGGGACTTCTCAATATTTCCTTGTATATTATTAAGAGTGCCTACCATATCTTCTTTCCTCATCTTTTGACCTTCTCCGTCTGTTTCATCTGAGGACGATGGTTGGTAGCTCTCTAAATTGGCAATCCTTACTCTTAGCTGACTGTTTTCACTGCTCAGAGACTGAAGCTGGTCCTAAAAAATATATTAAAAATATTTTTAAAAATTAGGTTCTTCTGTCAAGGCACAAAATGGACAAGATAAGAAAACGGAACAGGACAGACAATTCTGGTAAGAAGACTTAATGTTGTAGGTCCCCTGGTTGCTTGCTTACATGCATACACATGCTTCTTAGCAGTCTGGTAAATAAACAAACCAACCAACAAGTTTGGAAACTTAGAGGCACCGTAAGGGTTCGAAACCATCGTGGTCCGACCTACCTGAGCTTGTTTGAGATCTGTCCTGAGGGATTCGTTGACTCCGCCTTGAGCTTCAAAGTGTTGAGCTCTATCGGCCAGGGTCGCATGCTGCATCACCTGTTTGTTCAACTCGTACGTCTGCGTCTTGGCATTCTCCAGCTCTCGCTCGGTGCCTTCAAGCTGTGAAACGAGTTGGTAACAGTATATTATTTGTATCATTTGAGATGTGTTCACACTTGTACAAGCATTGCTTTTTAATGGACCCCTCTGTTTTCAACATGTATTTCTACCTTGGTTTTAAATGCTTATAATTGATATATAATGTTTTGTTGGAAACATGAATGAATTGAAATTGAAATTGCAATTGAAAAATGTAAAGAGAATGTTGTGGGGTCGGGTGTCCGGACACTTGATAAACCTAAAGCCTTCTCTTTTGCCTTCAGATTTAACGCATAACATTCATCAAATAAGCACAAACCATCATGGATATTTGTCCTTTCTATATTGTCTCGAATAAGTCTTAGAAGATTTATGAAAATTAAAATCTTCGAATTGCTGCTTTAAAGCCCCATGGGGGACCAAGGGTCACCGATTAGGCATTGTTTGCTATATAGAGGGCGCAAGTAGCTATAAGAATTGCAGTGGGGCTTTAACAAACAAAAATGCCTTCTCTTTTGCCTTTGGCTTTAACACAAAATATTCATCAAATAGAACTAGCCATCCTGGATACTTGTCTTTTCTATATTGTCCAATATAAATTTTAGAAGATTTATGTACACTTCTTAAAATTGCTGGTTTAAATCAACTGTCAAGATACACAACATGTCTGACATACAACATCTGGATTTACTGCTGAGGAAGTTTTGAGAGGGGAATAACTTTTGTTCAACATGTACTTATGGGTCTGTGCAGTTTCTATCTTTTGCTCAGTAGATTCAAGCTTAGATTACAACAGTAATGCCAAGAGTCAAATCATGATATAAGATTACACATGACATAACGCACATCAATCATTCTAAATTTACATTTCCAACAGGTACATGGTTTCAAGCTCATTCATTGAAATTATTTCTCACGTTTTGAAGAGCATTCACCAATAATAAACAAAAATTTACTCTCTTTCTAATCAAATCGGAATCACCAATAAAATCATTTTTATTGATATGTTCTGCGAATAAAACAAATGTGACAGGTGATTAACAAAAAATTTTAAGTTTTTTAAAACCTACCAGTTTAAAGATTCCGACGCCTCCAATTAATTCAATTCAATTCCCACAATACATTAGGGCCTCCTCTGATAAAGAGTTGATATTAATCGCAACTTATTTGGGATCGATATCAATCTCAACTATGTACATAAGAGATAGGGAACTGCAAAATTGTGAATGATTGGAGGACTTACAATTGATTAGAGGACTTACAATTGATTTGGATTAGGTTTGGATCATTCGCAATTCTTATAAGACATGGCCATGCTGATTACATTAAGGCAAAAGATAATATTTTCGCTCACCTTTGACCTCGTCTCTTCAAGTTCACTTTCTTGTTGACCCAGCCTTGAACCAAGCTCACTGCCAACGTGCTGTTCAGATTGTAGCTCGGTTGTGAGCTCCATGTTATCCTGGCTCTGTGCGGATGAAACGGGCAAATGTAGTACAATCATTAATGTGCCTTATAATAATAATAATAATAACAATATTATGCTTTTACATGGCACTTGATACAAATGTCTCTAAGCGCTTTGCCCGCACACACTGTGTGCACAATCTCCACTCCCTTGGGAGCATTCCAGCCAGGCGTTACTTGACGCTCATGAACTGTTTGACCAACAATGACGGTCGCATCCTACCGGGTACCCATTTAACACCTGGGTGGAGAGTAGCAAGTGCAGGTTAATATCTTGCCAAAGGATATTAGTGCCATGTTGGGATTCGAACCCTTGACCTAATACATATCTAGTTACCTTCACAAACATTTTTGAACAACCATTCCATTCAAATGTTGTTTGAAAATATAAGTTTGCATAGCAAGAAGATAACTTCTTCTAGATTTGGTATAACCATGTTTGGCTGGGAAGCCGACATCACGCCCGACTTCAACTAAGTCTACATTCCTGCTTTTTTTTCCCTCCATACAAACAGTACAAACAATACAAATAGATCTTTTAAGGACAATCTACATGGTTGCACCACAAAAATTTCTCTAAGAAAACCATTCCATTACACTCACTACTGCTTAAATTTGATATTTGTTGTTCTTCCTCACCATCTTCACAAACGCAGTCTGAAGTTCTTCCAGCTGAATCTTGAGTTGTTTATTCTGAGCCATCGCTCTGCTGATGGTTGCCTTGTCGCTCTGGATCCCCTCCAAGAGGGAGCCCTTGTCCACGGACTCCTCCTTGAATCTCGACAGCACTCTACCCAACTCCTCCACCTCGTCCTCTTTCTCCTCGTGAAGCCTGCTCAGGTTGGCATTGTCTGCCACCTACAAAACATACAAAGGATTAGATGCTGCTTGTAAGTATCGGCTTGCATGGTGATGTAGATATACAGTAGGCTTGCGGGTGCACCATGTGAGAGAGAGGGAGGATTGAAAAGTCCCGCCACTCATCCTCTCCAAGCGCTATAGTTCTCCTTAGAACTATAAGCTAAGAAAAATAACCAACAGTCTTTTTCAAGACTATACCAACAGTCCTTTTCAGGACTACACACCCTCAAGAAAGATGACCGAGAGTCCTTTTCAGGACTTCTCAATCCTCCCTCTCTCTCACATGGTGCACCCGCAAGCCTACTTTATATACAAAGGATTGTCTATGTTTGACTTATCTTTTCTGGATGGAAAAAAAAGTCATCGTAGGATATCTAGAAAAGCACCCACACAGTATAATAATAATTCAAGATTTAGTAATAGCAAAACAATGTATTTACCTGGGCATAAACAAGAAAAACAAGCCAAGAATTGATTGTCTGAACAGGATGCTTTTTACTTCGTATAAAGAAGAACGATATATCGCAAGTCAAAAAGGCAAGCTCTCATTTCACAATATCAAATGGAATTGTGAACTACCACTTTTTAGATTTTGATTAGTTTTACTTCTCACTGTAATTATTGATTATACTTCATAAACAGGTGTCCATGCTACCGGTATTGATTTATATATAAACTGATATATGTGCATCAATTATGCAAAAGATCTATCGTATCCTTCCATCAAATATTAGAATAATAAAGAAGATTATTATTATTATTATTATTATATGTTTTGTGAACTGAAGAGTATAAGTAAGACATTATTGAATTAAAAAATATATAAAATAAGCATCGAAATCAGCATACTGGTAACACATGGTCAAATGAAAAATCATTTATCCAATCATTTAAGAACCCTGTGCCGAATGGAGAATGATACAATGGTTGTATTGGGATCTTTGAAGGCTTCCATCATGGGGATAGACTTGAGCGAGCTTTATAGTTTACACCACACGTTCTTTCGACAGGGTAAACAAAAAATTACTAGCTCTATACAGAATGGCATGTCCAGGTTAATTCACTCGGGACATTTTGAAACCATGAATATATTGATAATTCTACCCCAAAATGAAACCTGGAAGGTTGATTCACTTACCACAACTTGATACTGGGAATGTATTGCTTCTTTTTCTTCGGCCATCGCAGCTAGTCTCTGTTCCAGCCTGATGACTTCTTCCTGACTAACACTGCTCACACTCACATCATCCTTCATCTGCTCAGCTGTAAGAAATCATATTAAATCTTGTCAGAATCAATTAAAACTAGATAGCAAATTGTTACAACATTGTATACTGAATGTTATTACTGGTTTTATAAACATGAATTGTAAAGTCTTATTTTACTATCAACCATATTTCCTTCTTCTTTCTTTCTTTTACTTTCATTTTTTCTTTTTGTTTTCTTCTCCTTTTTCTCTTTTTTCTTCTGCTTCTTTTTTAATTCCTTTTATCATAGCAATATAGTTACTAAATTTCTTAAATTCACATTTGCACATTTTACATTGTTCTATTTGCATGTATTTTATATGTTGCAGTTTTATTTGTAAGTTCAAGATGTGTCAGCTTATAGCTGTTAATTTAAATTGTTATCAACAAACCTTATCAATTCAATTCAACATCATTGCAATCAAGTCTTACAATAGTTTTTCATCTGTTAAACTGTATGAAAATCTAACACCTATCATTTGTTACCATACTTTAAAAAAAAAAGCTTACAAATCTTCATTCACAGTGGAATGTCACAGAGAAAAAAAAGGTTTTGTGTGAAATGGAATTCATGGAATAATTATTGTCTTTTAATGTACTTTTACTGTTACATACTACTGTAAAAGAAAATGACTAACTAAATACTCCCTAAAGCTAAATTATGTAATATATCAAAGGACTTAGTTTTTTAAAACCTAATGTTCAACTTCAAGCAATTTCTAGTATTTTTTGTTTAATCACAAGGGCTCAACACTGAATACAAATTTTCCAGAATGGCTTTTGTTGAACTAAAGTGTAAATTCTTATTACCTTGGTTTTCTTCAAGGACATTAATCTGATGCTGAAGTTCTTCTTGTCTTGATAAGAGATGAATCTTCTCCTTAGTAAAAGATTCATTCTGAGAAGAAGAAAAAAAGGTAATATTACATGTATTGCTTCACAGAACAAAGTGGAAGGATTAAAAAAAAATTATTACTTGTAACAGAAAATTTCAATCAGTAATTACATACCATATGACACAGCCTGCAAATTTCATCAACCACAACTTATTTTCAAACTTAATAATCAATAAAGATTCAATTGAATTTATAAAAAATATTTTAAAATTACAGTAAAATTAGCATTAAGACTATTTATCATTACCATAATTGTCTGTAACCAAAATACAAGTCATAAGTAATTCAATTTTCACCAATTCAAATATGAGCTTTCACAACATTTTTAAATGCACTTATTTTATTGAGACAAACAATGACATGAACATATACCACAGTGTCCACAGATACATACCAAAGATAAGGACACACATAATTCGCTCCATTCTATTTTTGCGTATTATATAAGTCTTTCTCTCATTTTATCAAAAATCTACATGTACAGTACATACAGTACACACACAAAATCTCAATAGTCAATGAATATAATGATTATGCATTTATCATTCAACATAAGTATTGTTTCATAACAATAACTGTACACTGTAATTGACCTTTGACCTTTGACCTACCTGGGCAGTAATTTGCTGGATGTGGTCCTGATATTGTAAGGAATGCTGTTGATATTGCTGGTGAAGATTTTGGCGTTCGGCTGTCAATTGCTCTACTGACTGCATATACTGGGGAAAATATACAACAAAGAAGAATTAAATATATTGATAGGCAGAAATTCTTCAAATCCTTTTAATTTTCGGAATTTAGATTCTTCAAAAAATATTTATAAAAAATATATATAGACATAGCACAGTGAAGAAGAAACAACGTCCCACTTAATAATGGGTAAAAATCTTTGTAATGTTGATTATTAGAAGCTTATAATAATAATATTCCTCTTTTATATAGCACTTCATACATTGATGTTTATAAACGCTTAACACTCCGTGGGAAGCATTCCAGCCAGGCGCCATTTTACAGACGCTCACAATGCTCAGCAAACTACATTACTATTCGCAACCTACCAGAGTAACGTCTTGCCAACGAAACAGACGTTAGTCCCGGGCTCGGATATGAACCCTGTACCTTGTGATCTACAGTCAAGTTTCAACCTCAAGAAATATAATCTCACTATTGTTTAAACATATTTGTGGCTTAAACCCAGCAAATAAGATAGATTGACCAATCCGTAATTGAAAACAAGGCAGAAAAAATCTTGGAACCAGCGGGATTTAATTTAATCTACTATTACAGGGTCTGGCAAACCAAGTTATGAATAGAGTTTTATGGTCGAATCTTTACGTCCATCCAAACCAATGAAAAGACGTAAAGAGAACTAGGCTCTGAAAGCCCATCAACATAAGCAATATGACCTTGCAATCCCTTACGGAGCATAATGAATTTTAAAAAATTTACCTGAGCTAGTTTTCTATCTGTGTCTGCTTTCTCTTCCTGGAGTCTGCTGATGGTGAGTTGCGTGTCCTGTGACTGACCGGTCTGAGCGGTCAGCTGCTGGACCTGAAGCTCCGCTAGATTCAATCTCTCTTGAAGCTGACCCAGGACCTGACCTAACTGCTCATTTTCTGTGGACTGAATAAATGATATCCCCAACACATTTACATCTTTGAATTTCCAATACTTCAAATAAGACTTATTAATTTACTTACATTAAGACTTTACAACAGGTAGTGCTGAAAGTACATTAAACATGAAAGTTGGTTGAGACATAGAGAGAGAGAGGGAGAGAGATGGGGGGGGGCAGGGGCAGACAGGCAGACAAGGATTTCATAATGTGACTTTAAAGTTCCTAAATAGTTAAAATCAGTTTTTGTTTTCTTATCATCACTAACGCCTTCTTTCTGTCAATTGCTTCATTTTCAAAACACACTTACCTTTGCTCGTAACTGACTTGATAATTCTGAATTTTGCTGACTCAACTCGTCCTTTGATTTCCTGCAACAGTAAAAGAGATGAACATGATTGCTTAACATATGAAACATACATGCAGGTTACTAAATTTGTCACAATTAAACATTCAAATAAAAATAAACATGGCTAAGATGAAATAATCACTTTTATCAATCCGAGCGTTATTTATAAAATTGAAATAGAAAATTTGAATTTAAAATGATGAGTGATTGCAGTACGGCTTCCATACATTGGTATGGCTTAACCCTTTCAGGAGAGGACTTATTTTGAGGGGTAAATTGATCACATATTGTTCTTCAAATTGGCAACACTAATATTTTTCTTTCATTTCTAAAAGTAAAATAAACTGTAATGTCTCTGAAAACAATATACATGGGCAAAAAATGTTATCAAAAAGTTGAAAGTTGGAAGTTTGAATAAAAAAAGTTATTGAACCATTATGTGGAATGTTTGTGGTGAAAGGGTGTTTCATACAATCCGTAGCCCCTTTATGAGAGTTAATGAGTAAGGGACTATTCTATATATTAACACATGATATCAAGATTACAACCTACCTCAGTTTATATACATCTAATTTCAATGAATCCCTCTCCTTGTCCAGTTCTTTGCTTGTCTGCGAGAGAAAAAAAAAGAGAAAAAAATCTTGGTCATTTCTTTGTTGATATCTATCACATGATAGCTGATAACGGAACCCAAATACGAAAAAATAAAATGCAACAGTTCTGTTCTCAGTAAGTATTTCTACAATATGATCATCACGAGGGTAAATAATAATAATAATGTTTCATTTATAAAGTGTCTTTTCATAAGATACAAAGCGCATACAAAAAATACAAATAAACAAAGCAAACATCATCATACAAAGCATCATAAAATAATTACAAACAAAGAGAAGTGAGATTAGAAAAGATGTGTTTTCAGATACCTCTTGCAAACTCAAAGAGTATGGCAATTCTTAAGTACAGGGGGCAAGGGGTTCGAGGTTTCAGGGGCAAAATTGCTTCATCGACCTCTCATTTCTCTCCTTGATACAAATTACAACTAAACAGAAATAGACAGAATTATCCATGAATTTCATCTTTTGGAGACACTTCTCTGTTTTTAAAAAATTGTTTATAGTTCCAAGTGAGTGGCATCCATTTATCATCTTAGCCAATACAACTTTTGAAAGATAAAGTAAATTCTAATATTACGCCACAAAGTAAATTGAATCTCATTTCATATGTATATACCGGGCCCCATCTTAGAAAAAGTTGCGATTGATCCAAATTGTAATCTACAACACTAATTTATTTATACATACTTATTTGTATTTAGGAACTCAACTTCCCTTTCAAGCCTAATTTGTGATTAATATATTTTTCCTGTTCTAACGTAATAATTCTACCATATTTTTATGAGGAAATATTTTGTTTATGTTTTACGCCATTTGTAATTAATTAAGTTCATGCAATTTTCATTGTAAAATAATTTGTAATTCAGCTCTTGAGCTGTGATGATGATTATTGAACGAATACAATTTAATTTTAAATCAATCGCAAGTTAGCAGTCTCCTATCTATTATGAGCATAGTTGTGATTGATATCAATCGCAACTGTCTACAAGACGGGGCCCAGATGATTCACATAGATGATGCATACCTTTGTTAACTGTGTAGATGAATTTTTAGCACTGGCTAGTCCTCTCTCCAGTTCAGCCACTCGCTGTCTTGAAACTTGAAGACGACTTGCTAGATTCTCTACCTCATCTATTGAAATTAAATACAAAAGAACCACTTAAGAACCATACTGGATATCAAACCACAAGATCTGCATACATGAACATGAGCTATAAATTTCACAATATTTTGAGCTTTTAATTTCACAATCTCTGGAGCTATTAAAGCTAGTGAGTTCTGGCCGATATGGCTCCGAACAGACGGTATGGTGAAGAGCATGTTTAAAATACATCAGAATTCATTCAAAAACCTACCAGTCTTATGTTTGAAGCCAGCCTGGATTTGTCCGAGTGCACTCTGTAGATCAGACTTCTCGGATACTAGAATACCAATCGTTTGAATGTGAACCTGAAGCTGCTCCTTGAGCGCGCTCTGCTCTTTATGAGCTTGGTGACCAAACTCATTCCTCTCCTACAGAATCAGAACATAGAGAAACCATTATTTGTTTATTATCTATTATTTATTTGGCACTTTCAAGAAATATAATAATAAAGCAATATAATCATGGTGATTACAAAATTAGAATGACAAATACCTTACTTTTTTGTAGCAATATTCTGATTGCAAAAGATGACCGCCAGGGAAGAAGAGAGCAAACTTAATCACTGTAACCATAATGGTTCCTCCGCCCATTTACCAATCATATCAAATATTTCCATCTATAAACACAGTGGTTATTTCATTAAAGATTGCTTATATCATTTTTTATTCTTATCGTTGACTTGGTTTCATAACAAGAATTTGGTTATTGATGAATGTCATCGCAGTGCAGAGCATGAAGTAAACACAATTAACTGTGAAATACCAAGTTGGAGATCAACTAGAACAGCTTTGGAAAGATATCTGTCAAATCTAATCATTTTTAATTATACAGAGATAGACATATAGACATATATACAAAGAGTAATGGTCATATAGAAAGAGACCAAGAGAGAGAGGGAGAGAGAGAGAGAGAGAGAGGGGGGGGGGGGGGAGAGAAAGGGCAGTGGAGCATGGTTAAAAGTGAAAGAAAAAGAAAATGTATTATTTACCTTTTCAATACTGTCCTGTAACCTTTTGCACTGCTGTTTCTGTGAATCAAGAACGAAATTAAAATGTTATCCTTCAACATATCCTGCATACTAACATTCAGAAGCCTTGTTTAAAATACAGTTAACACTATAGGTTAGCCTTAGCTATTTACTATCTTCTATCACTTGTAATAGAAAGTATCCAGTCCAAAGAAGGTGGTTAACGTTGTTAACCACATTCTTTTTAACAAACATAGAAATCGATTGTGCATTGGTTACTTCAAAAGTTTGTAAAAGATGGGTTAGGTCGATATCATGACCTAAATAGAGAAAGTGGAATAACTGTGTTTTACCATTATTAGCCTCTGACTATAAAAGAGCACAACTCTCCTTTATTGATGTGTAAGCATGTCACTAGTCAAATAAATCATAATGTAATAATTCAGAGGGGAAAACAAATCAGATATAGCAAGGCCTAAAATAAGAGAAAGTGGAAAGAGTGTCTAGTATTTACCAACTGTTCTGCCTCCAGTAACAGTCTCTTATTAGCCTGCGTTTGATGATCTACCTCGGCTGCAAGTTCTTGATTGCGAATCTAGATTGAAAAAGAGAGATGTTCAATATAATTGGAATTATTTGATATAATGATGTATTATACAAATAATGCATGCGAAAGAGTTCATTATATGATCGATCCGCACTCGAGTTGAGGCTGTATGCATCTTTCATACTCAGCCTGACAGCTTCATGCATGAACAGACTCAACAAGAGCGGATACTGGTAGATCTTTCAATGAATGAATGAAAACACATTATTTGTTTTATACAACAAAATTCATAGAGTCTTGTTATTTGAAGTAAAAAGAATTAAGTTCAAGCATGTTTTGTGGCATTACCGCTAGCAAACTATAAATCCAAAACATAATATTCCTACTTTAGCACACACAAAATATCTCTATATGCATTTACACACAGTGCTATCTAAATATCGGCCCACACACACTAACCTCTACGAGTCTATGTGCACTGCTGCGAATCGCGTCTTTAAAATGGTTCAAATTGTAAAAGCTTATACTTAGACATTGACCCAATGATTAGGGTAATATTACGATATAACAATACTAGAAAGTTGGTACATAAATACAAGGAGTATCTAAGGTATATCTAAGGAAAGCATGTAAGGCACAATTGGTACTTTTTCTTACCTCTAAATCAGACATTCCATTTGTTCCTGTTCCAATTTCACCATTGACAAGTGCAGTCTAAATTCAAAGGGAAACAATAAATCAATAGGCTATTCAAACTCAACTAAATATATTATGATAGGGCCTAGCTTTTCTGAGACTCCCTTTTTTCCCCTCTCAGTTAATAAATCAAGCAATATAAAATATTTTGTCTTATTCTCAAACTTAAATGTACTCTGTAAACTTATTTTATTATGAACATACTTCTAAGTATTTCATTACTTGTATACTTCATTTGTTACTTGTGGATATTTGAGTTGAAAAATAAATCAAATCAAATCAAATCAAATCAAATCAAATCAAATCAATAAAAATCAAATCAATCTCTCAAGCTTCGTTCACATATATGTTTACAATGACATATCTAAGTGTATTATGCTTTTATTAACACACAAGAGCTTTGTGCAAACACGTAGGTCCTTTGTTGCACACACTTGCCATTCAATTACATGTTTTCAACAACAACAAAACATGATGAAACCATGTTTTACCGCAGCAATGTGAACAGGCATTTAGAGAGAAGTGGGCATTTTTCACATTACTATTGTCAAAATAATCTGTTTCTCCAGAACAAGTTTTTCTTTCTTCAATATAAACTGTAGATCTGGTAGTGTAGAATTATTGTCGAGTGTATAAAACATAAAAAAGAGCATTCTTTACATTGTCTATGCCCATAGCATGGTGAAATTACAACCATTAAAAATCCCCCCCCCCCTTGATGACAATGAAAGTAACTGCAACAAGCTGCATTCATCTGTTTACCTTTTTCTCCTGTCCATATAGTTTTGAAGATAAAGGAAAATGTCCATTTAATACAAAATGCATTACGAATGACATTATAAACAACAATCAATCATGAAGGCATTTCTTTTCAATCTTTGCAGGTAGATATAATTTTAAAACTGAGAAATCTTACTTCTGCCACTAGTCCATTCAGCTGCTGTGACATCTGTCTGAGACTCTCACTTGATGACAATGGCTTACTGTATGACATAGGAGTGAGATTTAAAAATATATCAATATTGCGAATAATATCAGATTGAGATCAAGACCGACTAGAGATAATAAAAGGAATGTAGCTTTTTTAAGGCCTAAATTTGATATAGAATGCGTTAAAAGAAAATACTATTTAAATATTCATGACAAAACATGGGAACTACGGTAAATCTTTTGTGGACAGTTATAAATAAATACTTTGTCCATGGAAGATGCTAACCTGACAATGAAACCAACTGCAACAGACTAGATATATCAGTCTACATTTTAATCTCGTCCATACAGTTTTGAGGGAAAATGAAATGTCCAATGACCCTAGGCCTAACCCTCCTCCCCCTTCTTTACTAGAATTCTACTTTAACTTTCCAGAGTCAAATCGCTGTTCCTGTTTCTGTGTACGTTTATTCTTGGTACATGGAGCTACAATGTATACAGCTACATCATTTTTCTGCAGGTTGTCCAATATAACATACATTTTAATCATTTGTATCTCCCTTTTTTCCCCTTAACTTTTACTTATAATTCACACTTCTGGTAGAGCAAAACATTGAGCTTGACACTCACCTTGATGATGGAAGCCCATTTGAGTTTGGCCCTTTCTCATGCTAAAAAAAATAAAAACACAGGTACAATACATCAAAGTTCAGATATAAGATGTGATAACTTGTCAAAGAATCTTCTATGACTTCAAAGGCAAGATTAAATAGAATGGTGGGTGTCATTCAAGCATACAAAATGAAATATTATCCCTTGCAAAAATTTGTAATCACTCTATGGCCCAAAAGTACATGAATATGATATGACAAACATCTGGAAATTGAAGAGTTTACTTCCATTTTTCTACCAGTGTCCATTTATTAAACATTAAGACTTCAATGTGTGACACCAATTTGAACTTCTCATGCATTAATTTAAAACAATAAGAGCAAACGTACCGGTGATTGTGAGATAAAACTTGCACTTGCTGCCACCTCATCTTGCCTGGCCCGATGGTCTGCTAACCTCTTATTGGCCGGTTCAGTCTGGACCTGACGTAGAGCAGGACTCTCTGGTCTACTGCTAGGCTTGGCCTTCCCAGTTTTCGTCTTTGCACTTTTTGCAGATGGGCCACCAGTAGGTGTGTTGGATGGGGTGCGCTTTTGTTGAAACTTTTGAAGCTTTATGAAAAACAAAACAAGACAGACATTCTATAACATCAGGTTTGAATCATAATCATAAATATGTTATATTATGTTAACAACAAAATAAGTTATCTAGATATTTATTTTAAAAAGTTACAAATTTTGGTTACAGTTTTACAATTGATATTTCAAGCAATTTGGCGATAGTTATGGTATTTATATCTGATTTTAATTACACTCTGTTCAGTTCATTCTCTATTTCATTCTTGATATTAAAAAAACAGCATCATCAAGAGAAACAATACAAAGTAATTACATGTTGAAAAACAAATTATGAGAATGAGGGTTAAAAAACAGAGTAAATAGCCTTATGGTACATTGACCCCCAAATTAAGGATACATTCAAACAGTCAAACAGACAAACAGACAAACAAATAAAGTAAGAAAAAAAAAATGCAACTGTCAATAACTAGTTCAATTTCTTTTTAATACTGAGTGATAAAACTACAGGTACACAGGTCACTGTGGATATTCAAATATTTGAGAAGATAAGGTGGAAAGTATTTGTCCTCGGACTAGTGTATGTCACACAGAAGTTAATAGAATATGGAACAATTTAAAAAAAAGTATCTTGTGGTTTGTCTCAGCCTCAAAAGCTGCAAAACTGGATTTAAAAAAAAAAAAATCATATTTGGTTGTCCTAATTCTCAATTAGTCTAGTTAGGGTGTCTGAAGGACATTAAATTTTGTTAGCATAAAATTTGTTGATTCAGGATAAAAAAAAGTAGCACAAATTTTGGGGTAAATTCATCTCATAACATCGAGGTGATCTGAAAGTCTTTTTATTTTATATTTGGGATATACGGAAAGAGAAAATTCTGGTCATCCTTTTTTACGTTAAGGAAAATTTTATGCTGACTTAAAGTAAAACTAAAAGAGAAATTGCAAACCCTTATACAATTTTAATAAATCTGGTTTGCCACTCATTAACAATGTGAAACAAAAGGAAATTGCTATCAGTATCACTCAAGTATCAAATTTTCACAGTTTTGTTAAAAAATTTGAACAATTTCTTCTTCTTCTTCTTCCATTGTAGTACATCCCTTTAAAAGAGTATTGTCATACTTTCAAAGTTCTTTTTGTATGAGTAAAAAGAACAGTCCACCAGCAAACTCCGAAGATAGTTTGCAAGGCAGGAATGAATGCATGGTTGACTACGAACGCATTTTTGTTTGCATCACTCTTCACAGAGGAGTATTGGTGCCAATAAAGGCTTTGTGATATCAATATTTTATTTCATGTTATCAACTAGCCCTTTAAGCCAACATCTACGCCATTATACGGTACTTATCTGTCAAATCATCTTTGAGTTGCGAGACTTCGACTCAATGCAAGACGACAGCAACGGCATTAATTAAAGTTTAGTTTAGTTATGCAAGACAGTTAGGGCACGAACAGTTGAAAGAAAACAATATCTGTCAAGATTTGCTGTGGATTAACCTTCACCAAAACTGTGCATTGAAATTGGAGAGGATGTTTACATTTCCGGTCGTAGTGTCGGGACCAATCTGCTGCCCAAATTCAAACACCGAGACAACACGAGCCATAACGAGTGGGACCGCTCTTCGGTAACTCTACAATGAACATACGTAGCAGAGCAACAAAATACAGCGTATGATTCGACACTTTGAAGCACCAAAATCAGTCTAAAATAAAGCTATGAATATGCATGAACATTGAAAAGATACATTACAACTATAATATATTGTTCAAAGGACAGATTAATCACCTTTTTCCTCGCAGCTGCAAGCTTTTCCTCTCGAGAAATATCCGCCATATCTGCAACTTTTCAGTGTGAAAAAAAACTAATGCAAGTATACTACTTATGCAGATGAAAAATAGTCACATTGAAATTGAACAACCCGGTCTACTGCGCGGTATACCTATGGGTATGGAGGTCATCTTGAGCAGCAGTTGACACTTCTTCATTGGGTTAGGCGGCTTTTCGCAGACACGTATGCAAGAACCACATAGCATTTTCTTTCAGCCGGTAGCCCATCCCACGTTCATTCTTTAAAAAAAAGCTCTTTGATACAAATGATAGGATAATAGTTTAGTTTAAAGTTAAACTATATATCAAAGTTTGTGATCTGCATGGCGCGCGCTGCTGATGATAAAGCCCCATTGTTTGCGATGGGATAGGAAAAATCTAGAGGGAACAGAAGGTTCAATGACATTTGCAAGGGGTCCTTCATGGTCAAGGATCTTGCTTTATGTTGTGAGAGAGAAGAAGAAAACAAAATACTCATAGGAAAACAAAAACAAAAACCACACAATAACATGGGAGCACAGGAAAGTTTTGCAGAGCCTTTTCCCTCGAAGCATAGTAACATTAAAATCAGAGGTGGCCCTTCTTGGGGTGAGGGGGGCTTCTAAGTACCCCAACAGTGCCTGTCTAGTTTGTAAAAGTGCCCCTTCCCTTTTGATGTCTGATAATTGCCCTTTTTATTGTGACACGTACCCCTTTTCCTCCGACAGGTTCCCATTTTCCATCCTCAATCATAAGGGCCCTTCAGTTTAATCTCTGGTAAATGAGAAAAAGTTCGGATACGAGAATAAGTTACTCCTTTCCCCCAATTCAGATAAGTGCCCCTTCACCTCCTATAATTGCCCTTATTCAAATCTGAGAGATGCTTGTTTTACTTTTTGACAAGTGATGTCTGATGAGCGCCCCTTTTAACCTCTAATAAATGCTCCTTTTATTTTTAAACGTGACTCGATTTTTTTTCTTTCTAATGAATTCTCTTCTTCCTTCTTATAAGTGCACATTCCCCTTCTCATAAGTATCCCTTCTCATCTCTGATAAGTGACCCGTTTATTAGTGTGCCTCATTTTCTTTTTATTAAGAGCCACTTCCCCCTTCTCATAAAATTCCCCTTTTACATCCGATAAATGCCCCTATTAAAATCTGATCAGTGCCCCTTTCCTACTAACAAATTCTCATATTAAATGCCCCCTTTCATATCTGGTCAGTGCCCATTTTCAGGTGCAATAAGTGCCCCTTTTCACCTCTGATAATTTCTCTTTTAACAAGGATACGTGCCCCCCCCCCCTTTTCCTTTCCAATGAGGGACCTATCCCTATCCATAAATGCCCCTTTTCACCTCTCATAAATGCCCCTTTCAAAAATAATATGATGGGTGCCCCTTTTCCGTCGACAAATGCCATTTTCCATTCTAATAAGTGCCCTTTTTATCCCTGGTGAGGCCTCTTTTCAGGTTTATGGAGTGCCGCCCATTTTCACCTCTGATAATTACCCTTTGTAATTTGACACGTGCTCCTTTTCTTTTCTAATAAGGGTCTTACTCCTTTTGATAAGGGCCCCTTTCCTCTTATCATTAAACGTGCCCCTAATTTAAAGGGACTAAGAGAAACTTTGCCCAAAGCTCGCTCGCTACGCTCGCTCGCACTTATAGATGATATAATTGTATTTTATCATAGGTCTGTATCCCTATCAGGATTGTTTTTTTCCTTAAAAGATGTAATTTCCCGCACTAAGACCTCTTAAAAACGCTAATTCGCTCGCTCGCAAATAAATATTCCGACCATTTTTCTCAACTGCAAAATATGATGCTTAAGCAAGATCTTGTATGATGTTCGCTTTGAGATTTTTTTGGTACGTTTCCTTTTTTCTCTCTCCAGAAATGCCCTTTTTGTTGGTGCCCCCCCCCCTTGGAAGTCGCTCGGTCGCCCCTGATTCAAATATTAAATTAAATTAAATTCAACTCAAATGTATTGGTCCAAAAGGAAATTCGTTGCGTTTTCATGCATTATTCACAGGGGGGGGGGGGGGGATGTACAAGTGGCATGATTGATACATACAACATACAACGGGTATAGAGAGATCATTATATAGATATTTTTTCTCTAAATTTGTATTATATTCAATGTTTTTTTCATATATCCAGAGTAATTACAAACACTATATTACATTGTAATTATTGTTGTTATTATTATTACTAGTAGTATTATTATTATCTATATTAATATTATTATTATCATTATTAGTTAGACTCATTATATCATGATAATACAAAAAAAAATTATCAAGTAAACAATAAACTACAAACAGTTTAACAATCGAGAGAAATTATCAGAATTGTTTTTTATATGGCGGAAAAATAAAATTATTGTCCCTTTAAATGAAACATAATATGAATGCAGTATGTAAAAATTGTATGCAATATATGCAATCGGCACGCCTCGGGGCAATAGCACAATTCTAACCCGGAATTCTAACCTTCCCTTGAGCGTATAAAAACAACTATTTCTCTCAAAGCAGTCATTAATACTATACTATTAAAGTTACTATGTCCCATTTGCAGGCCACAAAATGAAAAAGTTAAATTCCAACTGCATTTGAAAGATAATACTAATTTAGAACTTCCCAAAAGGTGGGGCTTGAAAATGTCTTCAAGTGGGAAAATAACGAATATTAGTTGTCAAATCGACTTTAGGGCTATAGAGCCCAAAAGTAATAGTCTTGATTTTCAGACAATAATTGTACCGAATGGTCATACGTTTTATGCTGCGCAAAGATTCAATCAGTTTAATCTTGGCCATCACAAGAAGTGGGTTATTGATGTAGACAAAATGCTCATGTACCCTTTACAACTCTTTTCATGTATGTTATTACCAAAGAAGAAAAAAAGCTAGTCAGTCACTCAATAGTGTCTGACAGTGAAGTCTAGCAAGTAAACGGGTTTCCTTACATAATTTGAATATGAGGACACTGCTAACGTTTAATTTCACAGATAGGACATACATGACATATTCATAATTCCTGCAAAGTTCTACAGCATTTGAGGTTGGCTGCAAAAGGGACATACAGTGGCGGATCCAGGGGGGGGGGGCCCGGGGGGCCCGGGCCCCCCCCCCTTGAGAAAAAAATCATGTAAAATCACGTGATTTTTACCTTTTTTGGGGGTTGGGCCCCCCCCCTGGCGCTCAAGGGGGGGGTGCAAATCGAAATTTTTTTGAGGATCAAAAAAAAAAAAATGTGCTCACTACCCCCCCCCCCCCCCCCCCCCACTGAGCGAATTTTTGGCCGGCGCGTTTTTCAAATTTTCGGGAGCAAAAAAAAAAAAAAAAAAAAAAAAAAAAAAAAAAAAATTGTGCTCTGTACCCCCCCCCCCCCCCCCCCCCCCCCCCCCCCCCCCCCCCCCCCCACTGAGCGACTTTTCGGCCGGCGCGATTTTCAAATTTTCGGGAGCAAAAAAAAAAAAAGTTGGGCCCCCTCCCCTAAGAAATCCTGGATCCGCGCCTGGGGACATAGTACCTTTAAAGGCAATATGAAGTAATTATTGATAAAATGCAGTATATAATGACATGAGAGTATAAATACAAAAAAGACATTTTTCATTTCTCTCGAGAAGAGATGGCTATTATAAGAAATTAAATATTATTGTCCTATAATAACAATTGATAAGTTTTTTATCATTTCCTACACGCAAATAGAAAAGAATATTATAATGCAAGTCATACGTTTTACATTTCATTCAACAGACGAATAAAGTACCGAACACAAAAGTTCAGGTACCTTGAAGTGCCGGTTTTCTTCGACTGCCACCTTTTAGCACTTCTTAGCCTGACATAATTTTTATTCAGGGGGTGACGTGAATCCCTTGACACCTTGACAGCCGAACAAACTGCTATGTTTTTACAAACCTCATCAACATCCATTGGTCTATGTGCTGCTTGTTTGACAATGGTTTTGAGTTTCCTAATTGGTCTTTCTTTCTGACACGATTGTACAACATAACAGAATCATATGCCATTGTACTTTCAACTACGAACCGATAAAAAAGTGACATAATGGTCCTATATCAACATGGTATGAACGAAGCTTTCGCATGCAGATACTGCATTAGCTGGCTCCCTTTTGTTGCAAGGGCTTTTGTATGCCCATTCCAGACCAGTAATTCATTGTCAATGTTTGTGCCCAAATATTTGTATAGACTATAGGCCTACATAGGCCTACTATAATGTAGACAATCCTCAGTCTAAAACGAGTCTAAAGTAATTCAATTTAACCATACATCCTATGTTTGTTTGTTTGATTTTATTGGTGTATTTTTCAACATAATAAATAGGAAGTAACATACAAACTATAGGTACATATTTATTATTAACAAAAGTTTAAAAAAATATACAATCCTATCATAATATAAATCAATTAAATAATAACATTACAGGGGGGTAAGAGGACACTTTTTTTTTTTTTTGGTCTCGAAATTTGAGAATTTGACATTTTGCACCGTTGGGGGGGGGGGTAAGGTCAGCTTTTTTAGGTCAACCATGGGAATATTTTTTTTTTTTTTTTTTTAATAAAAAAAAATAAATAAAAAAAAAATAAAAAATCCAAAAGGGGGGGGGGGTTTAGGGAAATTTAGGGGGGGGGGGGGGTTTACACACAAAAAATTACCAAAGGGGGGGGGGGTTTAACCCCCAAACACCCCCCCCCCCTGTGTACGCGCCTGAACCTATGTAATTATGAGCGACCAAACCAATAACATATATAATCAAAAGAAAACAAAATTTAACAGCCACATAATAAAGGAAATCATTTTTGTCAGGTATAAAATGAAATGCATTAAGTGTAAATAAGTGTATGGAAGTGTATATTTGTGAAACGTTTTTATTTATGTTCTTATTTATATGCATGTGTAAGCGTGTGTGCGAGTGTTTTTGTTTGGATCGCTTATTGTATGCTGATAATAACCAAAATTATATTCCTATATGATTTTTAGATTTAACAATTTTTGTTTAAATGCCCAATTGTTTGATTTAGCCTAATTTGTAAACTTTGTAAACTGTGTCAACTCTGTTTTACTGATTTTTCTACATTTTGGTATAAAAGGGTTTATGCAGTAAGGCGAAATGAAAGTTAATTTTAATTAGGTGAACGAAGCGTCCCCTGATACCCATTCCACTGAGCCCCCCCCCCCCCCAACGAAAGAAGAAGAAGACGACTACCCCAAATAGTTTTTTTTTTCTTCTACGGAACCGCTCCTTTCGGATTGATATTAACATGATTTTGTGTTTTACAAAATTATTGTGTGTAACCTGCTTGGATTCACCGACTTTAATACCTTTTGACACTGCCCATTTGGGTGGAAAACTTGATTATTCTAACATTTGTCCTGGAAAAAAAACAGTTCGTAAAACGGAATAAGATTTGTGATCACACGTGTACGAGGAGGGGAAGAAGGGCCCCGACAGCTAAAAGTGGATGAATAAAGATCCCTAAATCTAAATACAAACAGGTGCGGCGATCCAGAGAACACACCCGCGGAAAAAAGTTAGGGGGGGGGGGGTGCAGTGGCGCAATAAGAAAAACTGTTATTGGGGGGGGGGGCGGGGGTTGGGGTTAGCGGGGGAGGAACAAAATGGCATAGGGGGCGCGGATATTGAAGTTAACGGTCAAAATGTGGGCCTACAAACTACTATATGGCGTACTGTTTTTTTGTTATGTTGATTATTCATGAGGCTATAGAGTGACTGATAATTATGGTAATATGGTAAATCACATTGATTTTTTTTGGGAGGGGAGGGGGCAGATCATCTCCGATGGACTAAATACAGCAAAATACAAAATTAATTAAAAAAAAAGACCTTCCCATGTGGTAGGAGAAGGGGGTAGGGGAAGTGTCACTCGCAGCACTCCTATTAATCTATACAAGCAAATGAGATTTTTTGTTTTTGTTTGGGGGGGGGGGGGGTCCCAACCAACCCCATCAGTACGCCAGTGCCCCCCCCCCCCCCGATCTACACCTTGTTGGCGGAAAAAATCGCAACTGATCTCCCTTACCTTTTTTTCTTTCTCTTTTTTCTTTCCCTTTCTCTCCTCTTTCCCTTTCCGTTCTCTCTCTTTTAGTTTTGCTGGAGGGGGGAGGGCCTTTCGCCCCCCCCCTGATCCACGTGTTGTTGGCGGAATTAATCGCAACTGATCTCCCCTTCTTTTTACCTTTTTCTTTTCTTCTTCCTCATTTGTGTTCCCTTTTAGCTCTCCTCTTTCCCTTTCCCTTCCTTTTCTCTTTTTTTGCGGGGGCAGGGGGGGGGGGAGGCAACAGCCTGGGAGACAAGGTCCTTTTGCCCCCCCCCCCTGATCTCCATCTTTCGCCCCTTTTTTTTTCTTTTTCCTCTTTTTTCTTTCCATTTCTCTCCTTTTTTTCTTTCCCTTTCTCTCCTCATTCCCTTCCACTTCTCTCTCTCTCTCTCTCTCTCTCTCTCTCTCTCTCTCTCTCTCTCCGTCTCTCTTTTGCGGGGGGGGGGGGGTGTCCAAGGCCCGCTCGCCACCCCTGGACCCGCGCCTGGGGAGGGGGGGGGGGGGAGAGAAAATCCTCCTGTTTTGGGGAAGATGGATAAGTTCAGGGTCCTTACCTTTGATTGATATTCCCTTTTCACCTTTGAAGGGCATTTCGACCTTTCTAACAAGGAAGTGAGCGAATACAGAAAGAAGAAAAAAGTTAAGTTACAAATGGTTCGCAATAGAGATAACTTATAATCTCGATTGGCGAGCAATTTATTCACTTGTGGCGTATAACAATATATTGGTGACATCTCTCCAATTTGTTGTTATAATGCAGTGTTATAATACGAGAAAGTTCCGATTTTGTCCTGTTTTGCACTATTCCCTTCACTGTTTTTTTAGAGACGGAACAAGCTCTTTTTAAGCTAAATATATGATTCTGTTTAGTGTCATGTATGAAACTCAATTTTAATTCAATAAAACACGATTATCCAGGGGATGATTCGAACTGAAATTTGATTGGGTTATTTTTTTTAATGCAAGGCCGCATAAATTTTATTGTAAAAGAATGGGGGGGGGGGGGGGGGAGCTCAACTTTTTTGCTCACTCGGTTCACTTTCTCACATTACCATCACAGAATTTGTCTGTATATAAAAACAAAAATTATTTTGAGGTAATGTATAGGGTTTGGGGTATTTATACCAAACTAGTGTGGGTGAAAAAAGGGGCACACAACGTAAGTTCATGCAAGAAAGGCATAATAAACATAATTTTAACAGACACTGACTACAGGCCCTGTGCACCCCCCTCCATTGCCCCGAGTCTCCGGCTCCCATTCCCCTCCCCCTTCTCAACACCCCCCCCCCCCCCACCCATGCACCCCGTACCTGACCCCGCTCAGCGGTGCCACTCCTGCCATCTACATGTATACTCAACCTATTCATGTTTTGTGTGACAGTCATTATTTCCGTTTGAACAGTAATTACATTATTCAATATAAACATACAGTCACCACTCAGCAACACCCGAACATTGCTCGGCCCCTTCTAGCTTTTCCCCTTGCCCAGGGGCTTCGATTGCGAACAAAGGCAAATTGCTGTTTTGCATATGATATAGACGGCTTTTACCGAACGCACGAATGGAGCCGATTATTCGACCGAAGAGCCGAAGCCTTCCGCCATATTTATTGTAGCGGATATTTCTTGAGAGAATATCATCTCTCAATTGACATTATATCCATCTGAATTGACAACATCCTCTGTTCATAAGGGTGACGTAGGTCATCATACTTTTCTCCATTCATTTTCCTACAGAACGAGCAAGGGTAAGTTGAGAAACATAGCATATTTACGTGAAATATAAGCCATAAAAGTGAAGGGTTCCGTTAAACTTGATATTGTTTTGTTGCTGAAATACATACAACCCGCTATACATCCGCTGTGTAGCTGTGTTTCGTATTCGTTTATGACGTTGGAGTCTACGCCTAGGCTAGGCTATGGCTAAGCCTATGGGCCTGCGTCTGGCTAAATGTATCACAGTGATCATGATTGATGATGATATTTGATGTTGGATGTTTGTAGTTAGAATCTAGATGAAACCTTTTGTAGTTGAAATTTTACAATGAAGCTAGTTACCTAATTAGTTAGCATTTCATTTCAATTTTTCATTTGATTAATTTTCCACAATAATTTTATCAGCAAATTGAATTTACAAAATTACAAAAAACCTGATAAAAAATACAAAGGTCCGAGAATGAGGATCGTCCACATAAATGAGGATAACCTCGTAAGTGCGTAATAATCACGTCCTTTGAAAAAGGGATCGTCCGCATTTTCCCGGACGTTTTTTTTCCTCTGTACTCTGTAGGGTTCCCGATCCACGCTGGTAATGCGAAAAACGGATTTCGCGTAATAAAATGCCCCCAGTTCACTGTCTAGTTTTGTGGGCTGTCCGTCTCCCTGATGATTTATCGTTATGATGTGAAAGTCTCTGTCACTTGTCAGTGCTGTGTCAATGAGAAGTGCATCATGGAGCATCATTGCGGAATCCGTTTTTCGCATCGTTAATGAGGATTTTTAGGACGTGATTTGTTCGCATTTATGAAGATATCCTTGTAAATGTAATTTTATGATCATGTAATATATCCTATGATGAATCAATTAGACTATTACAAAAGACATATTTTGACCTTTTCCCTGCCCAGACTGAAACTTGAAAGTTTCATTCTTTGATAAAATGATATTGATTACGATGGTTGTTCCGCAGATACATGTAGGTCTACTTTGTCTGGCTCCACTGACCTTTTTCATAATACACTGAAGTACACTGTACAGATTAGTGAGAGGATATTACGCAATGCAGTTTGTGACTTGTTTGTGATTGCCAATCTCATCATGTGCAGTAGCAAGTAGCTTCTACAATGTACTAATACTATTTCTAGACAGAAAAAAAAAGTTTGGTAGGGCCTTACGCCTATGTTGAATTTTTAAATAAAACAGATATTTGTCTTCCCCGTACATTATAAGGTTTTTCTTTTTATTGAACAGTAACACTATGGACTCTGTAATTTGAATAAAGAGGAATAGGAATGAGATGAGAGTGATGAAATTGGAGTTGTCAAACGGACGAGTATACAGAACATCCGTGTACACGTCGCAGCCTTAATGCGTGCAGCAAATTCCACATCGAGTTTATACATGCAACTGGAAACCAAAACATGCTTGAAAGCTGTATGAACATGTACATGCAGCTTCAGATGCTTTCGAAACGGCATTCATGTCATTATCATGAATAAGTGAAACGATTTGAAACCTTATTTCAATACTTTCCTTTTCTTTTTTTTATAGTGGCTTCTTGCACGTTCTGTGGTAGCGTGAATAAGAGCTCCATGACAGGAAATGCAGTATGTCTGACCGTTCAGCAGTGACAAACAAAGGGAAAGATGGAAAATCAAAATACTCTTCCCTCAACTTATACGATACTTACAAAGGAAAAAGTGTAGAACCTCAAAAACTAGCAGGTAAGTGCCCATGAGATGTGGTGCAGTGGTTGGGTATGTCTTCCGATACTGGTGGTGGTGGTGGTGCTGGAGGCAGTGTGTCCTTGTAATGACCGTCCAATGTACATGTAGTTGGTTCTTATTGATTGTGAGAACTTGGGGTGATGATTTTCAGTTTCAAACATTGACCTGCTATGTTGGGGAAAATAGTGGAGAGTGATGAGTAAATCGAAAATTTTGTTTAATCTTGGAAGTTGTACACATTGGCCCGAATTCACAAAGCAAGGTTTGAGCTCAGACCAAGGTTAGAACTCAAACCTCCTTTTGTTTCGCCAAACCTCCTTTTGTTCTTTACAAACCAGGTTTGTAAAAAAAACGCGTAAATCGCGTCATATGACGTACGAAAACCAAGGTTTGTCGACAATTTGGGCCATTGTGTGCATGGCAGATGGGATGGTGTGCCGAAAACGAATCCTTTTTTAAAAAAATATTTAAAGGATCTTAAGTTACAAAATAAATAAATAATGCTTACTCTTTCATTGCTGTTTGAGCTAATATTGTTATTATCTATTTGTGTATGCATTTACCTATGAGCAACATTAATTAATTAATGACTTGTCCCAATTTAAATTTGTCCTGATAGAAAATATTACTTGTTGAAATAAAAGTAAATAGCCATCAAATTTCTGTCAGTGATTTGATTTGGGGTTAATATTAAATTAAAGTCTTTTACTCTTGTTAATAAGATTCATTGTTGACATGTACTTGGTACCAGTTTGATGAGCGTTGATGCCAATTTATGATTGTTCATTATCCATTGAAGTTATGTGAAGTGCTTCACTTGCTTCACAAAATGTTCAAGCGAATGAAATTAGAGAATTAATAATAATTTACATGTATATGTATTATCAAATTTTTTTCTGCTTTTGAACAGTGAGCCATGGCCGTGGATTACAAAGTCTTGGCAAAGTGGGCAATGCCCGTCGTGTGCCTCCCAACCTCCCAAGCTTAAGAAGTGAACACCAAGGAAACGACCCAAATATTAATCTTATATCAGGAAGTGGATCAGGATGGGGATCCGACGAAAAGAATTCAGAAAAGTAAGTCCTGGGACCCGTTTCACAAAGCCTTTTTTCAATGACAAGTGACAAAAATCAGTGACAAATCTGCTGATAACCAAACAGAAGCAAGGATTTCAGTAGCTTATATATAAAATGTCATTTGTCACTGATGTAAAGTTTGTGAAATACCCCCCTGGTGAATTCTATGTAACTCATGACTCATCACTCGGTATGTCCCATGGATGTTACTTTCTCAGCATATGACTCATAGTATAAATGTGTAATTGGGTTATTACATACGTGTGTTAATCATATTGGTTATTACAGATGTGTGTCAATGAGATTGGTTATTACAGACGTGTGTCAATCAGATATGATTATTTACGTCTGGGGACCAAACTTTAATGTCACCATCCAAAGGACGTAACTCGGTCTCGAACCAGGGTTTGCTGAGTCGGCTATTAGGCAAAGATTGAGAGCTGACCGTACCACGGACATTACCGCTAGATGAACTCCCATTTCACATTACGTTTACCTATCCATTATAAAGTATATAGCAAAACAAAACAAAATAAAAAAGAAGTTGGTTACTGTGTAATTTGAATTGAATGGGGGAAGCAAAAAAAAGCTAGTCAGTTAAAAATTAAGATTTGCTAAAGTGTAAGCGTAGTTTTGAAATATTGAATAGTCAAAAACTGCTGCATGATATAACCTGGCAACAGAATGTTTTTTGTTGCGACAATGGCAGGGGGACACATTTCAGTGAATCTCTGGTAGAAGAAATTTATCAACGTTATATGCATGCATGATGCCAGTAATGTATTTATTACTGTTACTAAGCACATGACATTGGTAATACTGCATATACAGTACATTGTATGTTAAGTTTAATGCGAGATACTTATTTTTACCTTGTTGTATCAGTGAAACATGTACACTAAAAAATTATTCTGCTGGGTATATAATGGAATTTCCCTTCTGTCTCCATCAAATCTTACCATTATGTTTGTATGATATTGTAGTTGTAGTAGTAGTGGTCATTTTACCTGACTGCTAAGAAAGCATAAATGCTTGTTAGTAAGCAACCAGAGGACCAACAGCTTTAGGTCCTCTCTGAGGGACCTGGTAATGAGGACTAATGCCTTCCCAAAGGGCACTAGCACATCGACTTGGGTTTCAAACCCGGGTCACCGGATTACGAGACCACTGCTCTACCAACTGAGCTATCACGCTTCCTCTATGATATTGAATGGTGATGTATTTCTTTGTTGCAGTGCTCCAGAGAGCCAGGCTGCAGATACTCAGCCGCCGCAGCAGCAGCAGCAACAGCAGCAAGCACCTCCTCCTCCTCGGGGACCTTCAGTCCAAGAGGACTCTCAGTCAGGGAAGTCCTGGCATCCTCCTGCTCCCAATGCACTGCCAAAAGGTAAGTTGTGGCCAACGCAAGCTGTCATTTCAGATACTCTGGTATAGCTCGTCATATAATTGTCTTGTTATGTTGTGTGCTGAGAGCTGGAGGACCGTACCTGTTCATAACCTTTTTCTTTATAGAGTCTTGGCGCCCTTCTGGCTCTCAACACATGACACCATGTTTTTGTCTTATTATCACATGCTACACAAATGGAATTTTTTGTTCTGTATTATGGACAATAAAATCTTGAATATTGAATTTGAATCTTTGGATGTATTTCATGGATTTGTGTTGCCTCTGCTTAACCATATCATAAAGACACAACTCTTCTATATTTATCAGGCTTATGTTAAAAACTACAGATACAAAGTTTTTGCCATTTGGTGCTAAAAGTCACTTTTTTTGTCAGGATGCCAGTTTTCAGACAAAAGCCTGAATTCAGGCCCGGGCAAGTTATTTTCAGTTCATAGTTAAGGCTTTATTGTGTACTAAAAAGCCCATTCCAGGTGATTTTCAGGCCCTCTGATCAATTCTAACTAGCATCCCTGTAATTGTTTGATATTGAATGGTTATTATCAGAAACCTGCAATGTATTGTAGCAAGAAGATTTTCTGTTGTGATCTGTAGACCCACATCACCACGTGAATGTGAGCGAACTTGTGTTTTCCAAAGATGTAAAATAAAAGTGCAGAAAGGCTGTGGCGATCTTGTCTCTTTACCTCAATCCAGGAGAATTTGTTCAATCATATTTGTTCAATGCTTGTATCAGGGATGCCAGTTTTCAGGCAAAAGCCTGAATTCAGGCCATAGTTTCAGCTTTTTTGTTTGCAAAAGAGCTCATTCTAGGTGATTTTCAGGCCATCTGATCAATTCTAACTGGCATTCCTGTTGTATGTCTTGTTTGCTTTCAATGCATCAGGAGCGCCCAATCAAGTTGGAGCACCGCCACCGATGAGAATAGCTCCTCCCCCTTCGCGTCTGGATCAAGAATTTCCATCTCTAGGCACGCCCGGAGATCAGCCAGCTGCCGCTTCAAGCAGCAGCAGCAAAGACTCAGACAAAGAGAAAGAGAATCCCAAAGAGGTCCAGTATGGACCAGGACCAAGTCTAAGACCACAAAGTAAGAATTCTGTCGATATTTTCACTGATATTTTCACTTATGAATGTGAGGTTATTTTATAAGCCATAAAATCGTTATCAGAATTCATTATACTTCTCCTAGTGGAGGTGGTGCCAGAGGCAGTGCTTCAGAATATCAGGGATTCTTTAGAAGTTTTCACTCGTGTACAAGCATTGCTTGTTAGTGGACTCCTCTGTGTCCAATATGTATTTCTACATTTGTTGTAAAAAAAACCTGTAAGTTGGGGCTTTGATTGGATCGGAAGATCGGAGCGACGCTCTCGCACCTGTGATCGGTATCGGCAAACAAAAATCAGCAGAATTTTTTTAAAATTTTTTTTATGAAGGAAATTTTCAGTTCTTGGCTATCAAATGCTCAAAAAAATTCATGGCTGGGATTATTTTGTCATTTGGAGTTGTTGTTGACCATGTTTGTTGATATTTAGTGCCTTTTCATGACTTTGAAATTAATAATATTGGTCTAGTAGAAGAGGCAAACCATGCGAGCCGCCATCTTGGATTACAATGTAATTAATGTTATTGATCAGCGATCGGAAATTATTATCCGATCACCCCTGATCGGCTCAAGATCGGCCCCCGATCCGATGATCAGTTACAGGCCTAGTTGTAGATGTTTATAATTGCTTTGTAATGTTTTGTTGGAAACATAAATAAATTGAAATTGAAATTAAATAACAAAATTCAAAAATAAATCCAGTTCCAAGTAAAGGTAAAAGTTGTGGACTGTGAGAGTATGTTACTCACCTAAGATTATTACAAGATGGAAATTAATAATTTGTTTTATTTCAGTATGGTGAATGCAATGTTCATTTTGTGCAATGTGAAACAATGGATACTTAACTTTTCTTTTTATTTCAGACGTAAAGAGCTGGAGAGAAGGCGGCAGCTCGCTGAACAAGTCCGGTGGAACTGGGACGGGGGAGGCTGAAGGGCTCGCCTCCTCGTCACCGGGTGCAGCCCTAGACAAAGACCGCCCCATGATGCCCCCTCATGGTATGCCCCCTCCTGGGATCATGAATGGGGCTCAGGGGAACGCGCCCCCACCAGGCCCTATGCAGCAGTTCAGAGGAATGATGCCTCAATATGTGAGTCCCTTCTCCTTATCAACTTCCTTGGTGATTCATGAAAAAAGAAGCTCTTTTCCCCCCATATTTGTTTAAATTTTCGTTTTATTACCATTGATTTGTAACTTATATTTTTAACAAGTGTAGGACCAAGATAAGGCCCTCTTATTAACCCTTACTGTACTGGGGGGGGGGGGGGTCTGGGAGGCCCCCCCCTTGACATTTTCGGAGATCGCGCCGCTACCACTTGAAATTTTGAATTGTCGTTTCATGACTTTTTTCCCTCAAGTCTTACGCACGTTTTGATACCATTTTCGTCGCAATTGGATATACCTGTGAGGTGTTACATAACAATTAGTATGCGCATGTCATCAAAAATATGCTATAATTGCATATATTCATGTACAAGCAGAAATGTGAATACAGGTTTAGATGTATTCCTTCCTAAGCGGGTGATATAAATTGATATCGAATTGCTTTTATATGTTTCTCAAAGTAACTTGATGTATTCCAGAACAAAAGAATACATAAGAAATAAAAACAATAGATATAATAAGAAATAAAAAAACAATAAAATACATAAGAAAATAAATATTTGAAAATCGCATCAAATTTGCATAAATTATCATTATTAATTACAACAAAATAAATATTTTGTGTTAGAAAAGAAGTTTCATATGAATAATGAGTTTCAACATTCAAAAAGTGGAGTTTGACACATTTTCTGTAAAATGCATAAAATTAGCATTTTGCATAATTAATTAGGCTATAACAACACAAATTTGCATATTCGCAAAAAACTAATTACACCATCTTGTTCGTTACGTAAATATCTACAAACATGCAAATTTTCGTGTTCATCGGACATCCGACGGCCGAGATCATAGGGGGGGGGGGGGGCCTCCCAGGCCCCCCACAGTCAGGAGGTGCTCAAAATAGCCCAGTACAGTAAGGGTTAAGCTAAATTCTGGCCTTGTAAATGTAAACTATTATGATACTAATGTGAAGACTTTAGAAATTCACAGATACTCTCTATTTTCTCATCGCTCAAATTATGTAACAAGATGGTTTTCTATCTTAAAGACATCTGTCCATCACCCTATGACTGACAGCAGTGCGGTCACATACCAGAAACCACACCAACTAATGCAAATAAATTTGACAGATACTTGATTTAGGTACAGGAGACTGGCACCACCTCAACCACATTTGAACAGTCTTGCCCATTTGTAATGCATTGGCCACCGAAGTGGTGCCAGAGGCATTATTTTTATTTGAAAAAACTCATCAAACTTAGTGTCTCTTAGTACAGATCTTCTCACCCGCCTGATTTTAGATATTTAACAAAACCTGATTTTATTCATGATTGCTGCTCCAGCTATAGAACAGAATAGACCGATATATTGACATGGTATTATGTGCCTAAATTTCAGATGCAGTTTGGGCCTCGTGGTATGCCCACGGGACCGGGTGGCCCAAGAGGACCACCTCCGCCAATGAACCCGTACAATATGGGTTACCCAGGAGGGCCTGGCATGCAGGGACCACCTCCAAGACATGGGTATCCACCTCAACACCAGAATGCAATGTGAGTATGATACAAAGGATTTGTTACAGCCTGTCTGCACTAGTTTGGCCAGGAGGGATTAGACTTCCCTACATGGTCACTAACAGGGGGTTGTCTCATCAAGTCAACTCTCAATTAATATAAGAAAATGGTGATCATGGGGTACCAACGGGTACTGCTTAGGAATTGCTATATGGAGGGCGCAAGTAGTGCAGTCCCACCTTAAAGCACCCCATTGGAAGTGTCTAAGGAGTTGTAGAAGTTAAAGGGATTTGAATACTGCATGATTAATCAAGATGGCAGAGCAGTTCTTTATAATGAATCTATCCATCACCCTATGTCTGGGCAGTATCATTATTGAAGCAGATGGGCTTCTCTGTGCTAGTTTTCTTGTATCGATCTCTACATTTTTCTGCACTAGTGTTAATGGTTCGTGTATGATCATACAACCTATAATTTTCTTCTGTTCAATTTTGCAGGATGCAGCAGCCTGGACCAAATAGAGGTCCTCCCAGGCACCAAGGGAGACCAGAGAAGCCAGGAAGCAACAAGGAAGGTGCCCCCAGACCAGCCATTGTCAACATGCAGCATCTAACCGATATGGACGAGTTAGCTGCTAGCAAGACGGAAGAAGGGTGGGCCGTGGTCAGCGGTGAGGTGGATTACTCTGAGAAGCTGGTCTTCAGTGATGAAGAAGACGACTCGCCCAAGAAACGCGCTGAAAGAGGGTGAGTAGATCGTCTTGATTGCCGAAATATAAGTGCCGTTTGATTAGGTGAAGTAATAGACCAGTGAGAGGGACTATTTATTCAAAAAATTTCTTCTTGTTGAAAGAGGAGAGCGCTGTAATGGCAGCTAGGCTGGTGATAATGAATGCGCCTTGGAATAGAATTGTCTGGATAAACGGCGCAAAAAAAAATGCATATTATTATTGTTATTAAGAAATTTAGTAAAATGTATACTACATGATGCAACTTGCCGGCAGATCAGTTCTCTGTTAAAAAGACGTCTATCAATTACCTATCTCCGAGCAGTAAATAAACTTCTTGAAGGAAATTGGGGGACTGAGCAGGTCCTGTTACAGCCACACCGAGATTACATCGTCTAGTTAGGTAAGGTTTGAAAGAAGTCTCTGATGCAGATATGAGGCTACGCTTCACTACCTTCTACCAATATATTCAGGTCCCTACTAAGTGTTTCAGAAAAAATAATCAAAGTTGTCTTCTTTTTTTCTCTGTTCATGTTTGCATTGCTATTGGTCCCATTGGAAATCAAATTCTGGATAATGAACTGATGCCTTGAAGTAGGTATTTGAATAAATCTCTTCTATTTCTATTTGTTGTTTAGAGCTGCACCAAGTGGTCGAGATGGTTCAAAAGATAGAAAGGATGGAAGACCAGAGGAAGACTCAAACCAAAGATCTCAAGTGGTAAATAAATCTTTGATTGTGTTTTTTTTTTTTTTTGGGGGGGGGGGGGGTATGAATTCAAAAGTCAACAAATAAAATGTGATCCATTCATCAAAAGTAGCTTTTTAAAGACCGTCACCACTATTGGGCAAGAAGGGATTAGACCACACAGCGAGCCGTCGAGGTCACTGTGACAGGTGGCTATCTCATTAACTCAGCTCTCATTTAACATAAGAAAAAGAGGATCATGGGGGACCAACAGGCACCGATTGGGGAAGTTTTCTATATAGAGGGAGCAAGTAGCTACAAGTATGGCAGTGTGCCTTTAAAAGTAAATATATGAATATGTTGTGTCAATGATCGATGTTTTCATTTCATAGAGACTGTCAATAGAAAAAGCAGAAGTATATTACTATGAATCCTAATGATTTCGTAAATTTGAGTTGGTTTAGCAGCATGAAGTGGGTATAAAATATTACATGATGTAAGCTTGATGGCAGAATAGTCTGCTAAACTGAAGACAACTTTCCGTGCTCCAATGAATTTGTGATTTAAATCTTTCAATTATTTTCTTTATGGCATGGCTTGAAATTAGTAATTCTACAGACAGAGAAGATTCATATTACTTCTTTAGCGAGGCTGAGAATCAGAAATGCAATTTTTTTCTTCAGAATTTTGATAAAACTATTCTCTCCATGCCTCATTATTCATTCAGAATTGGACAACTTATGTATTTATGTTTCGAGAAAATGTGGAGTGTGTGTGAATGAAAGTTTTTTGTTGTTCATGGTTTCAATTCAATTCATTTATTTTCCATTAAAGTTCAAAGTAAACAATACATTAAAATTGAACAGCAAAATGTGAGAATGGGGCCCTGTACAAAACTAAACAAAGAAGCAAATTATACTAAAAATATTGTAAAACTAATCAAAACAAACATGATTGATTGACAGGGAAGAGATGGAGTTCCGCACGGCCCACCCAGACCAAACTGGGAGCCTAACGATAGAGAGGGGAGCGGCCCTCCACCCTCTCGGGGACCTCACCACGGCCGGATGCCGCCAGCCAATGTGGACCAAGCGGTGAGTACTCATAATACATAGAGCATGTTCGTATTAAACATGGCAGGATTGAGACATGGATGGCCATTCTAACACTTAACAGGAATGGATTGATGCTTTGGTTTGTGTCTATCAGGTAACTACCAAAATGTTCCCCTGTCCCCTGATTAAGTCTAGATGGTTTTATTCAGCCACTCAACATGCCTGTTCTGTAACTCGCTTTGTTATATAAATAACAATAATAATAATTGGATTTATATAGCACCTTTTCCAAAGGATACAAGGCGCTGTCTCTTAGTCTATCAACAATTTAAGAAGAGTTGTACAGGTATGTTTTCAGTTGTTTTTTGAAGAATCTAGTGAAGTACTATTTCTTAAAAACGAGGGGAGTTTGGTCCAGAGACGTGGGGCTAAGGACTGAAAGGATTTGAAACCAGTCTGTTTATGTGTGCCAAATCAAAGACAATACAGTGGATTCACAATCCACATCGCCATTTAGCGACACCAGTGTTTAGTCAATTTCATGTGATGCATCATGGGTAAATGTTGACAAAAATATCATCTGTGACATTATTATATACCCTCGGAGATAAGAGGATTTAATCAGAATTTTTGGTGGGAAAGGTTTGAATTTTGGACTGATTCCATAAATGTCTTATTGACCCTACTCATGGTCACTTTTGGTCGGGTAATTTCTCCTATTGTTATTATTAGCAAAGGAGATTGGAAGGCCCTATTCAATGTAAAAATGTACCCTGGAGCTAGAAAATGAGTACAAATTTTCAGTCAGAATCCAGCTTGCCGGTGGGGGTGCTGGTAATTATGAATCCACCCTATTGTATGAGGTAATAGTCTGTGTCAAAAATTGCATTCAAGATCCTAATTTATATTGTAGTAATCATGTTCATTTGAAGTACCCCCCCCCCCCACTTTTTTTTTTGGTGAAAGGAAATGATATTTACCTTGCATTATCAATTAAATAAAGTCAGCTTACTATATCCGTATTTTTTATGGTTGTTTCATGCGTAAATATCACTTCTCTTTCACTTTCTTAAAGAAATTAAAATAACTACATGAGGAATAACAAGAAATGTAATTGATTGATTAGTATGCAACACAAGCTATGGAAAGGCACTGGTGATGTGCACAAATCCTTCTTGGGAACTGTACGCATTAAATTAACCGGTGTGTGAAAAAGAGTATGAAAGGGGTGCAGTGGTAAAGTTCTGTGTGTTTCTCTCCTCGGCCGGCCGACCGATGACCTTGCTTGTGAAACAGGATTGGAATCGAGCCCCGTACGACCAGAGAGGCCATCACCATCCCCCGTCACACGGACAATTCGGGCGTCGGCCACCCCATTTTCAAAGGCCACCTTCCAACCACTCGCACGGGAGCAAGGTATAAACTTGTTGCTCTGCTCAGCCCAGCCAGTCAGTCAGTCAGCCAGTCATTCCTTTCCCAGTTCCTACCTTCATTTTCGTTGTTCCTCCGTCACTATGCATGCACCCCTCAAAACACCCTTTATTGCTGTTAATTAAAAGTTGTTTGGAAGGAATTGGTGCAGTGTTCATGCGTTCAGATGATTGCACAATTCTAACCCTCCCCCCCCCCCCCCCAATACATCCTTGTGTTTATTTGAATATGAATGAGGCTTGTGTTTTATGTCCATCAGTTGTGAAAACCCTAAGTTACCTAATGAGCTTGTTCCCAATGATTGCTGTTGCCTTGAATCTTCTTGTTTTGTTCTGCTTCATCCATGTACATATCTCGTGCCTAAACTCCATATCTGGGCTCTGTTTCATGAAACGTGTTATCAATAATAAGTTACAATAACTGTTAAAAGCTACTGAAATCATGACATCTGATTGCCTGAGAGCAAATTTGTCATAGAAATTAGCATGTGCTACAGACCTGCCAACCAGTACGATTTAGTTGTATTTAGTACGATTTTTAGAAGCAATTACGACAGTACGATATTCCTCAATAAAATACGATTTAAAAAAAAAAAAATATATAAATATTTTTTGTGTGTGTGTGTGCCATTTTCAATGGCAAAATGCCCATTTTGTCATATAAAGTATCTCACATCAGCAATTTGGGGATGTTCATTGGTTCATCGAACACACCAGGTGTGACGAAATCATGCATATTCAACCAATGATCCATAACAATTTTGTTTTCCTGTATGTAGGAACTGTTAGAGGCATTGATCCGCGTAACAGTCCATGTTTAGTTTTAAGAATACAACTTTTGTCAGTAAAATACAACTTTTGGTATTAAAGAATACAGTTTTTGAACTCCAGAGGTTGGCAGGTCTGATGCTATTGATATCAAGTTTTATGAGACAGGGCCGTGGTGTTTCTTTTGCCTCTTTTTCTTTAGTTGTCATTTTGGTTCTTTAAAATAAATCAACAGACACTAAGACACCAATATATGCAAACTTCTGTGTAGTTTGTTCCAGCAATCTTATCCAAATCCCCATATAAAGTCTCCTTTTTGTAGATTGTTATTGGTCATGATTGTAACATTTGGTGCCTAATGTTAAAGTCTGCATATTTCAGGGGTTGCTTGAACTTGCCAATGCGCCATAAGAGTTGTGATCTCCTTTAGAAAATACTATTGTTAAGCTTTTGAAAAGGAAGTTGAAGAAATGTGCATGGATGCAAGCATAGCCAGTCTGCTTTGTGTTTTTACGTGCATGCTTTCATAGTTTTGGAACTGATATACAGTGTCTCAAACAATTTGTATACCTGTAAAAAAGGCTACTTGAAGGAAAATGAATTCGAAAAATTATACATCTACTTGTCACCTATGAACCAAAAGCAAGGATAAAACTTGTTGAAACATCTTCATTTTGCCAAAGAATATGTTGACATACCTGTCAGCTTCTGGACGACGTTTTTCTGGTCTGATGATTACGCTTTTTAATAACGATGTGTTTGGATCTGATGGTCGTAGGAAAGCGTGACGTACTTCAAAGGAGAAGTCAGCCCCCTGTGCCTAAAACCAACTGTCAAGTATGTTGGTGTGGGGTTTGAAGAAAGAATGAATCTCGGGGTGTACAAAACCACCCTTCCACTGCAGATGATTCTAAAACACATGCTCAGCAAATGCAATAAAACATTCCTAGCCAAGAAGGTGGTGGAAAGTACTCTAGTGACCCCTCAGAGTTCTGATTTGAACCGTATTGAGCACCTTTGGGATGAGATGGAGAAAACCGTCCAAGCAACAAAGACGCCTTGTAAGTCACGGTTCAGTGCACATGGAACAGCCTAGATCCAACAGTTTTTGAGAAGCTTGTCCAGAGTATGCTCGTGAGGCTGCGTGTAGTTACTGATGCCAAAGGAGGACCTACTATGTAATAAGCAGGACTTGTAGCCAACAATACATGAGGTGTACAAATAATTTGTTGGGTCCATAAAGCATATATTTGTGAGAGAAAAAATGTATATTCATTTCATGTTTTGGAACAAAGGGAACTATTATCGGCGATGCATTGTACGTGATCAGTCAGTAAAATGAAATGTTGAGTAATGAATGTTTTATCCTCAGTTGAATCATTGATTTATAGGGGTACGAATGATTGTTTGAGACATTGTAAATCAGCTCTTATGCAAAATTTTTGTGTTTAGAGTTTGTAATTTTCTTTTTATCTTGCTTTGCTTGCTGAAATATTTGAGTTTTTTAATTTTATTATACTGACCTCATAAGAAAGTACATGTGTTTTTTACATTATTCTTGATTATAGAGTGAGAGCCATGATTTTTTGTTCTTCTTTTTGGTCTCAATTGTGTTGCATGTTACAATTCTGCTAATGAACTACAGTGCTGGTTAAAGTTCTGTATTAAAAAAAATTGCTCTGTTAGTACTTGCTCCTTTTTGCAGTAGTATATTGTTTTAATGCCAATCTATGGTATTCAGATATAACAGGCTTTGTATTGATCTCGAAATTGTTGGAAAGATTTTTATTATGTACATGAGCTGTCCATCGAACATGCTCAAAATAAGTCACTGTTTGTTAATTTGATAAGCTTTTGATATTTTTTCAGGAATAGTATTTTATTCATTTTGAAAGTCAAATGTATTTTCTTCTTATCTACCATTTGTGGATATGAACAATCTGAAGGTATCAATATGCCATATTACAAGTTCCTTTGTATTCCACTACAGGGCCATTCAAGGCAATCCGTTGATGATGATGACGATAGATGGAAGCATCAGAAGCAAATCAAATCCAGCGAGATGTCATCCAACATAGAACGAGCTCGTCAGCGCCGAGAGGAAGAGCAGAAGAAAGAAGAGGAAATTCGGAAGGCCGCTTCTGAAGAGAAGCTTCGACAGCTGGACGAGAGAATAGCCCGGGACCAGAAGCTCAAGGAAGGAGACACTCCAGCAGCAGCAGCACCTCCAGCAGAGCCAACGGTGCCAGCAGCTGCTCCAGCAGCTCCAAGGGAGATCCCCAAACGCGACCCTGCCTCCGAGCTGCCGAAGGGGGAGAAGCCCGCAGAGAGGGAGATGGATAGCAACCGTGACAGAGAGTGGGAACGGGATCGAGAGAGGCATTATGAGAGGGACCACGAGAGGGGTGAAGTGCCTTACTCCAGGGAGGGCATGGTCATCAAGAGGCAGCGTACAGAGAGTGGCAGTAGTGATGGCTCGAGACAAGGAAGGGATAGAAGAGATGGTATGTTTATAGCTTACTTGTAAATTCTCTTTCATTCTCTTATTTTGACACACTTCCTTCTTTCACTTGAGAACGGTTACTTTATAAAGACTCTTTAGTGACATTTACATAAATATATAATGTGTTTTCCTATCTAATCAAGCTTAAAGGTAACACAAAGTTTTGGAAATTTTGAAAATGGCCAGATAGCGATTCTTGAAAATTTTGATATATTTGGATGCCCTAAGGATGTTTTGTAAGCACTAGAAAATTTAACCCCTATAACACTTCGAAAAAATTTTAATATCAAAATTTACCGGTGCTCCCGGTAAATTTTGATAAATTTCAAATAGTGCCTATATGGCCATCCAATGGTACCTGCGACCATGAACATTTTAGAATATGCAGTTGTGATATATAATTTCCAAACGGGAGTAGACAATCGGTCGATTTTAGTCAAGAAACATTGTTTTAATGCTAAATTAATATCTTAACCTTTAGAGGGAGCTATACAACATAAAGAGTTTATCATTTACAATTTCTTCTATAGACTCGATTTCAAACGCAACAACGATCACTGAATATTGTAGGATGTGCTTCCAATATGTTCATTTGAACCAAATTCATGACCCCATACCAAAACTTTGTATTACCTTCAAGTTTCCTCTATGAGCATCTGTTAATTCATGTTATATTCCTTTTTTGTTTGTTATAGAGTGTTCACATAAAGTGTTCACATATATTTCCTACATTGATACCTTCTGGTAATGCACTTCACTTCTCTTTGCAGTCACACATACATGGCTGAAGAGCAAACTCTCCTCTTGTCTTGTCATCTGTTGGCTTGTCTTTAAAAAGAAAACTCATCAATGAGACATGAAATAATAATCAGAAACATTTCTTTAGCAGTAGTTTGGTAGCAGATTTTGTCCAGATTTACCAGATTAATTAAAAAGGGCCAATACCACATTTGCCTTTTCCTATCCATGAGTATTTTGTGTATATTTCATCTCAGGTGGAAATTATAATCGTCAGCCTACCCGGAACATACCACCTAGATTCTTGAAGCAGCAGCAAGCGCAACAGGAGCAACAGCATGGCCACCAGCAACGTAGACAACCTCCTTTCCCACAACAGGTATGCCTACATCATTATGGCCTCAAGGCAGTGTAGTTGTAGCATGGCTGCCATCATTCCTTTTGGGAGGAACGATTCCTATTATATAGGTCTTCAAGCTCGTGTAATGAACCCTGAATTCCTCTCTTTTTCTGAAAATTTCTGTGTGAAAAGTATACAAAATAGACTCTTTTCCTAATTCTGTTTAAAGTTATTTATGCTTTCTGTTAGGAAAGGTTAGCAGGTATGTTGTAGAAGAGCAGAAGCAGAAGTGATGCGATATAGGCAAATCTAGGTAATATTGAAATGTTTCTTTTCTCTTTGTAATATATTCAGAGTCAGTCCATCAAAAGACTCATTGTTTTTCTTCCATGTCGTTTAAAACCAACCTTTTATTCTTACCTTGCAGGACCAGCAGTGGCACGGTAGAGATGGAGGAAGAGGGAACTGGGTTGGCGGCAGTGGTCCTACCACACCTACCACACCCCCATTCGGTCAAGAACCAAGGCAGTTTCCTCCTGGAAGTAAGTGACCGCTGATTATTGCTGTATGGTCTACAACCAGTTCACCTACAACCCAATTGGTCCATTGCTCACTCAGTCTAATTTTCAATCGGTCTAATGATTATTAGACCTTATTGATGGTAGACGAAATGGACATTAGACAAACTGGGAATTAGACTAAATGATCAATATACCAAATGGGTAGTAGGCTGATTGAGATTAGACCATATGGAAATTAGACCAAATGGTCATTAGACTAAATGCTTATTAAACCATGTGGACCATGGGAATAGACTAATTGGGTAGTAGACAAACTGGTTGTAGACCAAACATCAATTTACCAGTGATTATCTGCCAATGTTTTCTTGCTACTTGCAGTATGTCTACATCATACAATGCAATATTGGCATTGATATTGTATTAAATTATTGGAGGAATAATTGTATCTATTGCAAAGACTTCAGGCAGTGTCAAAATCACCATGCACTCGTCAACGTCAAGTCTATCTAAGGTTTCTTTCACTAAACTTGGCTGAATTTTGGTCCTTTTTTATTTATGATTGTAACACCGTGAAACATTTGATGTCTTTGGTTTTTTGTATCGTATACTTAATGTGGTTATTTTGATATTGGATTATCATTAAATTTGTAATGTTAAAAGAGAGTTTTTCAAAAGTAAAAAGTAAACTTTCTTGTAAATTGTAGGTAAATTTCAGACTTTCAGACCGTGTAATAATTGAGAGAGGCCTTAGAAATTTGTGGATACATACAACTTCAATAAATGTCTAATTTTTCCTTGTTCTTGTATCTATCCATTTATTGATGTAGGGATTCATATCCAGAGAAGACGAGAGAACTCTGAAACAAGTAGTGATGGCCAGGAGAAAAGCAACTTTTCACCAGATGTGAGAGAAGGTGATACAGCCACAGGGCAAGCAGTGATCCCAAGCAGAACAGAGGCAGAAGACAGAGGAAGGGGTGGCGACAGGGGGTTCCGCAATCAAAGAATACCGTCTGACGCAGCACCGAAAGAAATCCCAAGACGCCAAGAGTCTCAAACGGATATCCATCGAGGTCAGGAGCCATCACGGCATGGTCCTAGGCCGGAGCAGAAACCAGATGGAATGCTTGATCAACAAGAACAGAGACCAGGTCCTAGGCAAGACCACAGAGTGGATCAGAAGCAGGACCAAAGACAAGAAAAGAGACCCGATCTGAGGCAAGATCAGAGGTCGGATCAGCGATATGATCATAGGCATGACCAAAGACCTGATCAAAGGCACGATCAGAGATCAGATGCACGCCAAGAGAAAAGGCCAGATCTCAGACAAGACCATAGGCAGGATCAAAGGTCAGATCCTAGGCAGGATCAGAGACCTGACCTTAGGCATGATCAAAGACCAGATCTCAGGCAAGGACAGCAAGATCAAAGGCAAGTTGGAAGACAAGATCAGAGGCAAGGATCTAGGCAAGAACCAAAACAAGACCAGAGGTTAGAGCATAGACCAAGTAGAGAAAAGATTGCAAGCCAGGGCTCGGAGGATGCAGTAGTACCAAGGCAGTCTAGCCAAGAAAAGTCCGCTGCTCCTTCCAGAGTAGAGCAAAAACCAGAGGTGGAAACACAGGGTCAAGAGAAGAATCTCGGTAAAGAAGCTAAACCTCTTCAAAGTGAAAACGATAAGCAAATCGGCTCAGTCACAGATCATAAAGAGAACACATCTGAGCCATCAAAGACTGTTAAAATTGGGCCCGGTGTTGATAGGGATAGGAGACCGCAGAGGGATTCTAAGCCACTACCAAGCAGTTTGGTTGATATGAAAAGTGGAAGCAGAGATAAATTTGATAAGAATGACAAGGCTGATCGTTACGAGAAAGGAAGGAGGAGGGATAGCGATCGGGATCGAAGTGACTTTCATGGAAAAGATGAGAGGCACAATAGAAGAGGAAACAATGAGCAAACCGGAGGGCGGGGTGCCGGTTCGAGGAGTGATTCCAGGGATGCAAAGAAGGTAGAATCTCAACCTCCAGAACCAAGCAGAGCATGGAAAGGGCAAGATACAAGTCAGAGGTTAAAGCTCAAGGAGCCTTCAAAGCCCAATGAAAGCAGCCAACCGGAGAAGAATACAGAAAGAGTGGAAGAAAAACAAGCAACTTATGTTGATCAGAAGAGTAAAGCGGTTGCTGATGAACGCAAATCAGAGGAAGTTCCATTACATAAAGAGACCAAAGACTCTCAAAATGAAAAAGTTGAAAATAAAGATGTTTCTGAGGTGAAAGGAAATGGAGCGAAACCCAAAGATCTTGTAAATGAGAAACCCAAAGTGGATGATAGTAAAGAGAGGCCACCTCGTGATAGGAGAGACGTGAGAGACGTGCGCGATAGGAGAGATGAGAGAGACGTGCATGATAGAGGAGGAAGGTCAGGTGGTCGTGGAAGAGGCTCGGCTGACTCTAACAGAAGGAGAGATGAAAGGGGACCTCCGCTTAGAAGAGATGACAAAGGTCTTTCATCCAACAGAAGAGATAAGGGGCGATATGAAGTCAGTAATCGTGGAAGAGGCTTCAGGCCATACACTACGGGCATCCGAGGGAGAGGCAGAGGAAGGGGGGAAAGACTTGAAACTAGTAGTCGGCAAGGTTACAGGAGACCAACGAGGAGAGAAGAGGAGGAGGAGTCGGATCTAAGCTCAGGTGACGAGAGTGTAGAGAGAGTTCCAGAGAGAAAGGAACCGCCCAAGCAGGCCAAACCAACCGAACCAAAGCCACTGTTAGAAAGCACCGACGCCACTCCTATGGGTGCAGAGAAACCCGCTGATGAAGTGGCCAAACCTAAAGAATCTGAGATGAAGGAAGAATCTTCAGAATTTCCCAATTCGCGGGGGGAAGCTGACGAGGATAGAGATGGAACAGAGAGGGGTAACTTACCTAGAGGAGAGCCATCAAGAAGAGGGAGAGGTGGAGGTGCGTTGAGGAAAGGGAGAGGAGGAAGTGGAGGAAGGGGTGCATCTTCAAGGGGACGTGGGAGAGATTCTTACAGCAGGGACGGGAGAGACACAAGAGATGATAGAAGACCACCTCCTTCAAGAGACGGCACGCAAAGGTACGATAGTGGCTTCAGGAATGATAGCGACCTAAGAGATAGCTATAGAGAGCCAAGAGGTAGAGGAAGGGAAGACGAGATGAGGCAGAATGCGAGAGACGGTCCACCAGGAAGGGGTGCTTACAGGAGACCAAGACCTGACAGACCTCCTAGGTTCCAGAAGAATTCTCACGGGAGGGGTAGAGTAAGACCTCAGCGAAGTGACCAAAGGTCGGACATGGCTAGCAGCAGGACCAAAGAGACCAATGATAGGAGTCAGATCAACAGTGGCAACAATAGCGACGGAGCATCAAAGGGAGCATCCAGGCCGCCCCTACCAAGACAGAACTCGTCTGATCTGAACAACGATGAATGGGAGACTGCATCGGAGAGCAGTAACTTCAATGACCACAAGGCAAGAGAGAAGGAGGTTGCATCAGAAGGCCAGAAGACCTCCGCTGACAACAAGGCAGTGAAGGACAGCGGCAGTGCTCCTCGTAGTAACGGCAATCCCGAAAGCAGACCCAGAAACGATAGGAGAGACGTCGGGAGGAAAGCGCCGACCACCAATCAAAGGCAGGGAGCAGATAGACCCGGCAATAGCCATAGGGACAGCTACAGATCAGATTATGGTACAAACTATTTCTTTAACTTTTGTACTAATTTTAAAAATACTTTCAGAGCAGTAAGGTGCACCATGAACATCAATCTGGTCTTCACAATTGCCTAAAAGAAATTTGTTAGGTCCTTTCTTACGTTTCATCCAAATAGTTGAATGCTCTGAATCACTAAAGAAAACGCAAACTAATATAGAGTGACGTCTCTAAATGACTAATTCTGTACATTTAGTTCTTGGCATCGTCTTGAGTAGGAAATCATCCAGGAAATTATACCTCATTGCTTTGATATGATTAAATTGTGTCAGATCTTTGTTTTTCTTTTAATAGTTCAAGGGCTGACCATTTCCTATGTTTGCTCAAAAGTCAACTAATTTGGGGTTTGGAAGAGTCTCCTGATTATGATATCGTAGAAGGATTCACCATCTTGGTAATCTCTTTGCTTTGTTTCTAGATCGAAGAGACAAGGGATACCGGAATGGTCGTGACAACCGTGGCCCAAGCTCGAGGGGAGGACGTGGACGAGGTGGGGAGAGGAAGTCCGACAACGGCCCTTTTGTGAAGCGCGGTGCAGGACAGCAGAGAGGGAGCTCGGAACAGAACCATTCTGATGTCTACAGAATGGATACAATAATCTATGATGATCAGAGATCTGTTAATGTAAGTTTTGCTTGTACTTGCTGGAGGAATATTGGATTATACATTTTTTTTTCAGTACAGGGCCCTTCCTTATAATGTTTGTAATCATCAAATAAACATCTCTGCTTGAAAGAATTTTGAATGAAATATTGCAGGTATCCTTTACAAAAGACAACAGTCCGATGTCTTGTAGTATCATAACATCTCTAATTGTCTGCAAGTTGCAGTTACTTTGAAAAGGATGCTGCACGATGCAGATCAGGGCCCCGTCTTACAAACAGTTGATATGAATCGCACCTTATTTACGATTGATATCAATCGCAACTATGTACATAAGAGATAGGAGACTGCACACTTGCGACTTACAATTGATTTGGATCAATCAAAAAAAAATTGTAAGTTCTCTGTAATGAAGACGTCTATCCATCACCCTATGTTTGAGCAGTTCATGAAAAATTGTTTTAAAAAAACCAATCTGTTAACAAAAAAAAATCTGTTTTCTTAGAAATGTAATACCTAATCAAGTTGATGATATGAATTATAATCTCTACATCGTACAGAATGCTCTCAATGCTTGCATGCATCCTAAGAAAGCTACCATGCCGATGGGGAAGCCTCTGGATAGTACGACCCCAGTCAGCCTGCCTGTCTCAAGGGAAAAGACCAAAATCATCACTGACAAGAGGATAGACGTTCTTGCTACCTATGACATTAACACCAATTATGGTAAGTGATCAAGCTTTGATGAATTGAAAAGTATTGCATTGGTTTGTAAATAAGGCTAGGAAGTGTTTCCCCAAGCACCGACCGTCTAGAGACCCTGTTTTATAAGGATCATGGTTATGCTGATTGATCCAATGTATATTATACAGTAGGCTTGCGGTTGCACCATGTGAGAGAGAGAGGGGGGGGGGGGAGAATTGGGGTGACCTGGAAAGGACTCTCTGTAATCTTTCTTTCTTGAGTGTGTGTAGTGTGTGTAGTCCCGAAAAGGACTGTTGATTATCTTTCTTAACTTATAGTTCTAAGGAGAACTATAGCACCGGTTGGAGAGGGTGGGTAGTAGGAGTGGTTCGATGATTCGAACAGGTTGACTATCCGAGAGTCCTGCAAGGTCACTAGACAGGTGGTTAAGAAAAAGGGGATCATGGGGGACCAATGGTCACCGCTTTGGCATTGTTTGCTATATAGAGGGCGCAAGTAGCTACAAGTAGTGCAGTCCCGCTTTAGATGTATGAATATTTCCTATCATGTTTGTCTTTCCAGGTGTTGTCGTGGTAGACGATGTCCCTGAAGTGATAGTGGAGAACCCAGATGAGCTTCTGACCCCGGATGCAGGATTTCAACCAGTGCTCTCAAGAAAACAGAAAGCGGCTGAATACGAGAGGAAAAAGATGGAGACACTCTCATCAGAGGTAATTTTAATTTGTTTACGCTTTTATTCACAATATATATTTAAAAAGGAGAAAGATATTTAAAAAGAAAGGCGTTGGTGACTAAAGTCAGTTCTCGATTGCCATTATAACAAATAACAACAACAATGCACATTTCTCTTAGTATAGGCTGTTCAAGGGAAATTCAACCTTTAGAGCTAACCACTTTCAAGAAAAGCAGAAAAATTTGAGAAGTGGACTGGTGAAAAGTTGAATAAAAATCGAACAAAAATGAGAAAACTATAATTTTGTGAGAGTTGTAATCACTGAAAGTATGGGTTCTTCAAAATGAGTGAATCAGTAATTCTTCTGTGATGTAGTGGTGGACAACTTTGATTAGATAGATGATTCTAGTTACCTTGACCCCTATTTTTAGTCATTAAATGAATTCAATACCCAACCATTCTTCATCCTGATAGATTGGAAAGAAAGCCAAACTGGGCACCCCTATGAAGACACGCCACGCCAACCAGAAGCTTCCACCTAGGATGCGAGGGCCGGTTGCATCCAAGGAGAACATGAAGGATCCAGCCTCGGTGACGCCCATCGGCACAGGACCCAGGACAGGTACCCTGAACAAAGCACCTGGTAGCAGGCCTTTGAGCACAGAAGGCATCCCTCCATTGATGGGAAGCCCTGTATCTGCTGTGGGTTTACATATGGCCCCAACACATTCTCTTAGGAAAGGTGAGTATTTGAGATAGCTCTCGTCTTGTAATATGAATTTAAAGGGGATGTAGCATGGCAAATACTGGCTAACGCCATCTACGGCATCTTTGGGCAACTGCACGTAAACGAATGGACTTGATTAGCGCTGTTGTTTGCGACACAGAGCGAAAGTTCTCCTCACCCTTCGGTTTTGCGTATGTTGCACGCACATGAATACTGCGGCCCTGTTGTCTGTAGTCGTATTATACCCAATTGGCCCCCGAGTCAGGCCATGACAAAGACACATAATCTCGTCATGCTTCACCCCTTTTAAATCAGATTATGGCTAATGGGGTCATGTTAGAGCTTTAAAGATGAAGGATTTATTAAAAAGGTATGATTTTGGTATAATATCAATTCAAAAAAGAACTGAGCTTATGTTTGTTTTGAGCTTATTGTTCAGGAATAAACTAGATCAAAGTCTACCTTTATTAGTACAAACGTGTTAAGCTTTGATTCTGAAATGCTATTAAATAAATTATATGCAATTTACTTTGGCTTGTTGTGATTGCAACCCCTCCCCAACATGAAAATCTCACTTTTGATAGTGATTGATCGTGTGTGTGGACTAATGAACCTATGTTTTGGGTTTATTCTATAGTTGGTGGTTTTGGTGCAGCGCCGGCACCCCCTCCACCACCCAGCAACGCATGGGAGAAGCCTCCATTGTTATCTGGTCCTCAACCACCAGCAGCAGCAGGACCAGGTACCCAACCTTCTATGCCTGCTGTACCAAAGGCTGGTGTAGCTGCTCCTGCTGCAGTCCAGCAGCAGGGCAAGCCCGAGTCGTCCAACGATCAGCATGATAGCGGTGTGGAACTCAACAGTGATCATCATACATCCAATCCACCGTCACAAAGGAGCTCTCCCAATGGTAAGTTTTTATTTGATTTGATTTATTGGTTTCTGCATCTTTTTTTTTCGTCATACATTTTCATGAACATAATATGGTTTGATACAATATTCTCGAAAGCGGACTAACTTTAGTCCATGGATTAATCCACCCACTAAGTATGGATTGCCAAGTGTCCATATGAATATATTTTTGAATAATTTGAGATGTTCCTAAATTACCATAAAATAATTATATCATAGTTATATTGTTGTTTATTAAATATGTTATTACATTTTGTTTTAATTTATTGACAGATTAAATTATTCAAAAACATATTCATATGGACACTTGGCATTCTATACTTAGTCGGGTGATTAAACCATGGACTAAAGTTAGTCCGTTTTCAAGACTACCACCCATTGTGTTGTTGTTGTGATGTAGCTCTGGTGTCAGAGTTCAAGTTTGCTTTTGGTCAGCAGTCTAACCATTCTCCCTTGACCTCCTCCTAACTAGACTGGTCGACAGACCTCGCACCGCCCTCTTCACGTCTCCCCGCCCAGGGCTTACAGAGCGTGGCCGAGGGATCGACCCACGGCCAGTCGTATGCGTCCAGTGGTGGTAGGATGGACAAGACTGCTCCGACACAAGGCGAGGATGCTGCAATGAGGAAACTTACAGTGGATATGGCTCAGCCTTCTGGGGTAGGTTCAAATGTCCTTGTTACTGGATAATGATGTTTTAATTTTTTTTTTTTAATTTCATGTTATTTTTTCATTTGATTGTAAGATGCCTCTGCCTCAGCCCAGAATGGCTGCTAGCTCAGGGTGAAATTTACCCAATTCTGCAGTCTTGTCCTGTATACAGTAGGCTTGAGTCGGTACGGTCGATCACACCGGGACCCGACCGTTGCCGTCGGGTCCCGGTTTCGTTTTTTGAGAACCGACGCTCCGAAAAAAATAACGAAATATGAAAGAAATTGCAGTTTTGCACACCACTAAAATCAATCCACCTAAAAACTTAAGTATTTAATGGTTACCATAATCATATTCTAGCTCATCCTGAATCAATCCGAACTGCTGATAAGTGATATAAATATGGGTTGCAAGTCAGTTCGCCCGGCCCATGGGGTTGTTGTTGCCAGCTGCTAGCTAGCTACTGTACTGGCCGGGTCTCTCGGCAGGATTAATAAATCAGGTTGAAAGAAACATTAATGTTTGAATAATTAAACGGCTTTCTAAAAAGTACTTCTTTACAACATACCGATCTAATAATTTTTAAAAGACAAAAATATATATTTTTTCTTTGATTTTGAACACCGCATGCTTCTTTTAAAAGCTGAAAATTACTTGGTAATCACAAGAAGTTTCGATACGTTGCAAGGCAAGTTTAGACTAGTCTTGGAAAAATGCGCAGTGCTCCTCGTTAGCTGTAATGCGTGCCAGAACAAACCCAAACAAAGACGTGATCGTAACGAGAAAAAATCATTAAAAACTACGAGAGCACAATTGGAAAGACAACTACTCAAAATTATCGTAAGCAGATACATAACTTGGAGGAAGAAAACAATAGTTGTCCAAGAACAGACACATAAATAGTGATATTTAAGGAGTTACTATAGGTACAATCATTATCGGAAGGGCCTGCTGCAATATCTGAATTATACACGTGTTTAAATTGAACACGAGGCTATACGAGGCAAATACCGTCCTCTACGGTAAAAAGCAGTATAACAAAGGATTCGAGTATTTGCAGCAGGCTCCTTGCGATAAAAATGTACCCAGTTACTCCTCGATTATCACAATTTCTGTGACATTTCTTGGGCGATTATTGAATTCTATGTCCAAGTTATCTATCTGATTATGGTAATTTTGAGCAGTAGTTGTCTTTCCAATTGTGCTCTCGTAGTTTTTAATGATTTTTTTCTCGTTACGATCACGTCTTTGTTTGGGTTCGTTCTGGCACGCATTACAGCTATTTACGAGGAGCACTGCGCATTTTTCTGAGACTAGTCTGAACTTGCCTTGCAACGGCTATCCGTATCGAAACTCTTGATTACCAAGTAATTTTCAGCTTTAAAAAAAAAGCATGCGATGTTTAAAATAAGAGATAAATATTTATTTTGTCTTTAAAATATTATATGATCGGTATATTGTACAGAAGAAATTTTTAGAAAGCCGTTATATTATTATAACATTCATATTTTTTGACCAGATTTATTCAACCTGCATAAATCAAAATGGCGGCTCGAATGTTGTCTTTCCATTTCTGCCCCAGTTTTTTTACTTTTAGAGGCACGGAAATGGCACTAAACATCGCCAATCATGGATGAAAATAATGTCAAATGGAATAATATACCGATCTGAGCCGAGGTAGGCATGTGTTTATTAATTTGATTGATAAAAAAGGTCACTTTTAAGGGACATACTGATGATATGCGCTTTTTATAGAGGCAAGTGACAAATCCTGCGAGCTGATTTCGGGACACCGGGTCCCGATCGGTACAAGGCCGTCGGGACCCGGTTTATGAAAATCCCGACATGACTCAGGCCTAGTATACAGTATTTGAGAAGATATTATCAGAATCTCCAATGTTGTGATTGAAATCAAGATGTTGAGGCTAGGTATGGTGGTGGTTCAATGTTTAATATTAGTGTAGGTCTGAACCCCAAAATTTACTCAATGATCAGTTCCATTAATGCATTTCAACCAGAAGAGAACTGGGCCCGTTGCATATATCTTACCTTTGATGGTAACTTTGCAATCAATGGCAACTACCATGGTAACAGGGCTCAACAGCCAATCAAAATCAAGGTTTCCATGGTAGTTACCATTGATGGCAAAGTTACCATCAGTGGTAAGTTTTGTGCAATTGGGCCCTGGTTTGATAAAGGACTTAACATTATTTGTAGACATTGTATCAGACACTCATGTGTACTGTTTTGTTGGTTCTCCTTACAGGTGATTGGTCCAAATGGTCTTATGAGTCAGAATGGACAAGCTCTTGGCAGCCCTGGAGGACGCCCAGGACAGTCCAGCTTGATCCAATCATCACAAGACCAGAACAGAAGTAACGTCCAATCCCCTACCTCCACTGCTGCTACCGACGAGCTCAACATGAAGATAGAACGTGCAAGGAACCTGTGGGACGCTGACGAGAGCGCTCCTCCTGCTCCTCAGCCGACCCTCGGTGAAGCCAATCTCTCATCGCAAGGCTTGGTCTCAATGACCGCATCAACGGCCAGTGATCAGCATCAGCAGCATATCCAGAGAGCTGAAGCTAACCGGGATATGAATACTAGAAGTGATATTGGTGCCGGTCAGTTGAGTCATTCTGCAGCTAGCATCTTACCTGCGAGCGGAGCGTCGGGAATCACATTTGGAAGCTTTCCGACGAGCGATGTTGATATGGTAGAGAATGATGTCCCGACATCGGCGTCCTTCACTGCCTCGCTGAATGCTAATATGAATGCAAACATGGGTGGAGATGATATGGAGATGACTGTCCCAAGCAGCAGAACATTTGCCCAGTTTTCGAGTGCGAGCGCAGAGGTGGAATCTCCTCAAGAGATCTTCACTTCGGCAGGATACCCGAACAAAGGAATGTCTCTTTACACGAGCACAAGTGCTTTCCCGGCTGCCACCTTTCCCTCGTCCATCTTGGATCACCCTGCTTACAATCCAAAGCACATTGGTGGGGAACAGCAAGCAAGACTTCACCAACATCAGCAGCAACAACAACAGCAGCAGCAACAGCATCAACAGCAGCAACAACAACAACAACAACAACAGCAGCAACAACAACAGCAGCAGCAACAACATCAGCAGCAGCAACAACAACAACAACATCAGCAGCAGCAGCAACAACAACAGCAACAGCAGCAGGCCTATACATCCTCAGTGCTCCTGGCTCAGCCCTACAATATGGGGAATTCACTGAGCAGTGGTCTGGCAGGGAGTGCTGTGGGAATACCCGGTGGAGGAATCGGCAGCACCAACTCCCAGTCACTTCTCTCTCATGGGACGTCGGGCCAGTACTCATTCCAGGGCCCCGACACCTCGCGCCTTCTCCAGGGCACTCCAGCATTCCTCACTCCAGTTTCATTCCAAGGCACCCTCCTGCAGCCCCAGTCCGCCGGCAACTTACCGTTCGGCTTGAGCCAGACTGCCGGCATGGCTCCGTCGTCCCCTGCTCCCGGTGCCCCATCACAGCAGCAGTCCTACCCACAGGCCGCTACGGGATTCCTACCCGCCCAAGCTTCTCAACCAGCCCCGCCTACGGGTCTCCATACCAACTTTGGTCCCATCCTGTCGGTGAGCCTCTCCCAGAACCAGGTGCCCAGTCATTCCTACGTGAACCTCAGCTCACCGTCGTACACGAGACCAGGCCATGATCTGGGTCTGACCGCTAGCCATACGAGCTCCGTCATCATGAAGCCACAGGCGACCATGGGAGGCCTCACCAAGACTGTTTCTAGTGTTCCTTTTGGAACTGTATCCGGAGGGCAGCAATCACACTTGTATACTCAGGTATGTCGGTTCACTTTCTTATTGTCAATTCTCTTCCAGTATACTGCAATGGACCTAGACACAGGCAAGTCCTGTTAAAATCAGTTAGAAGAGGACCATGCATAATTTCTTGTGAGATGTAAAACTGTGATATCAAATGAAACATTACTATATGTTGTGTTTTGTTGGCTAGTTGCTAGCTAATAGTAGCATGAGTGGAGCTTTAATTAAGATGTAAATACAATATTTCCTAAAGATATGTGCTCCATTTGGTTTTCCCAAATTAGAAAGAGGATTGCTGGACACCGTTAACTCTCTCAAACTCAAAAATTGTCATCACTTGAATATAATGATAATAATAATACAAAAAATATTTCTAAAGTGCTTAATAAAAAAAAAGTTCCCTTGGCGCTTTACAAACTTAACTACAACTTAAAATACTACAAAATACAAATGCATATCTCATACTGCAAGAGACATTATTTCAATAAATTTACATAGGTTACATAAATAAGACTTGCTCTTTGTATTACTGATAAATTGTTATGTTTCTTGTTTGCTGTCCGCAGCAGAGAGCTACGTCTCAGTTAGGTGCCCAGCAGGCTGGCATGATGACCAACAACACTCTGATAGCTGCAGCCATGCAATCCAACCAAACCCCAGCCAATGCACCAACCCACCATCCAACACACGGCCAGCATGCATCCTTCTTCAGCGGCGGTGCCCAGGGAATAGCCGCTGCAAACTCGCAGGTGGGAAGCACCAACTTCTTCAATACCCTCCAGGGTAGCCGTTCCACCAACCTGCAGGGTTCCGTGCAGGCCATACCCATCCAGATTCCACAGACGACCATATCCTCCCAGTACCCCATCGCCCCTCAGCAGGCTCACCAAGCGTCCCAACCCATCGTTCACCCCATCGGTGCTCCGGTGGGAGGCTACGCTAGTGCCTATGGGGATATCGGGACTCAACCTAAGCACCACGCCAGGAGCATCCCGTCTGGTCTGAGTATGGATAGACAATCCACACCCTCCATACACATGGATCTACCCGTGGATCTGCTGTCTCGCAGTGATTCGTCTGGAAGCAGGAGCAGCAACCTGTCTCAGCATGTAGATGCCAAACCCTTCAGCCCTAATAGGCAGATGGGAAGCGGCATTCCCGCTGCGAGCAACAAGCCGCAGGAGGAAAGATATGGCAATCTTGTATACAGCAACAGAGTGAGCAGCTACAATCCAGCTGATCAAGGCATTGGTAGTAAGCCCCAGAGCTATAGCGCTGCCCCCGTTTCCATTGGTCATTACAGTGTCGAGGATAGGAAATCATACAGTCAGCCCAGGAGCTCGGATGCTCAGCGAATGCTGTTACCTGATGCTGATGCGACAGTGCCTAGTTTACATCCTGCATCTCTGACGTCCTCACTGCCCTACTCGATGACGTCTGCCACGACTGCAGCCAACGCGAGTCAGAAGCCTAATTACTCCCAGACATCCAAAGTAAGTCAACCACCGCCATCTTCATCAGCACCGCAGCAGCAGTCGACACCACCCAAGGGGACTTCGACAAGTTCCACGCCGCCAGCCCAACCTCCTCTGCCTCATCGAGGAGGATTCAACCCTAGGACTGGCTCCAACAACCCCAGGATGCCTCCGCAGATGTTCAACCAGGCCAATCCTCAGATGATGTCCATGATGGGGATGCGTTTCACGATGCCTTTCCCTCAAGGTCCCCCACCACCTCGTGGCGCCCAATTCATGCCACCTCAGCGAATGCCTTCAAGCAGTGCCGGTGTGAATCTGCCAACAGGACCTTCTCCTAACCCTCAACCGATCATCCCACCTGCTCCCAAGACGAGCCAGTCAGCGCCAAAGATACAGAAGCCACAGCTGTCGACCTCCATCTCGCAATCGACTGCACCACCACAGGCTAAGCCTACACCGCAGTCAAAGCAGCCAGGGAAGCAGCAAGCAGCCAGTAGTCAGGGTGGATACCAAGCCAACAAGAATAAGTCCCTGGCAGGGTTACCGGGACCAAGCGCCAAGCTATCCAAAGCTCCCAGCCACTTCACCGGCAGAAGACAACCTGTTGACCTGAAGACTCCTGAAGAAATCAAGGCAGAGCAGAATAAGGAGAGAGCAAAGCTTTTAGCTTCTACCAAGGCATTCTTCGGCAAGACAACGGGCGAGGGTGCAGATTCAAAGGAGAAATCGGACAAAGTGGAAAACTAGACCAAATTGGTGAATTTGAACAGTGATACTGACAGTTCTCAGTTTTTTTGATGAAGAAATGATTTCACGTCCTTCTCAGATTGGAAGGAGGATTCGTGCGAAGTAAAGAACAGAGACATTCAAGTTAGCAGAAAAAGTTCATTTACTGTGAGTATAGACACTGGTTTGGAACAGAATTGAGAGGAAAATGTAGAAAAGAAGAGAGCGTGCAGCCAAGGCACATTGAAAGGAAGCTACAGTAGAAGTGCAAGGTTTTTGTTGGAAAAAGGAAGAGAAATTATGTTACGCCACCAGCATCCTATGCGGGTGATGCTGGGCAACTGAGTCTTATCTGATGATTATTTTACATAGTCAGAGACTGCCTTGCATGGAATGGATGAGATGTTTTTCATAACATTTTTTATATTTGAGCTTCGGTGAGGCTGACACGACTCGCTGGCTCGTTTTTTTTCTGAAGAATTTGAACAGTTGCTGGAAAAAAGGTTATCACTTTAACAAGAATGAATGTTTTGAAGAAACAGATATATTTATAAATGCTGATTTTGAAACTTGTGCTAGAATATTTTAAGGTACATATTTGAGAAGCATTATAAGAGGCATGTTTTGATCGATGCGCATTTATTATTGATTGGGATAAACAAATGCAAGTTGAAATTTATGTTCTTGATTCGGCTGTATGTTATGAGAGATATTTAGAATCGATGATACGTAGCTTGAATAAAATATATGATGCTGAATGGTAGTAGTATCACACATTTAAAGGTCTTGTATTTTTCCTATACCAGCAAAAAGTTACATTTTGACTGATGTTCCTGTGTTCTTCTAGCTTCCATTACATACATTTGGAATAGAAAGATATATATTGAAATAGAAATCCACCGTTACAGTGGTTTAAGTATTGTATATGTTGAATGATGACAGTTCAATTTAGACAATGAATGTGTTTATTTGTTACTCAGAGAGTACAGTATTTGAAGATACAAAACTTCATTTTTATGTAAGTAATTAATAAATTGTGTCATGATTAAATTCCAGAGTGTTTGTAGTTTGACGATATTATGTTGAGTGTTTCATGATGAGATAACATAATTAGGTGACTAAAGTATATACTTTTGAAGTGTTTTCTGTCCGTTTAAACCACTTAGTATTCCATAGCATTCATGAGTGGACATTGTATATATCATTTGACCGGAGTCAGAAGAGCAATAAATCTTATAGATTAACATTGAGTAACGCTCTTCTGGCCGGTAGCCAATGAGACAAAAAATGAATGTAAGCGCTATTAGATGAAGTCGGCTGTTCTTTGATGTACAGAAACAGCCCGTAACCGTTGTATTTTCTTTGTTTGATTATCAGTTTAACTTATCATCAATTTTGTTTTCCTTTGAAAATTTGTTTTTCTATTTTGTAAATACTGGACTCTGATTAAACAGACTATAGTGGAGTTAATGTGTACATATGTTCAATCTTTTTTCTTACTGCATAACTTATTGCACATTGTCGGCAATCAGAAAGAGATAAAACTTTCAATTTTCACTTCATATTTGAAAATACATGTATGTGTCGTCTCTGTCGAATGGGAATTATTTTTGTTCCCTTTGTTTAATCTTTACTAAGATTAAAGGAGGAAAACACAGACAGACGGTGATAATCTGACTGAGATGATGATTTACCGAGCCATGTTAAAGCATACTAACAGCAGGCCTGGATCATGTAGCTCATTACCATGTATGTACATACGTCAAAATCTTTGAACTTGTCACCTCGTTGTTTATACACTTACATGTATTGCTATTTTTATATTTCATTTTCTTTGTTCAAAACAACACTTTTTGTTTTGTATTAATGGGATTTTGCATACACAGTATGTGTTTTTTTTTTTCCAACGAGTTTGATTTGTTCAATCCTACATGCGCTTTGCCAATGGCATTATAAGATGTTGAGGTTATTTAAAGAATACAGCAGAGTTGTCATTATTCATGGTTGTCTCTTGTAAGAGTAGATTGAACAGCAGCGACATATCGTACCGCTCCATCGTTCATATTTGTGATTTCATTACGTTGTGGATTGTTTATGAAGAGTCTAAATCCAGGTATTTATGTTATATTTGAAGTTGTGTAAAGAATTCAAAGGTACTAACACACGTGAAGTGTCAGTAGCAGCGATGCAGTGTGTACCAAATTGGTTTCTCATTGTGCATATATTCAGGTTTTCGTTTGTTTTCTAGTTCGAGAAATGAATTCTAGCACGTTAATTTTTTTTCTTTTCCGTTCCTTTTGCTCATAAACTGTCCCTTGCAATTTGCTTTACATGTGCACGAAGTAGCGAGTGCATCTATCTATGATCATAAACTGCTAGTATTAAGTGAATTTTGATAACTTCTTGTATATTACGGTACATTATCAAAGCAAAGAGACTGCATGTGTATAGTTCAATTCTGATATGATATAGTAGTGATCCCCTCTTGTTTTTTGTTCATTCTTTCTTGTCTCTGTATGTCTATGCCTGTATACCTGCATAGGCTACTCTCTTTCACAAGGTTTTACTATGGAATGATCGCCCGATATGCGCTCTACATTATTACGTCATTGTGGCTTCCAGCGAGTTGGAGCCTCGGTTTAATAATGTGTGGAGCATGTATGTGGGAGAAAAGAACTGTACATATCTTAGTGTGTACGTACCAAAACCTTGTGTGCCTCGATCACACGAGCTTGAGAGAACGTGACAAAACTTATTGAATAAAAAATGCAATTCCTGATTCGTCCAGTATTGGCGTCAAAACAAGATACATTTTGTTACGAGTTTGCTTTATTATTGCGTCTTGTACCGTTCGAAGATATTGATTTGTGTTCAAAAGGCATGAGAAAGTACTAAGTCTGATTGATTGAAATACTTGTGTACCATAAATCACAGAGCATTGTAAAGTACACTTTTATACCTCAGTCGCATAGACGAGACCGATGATAGACCAAACTAAAATGCATGTACGGTATTACATTGACACAGAAATGGCAAGATATTGTTGGGTAATCATTAGGATTGGAATTGGTCTAGCAGTGTGATGGGGGGTATAACCGAGTTTCAAAGTATTATGCTGATAAAGAGATAGAGGAAATGAGAGATGTGTGATAAGATATGTGAGTCAAAGAAATGAGAGAGCAGAGAGGAAAATAAGCAGGAAGTGAAAGATGAGCAGGCTACAGTATGGCAAAATTGAATAAAAGCAGTGAAAGAAAGGAATGTGTATGGTGTTCAAAAAGAAGGGCGAGTTCTGGTAAGAAATGTAAATTAACAGATAATTTGATGAATGCATCCCATCATTCGATAGATTACACCCCCCCCCCCCCCGGTACATTTGCATTGAATTTGGGCCCCCAAAATGGTTCTAATTTTGCATTTGTCATTAAAAAACATTTGTTGAGCCATAAAACAATTATAACCACATGTCACCCTGGTTTGTAAATGATAATTTTGTTTTTCCCAACATTGCTTGCCACCAATTACCAGGACTAAACCAAAATTATAGTTATTTTGTATCATTTTTAACAGGCCATTTATGTGCTTTTCATGATCCTCCCACTTCAGATATCTGTACCGGTATATGTTTGTATTTTGAAGATTATATAATATTGTCTTTTATCTTGAAGTGGAAATAAATGAAATGAAATATCTCTATTCATAGTATTCCCAGCTGGAATGGAGCTCTCATTGTCTCTATAGAGAGCTGAATAACAGATGCTACGTGTATGTCAGCATTATCTCACACCAATAATCTCATAAGACAAGATGATATCAGTTAAAAAAATATTGCACTTTATTTTGTACAAACAATTTACAAGTATACATTTACTTGGAATAAGACAAAAAAAAATAGAAATAAAAAAGAATAGTATTCAAGTTTTAGACATGACAGAAAACATCAAGGCAATTTGTTCACAATAACAACTTTTTTCTAAACACATATAGAATACCAATGTTGAATCATATGGGTCAAAATATATTTGAGTTATTTTCTACATATCCATTGGATGGATAGTAATTCTTTAAAATGTTAATATATTTGAATGCCCCTGTGGATGTATTATAAGCAATAGGAAATTTAGACCCTAAAACGCTTCTGCTTTTGAGAGAAATTGAATATATTACATCACAGAGACATTACCTATTCAACAAATTTGAAGAGTCCAATAGTGATTAAACAACTTTCTCATTTTTTGTCCGAGTTCATTCAAACTGTCACCAGTAGTAGTTAGCTGTCAAGGTTGGATTTCTAATAAAACACTAACTTGTGTCTGATTTTAGAATTTTAAACATTGACTATAATGAGCTGAAATTTGTACACAAATACAAATTTTACACTGTTCAAAGGACTGGCCATATTATATGAATAATTACACATAACCATTACTCTGCACTTACAAACCAAGTGATATCAGAATACAAAGTTCTACATGTAAATTATATCAATTTGGTTTGAGATCATTATTGCTAACGAGATAAAAAGACGTTTTGAGTTATTGCCCCTCCAAGCATAGTCAATTACAGTCTCACCTGTCTATAGCGACCACCCAAGGGAAACACAAAAAGTGGTCTTTTAAGACAGGTGGTCTTTGTAGACAGGATCCTTTAGTACATGTTTCAATGAGAAGCAATTTTCAAGGGAAACAAAAGATGTGGTCTTTATAGACAGGTGGTCACTAAAGCAGGTTTGAGTGTATTTTTTAAATTTGAGGTAAACCTCTTCCCTCAATTTTCTTGAGCTATCTGTATTGTAGTACCATGGCACCAAATCCTTTAAAATAAAACCAAATAATCAGTTGATCTAGCTGATGGACAGGCTAAGCCAAAACAATGAATTGGCGTTTAGTCTACAACCAGATGGTCTTCTACGCAAGTAGTCGATTCCCATATGGTCTACACCCAACCCATCTACTATCAGCATGGTCTAATAATAATTTTGTCTACTTATCATTTGGTCTAATTTCCATATGGTCTAATCTCCAATTAGACTACTACCCACTTGGTCTATTCTTCATTTAGTCTAATAACCAGTTAGTCTAATTCCCAGTTTGTCTTACGCCCATTTTGTCTACCATCAATCAGGTCTAATAATCAATTGATGATCATTATTATTCATGATTAAATAAGTATTGGAACATATGGGTGTAGACCAATTGGGTAGTAGACGAACTGGTTGTAGACCGAATGGCTATAAACCAGTCAAAACTTTCAGTCAGCTTTAGCAGCTAGGTGTGGACCTTGTCCTTTCTTCAGCTTCCATATCTTTCTCATGAAAATTATCCTTTCTCCAATTTCTTCTTGTACTTCTTGATGATGTCATACTGACATTACCAAGGTCGTCTCCTCTTCAATGGCTTCCATTAGTTCTTAAAGCTGTTGCATCCTGCAGAGGAGATTGCCATTTTGTCCAACCATGCCCTACGGCTACGACACTTGTCCTTTTTTCAATCGCTTCCAGTACTTCTTGACACTATCGTGCCCTGCCGGAGAAACGATCATGATGCGTCTTGCAGTACTATCCCAGATAAGTACACCAAGGTCCTGGTAAAGAAAAGAAAGGATCCATTTCATGAATTGTAATAATTACAGATGTAAGTACATCAACCTGAACAAAAACATAAAATCATTATATGTGTAGAACAAGCTTTTAATTGTCGATTTCTTCACGAGAGTATGCAGAAAAGAATGCCTTCCAAAAACTCATCAAAGTTCAGAAGTAAGAAACATAATATCTTGAACCGCATGACTAATTAATATAACCAAAACTAGCTAGTAGTGTACCAAAATAAAGGGCAACTGAATACCGATCCTTTCTATTGTACAAATTCCGTGCTACATGTACATACCTTAGCATAGTCCCGTAGCACCTCAAAGTCATGAAGAGACAAGAACTCATTGTATATGATACCTAGAAAGAAGGATAAACATAGATTAAAGTCCTTTTTTATCATATTACCAGAGGATGCATAACCTGTAGCAAGGCTGATGCTGTGTTTTCAATGCTCTGGAGCTGAAAAGGCAAATTCTGTAATTGGCAGAGACATCCACTGAGTGGGCAGGCAATCTATAATCTTGTATTTCTTGGAAGCATGTCTTCTTTCACATTTAGGTTAACAACACTCCCAAAAGTTGAAAACTAAATAAATGCAAGTCTTTCTTTCATGACACATTTTAAACATGTGATTACCCTTGAATACCTTCAGCCAAAATGATTTATTGAATCCACTGGGTTGATTTCCACACATACTACACAGACTTAATAAATTATGCAACACTTATTGTTGCATTATTTCAGCTGTGTCAGAACACTTATACACTTCACATTTATTTCATTTTGACTCTAAACGCCCAGGACTTGAAAGTCATCAGTTCCAGTAACAGGCCATTCTTAATTAGTTAGAGGGGTAGAAAATGCCCCACCCCCCCCCCCCCAAAAAAAGAAAATATCCTATCAAGGCAAAGGGCATACAATAAAGTGAAATTAACAAGTTTCCTGTTATGTGTTTTATGACAATTCAATGAACAGAAGTGCCAGACAGACCGGAGGGACAAGCATCAAATCTATGATTGTGGGAAGTCTTACAGAGCCATGCATGCTTACCTTGTGTGAAACTGAGTCTGTCTCTCTCCAGCTCCCACAGTCTGACCTGATCACTAATAGTAGGAGGTACGATAGGTGTCTGGATGGAGAAAAAAAATAAACAAACAGTCAATTTCCATTAAAGTGACTCGATAACATATTGCCTCAGATTCTAAACAAAATCATGGATTTAGCTCATGCTGCAATCATAATTATATACCTTTAGGTCAGTCAGGAACCCCATGAATTTTATAAGCCGATTGCCTTTCTGATTTTCAAGATATTTATGGTTGGAATTCGAAATGTCAGAATTGTGTTCCTAACGGTTTTTATAACACTACAGTCTATTGGGGAAAATGAGTATGGTAAAACCAGTCACTCAAAGATTTTTACTTTTTGAGGCACTTCATGATCATTTTGAAGCGCAATTTTTTTTAGGGCTTCAATATTACACCATATCACAGACACTGATAACATGTTGGGCCATGCATCTCAGATTTAACATTGTTAAACGATCCTTTTAATGGATGAAATAAACAAACAAAAAAGCTTGTTCAAGACTTTGATTGATGATAAAGCTCTCCTAGTCTTACCTTCAGTCTCATGTTAGGGTGTGCATGAGTTCTCAAGAAACTTAGAATCTGTTCAGCTGTGATTCCATTCGATATGGCTAACTGTACACTCTCCCTCGTCAAAGCAGCCACAGAAAGGTTTGGGAACCTATAAAAAGGAGAATACAAATTCATGAAGGACTGCCTTTAACAAGAACGGAACTTGAATGTATATTGAGCTGGTACATAAATGTTAGAGAACCTAAATAAATGTAGAGCTTACATACAGAAACAACAGGGAGCAGAGGTAGCACTATATCAGAGTTGCCAACCTTGTGCAACCAACAATAAAAAAGGAACCATGATGGCAAAAAAAGAGGAATTTCAAGCAACAAAAAAAGGAATTCATTAAAACAAAACTTACAAACATGTGCGACATACTTCCAATGCAGAAATGTCCATTCCTCATGCTGTTATTTCTATGTTAGGACTTATAGTTTATTATTAACAAGTAGTACGTTTTTGTTGTTATTTTTTGGTATTATCTGGGTTTCATTCTCTTTGAGAATATTTTTCTCTTCAAGTATGTTTTAACCTTAGTTTTCTATTGAAGTAGTGATCAACATTTTGGGGCATTTGGTTGACGTGCGGTATGTGAAAAAAAAAGAAAAAAAAAAGAAAGTATTTTATGAAGAAAAAACGTACTACCATAATTTTGAGAGAAGAAAAACAGAACAAAAATCGGGGAAAAAAATGGTTGGTAGCTCTGCTATATTAATACCATAAAAAATAACAAGGGGAGGTAGCAAAAAAGAGAGAGAGAGGGAGGACGGGAGGAAGGGAGAGAGAGATAGAGAGAGAGAGAAAAGTGAAGAGAGTGGAAGAGAAGCGACAATCTCACCTGTACATCATAGAGCAAAAGAGTCCCAGTATTTCAACCTGGAGATCCGACTCTGTGTAGGCATAGACACGGAAGTTGGTTTCCACGACGATGAAGCCGTCTTTGTGATCATCCTTGGCCATACTTGATACACCTGCAATCAGAGAATAGAAATATCAATCAGAAGGCAAGAACCACAGGTTTATTGTGGGTCTAGAAACATAGCCTGCCTACTATCCACATGGTCTAATAATCATTTGGTCTACTTATCATTTGGTCTAATAACCATTTAGGCTAATAGTCTTTTGGTCTGATTCACAGTTTGTCTAATGCTCATTTTGTCTACTATCTATATGGTCTTATGATCAAAATAGTCATAAACGATAATCATCATCAAATGGTTATTAGACCTTATGGATGGTAGACGGAACGGGCATTAGACAAACTTGGAATTAGATTACCTGGTTATTAGACTAAATGAACAATAGATTAAATGGGTAGTAGACTAATTGGAGATTAGACCATATTGAAGTTAGACTAAATAACTATTAGCCTAAACGGCCATTAGACCAAATGATAAGTAGACAAAATTATTAGTAGACCATCTGGATAGTAGATGGGCTGGGGGTAGATCAAGCGGCAATTCATCAAATCCCACATACTTGGGCACAATGATCATCTACCGGGTAAAAGAACCACACTAGCAATCAATTTTACACAAGTCTATGAGACCGTTCTATTCCTCATCAATTACTGCATTCATCTTGATCATGTTGATTCTTTTGTACTTTTTTCTTAATAACTTGATTTCTATTTACAGCAGGGGGGAGGATTTGGGAGTCCTGAAAAATAGTTTGAATGGGCAGTAGACTAGTTGGAGATTAGACCATATGGAAATTAGACCAAATGACTATGAGCCTAAATGGTCATCAGACCAAATGATAAGTAGACAAAATGATTTCTATTGTGTTCAACTCTTGATCTTAGCTACTCACTCACCTGAAGCTAAGTTGATGGCAAGCCTGGTTGGGTAGTAGCGCATGGACTTCCTCTGAAATTGTAAAACATATTACAGCATGAGCGTGCTTCCAGGAATGAAACAGCTTGATTGACTCAAACAGGTTTATTGCAAGGTGCTTCTGAGGTAACAAAAGTGCTTCAGGAACCAAATTATAACATTATAAGAATAAAATTAATCTACTAGAGGTGAACAAAAAGTTAACTGGAACATGTCAGATCATCATATAAATAATAAGAAACAATACTATGAAGCATGATACGATGTTAAGTGAAACTCTATAAACAATATGCCCTTCATATCTATGAAAAAAACATTACTTACATCGGAAACATGCTTGTACCTTATCCAGTCATTTTGCTGTCTAACAAGGGTTTTGCACCCCCCCCCTTCCCCTGGGCAATGCCCCTGGTAACAATCATCAACTCACCTTTCTTTGGAACACTAAGCCTAGCTCTCTCAGATGCTGCAAGAAATGAAGCTGCTGCTCAGTCATGCCCTCAGATGAATAGTCCTGAAAATCATTGTATAAAGAGGAGAAAGAAAACATGATGAAATCTTTTTATCAACATCTGTATATTGCTGATAATAATGTAAATGGTATTGAGAATAAAACAAGAGAGCTTTGACTGGTTGAGTAAATCATAACGTGTAGTTTAAGCTTCTACCAACCTTACAATTTAGTAGGCAAGCTTTCATTCACTCCTGTGGACTCTCTCAAGCCAAGTGATTATTCACAGTTTCTTGCTCTAGTGATCTCAAGGCAGAAGACAGCAAGTAACTGTGTATATAATCACTTGGCTTGAGATGAAAGCTTGTCTACTTAACTTTAAGGTTGGTAGAAGCTTAAACTACATGGTATTGAGAATGTTTTTCTCTCTGTGACAATCTGGCAACGCTATATCATTTCCTGTATATTAAACAGTGACTGGTTCCTCTTTTATCACAAGAAAATTCACTGAAATGACATGCTTAGATTCTAGATGCCACTAAATGTGCTTGAAGGGAGTTCTAGTAATTCTATTGAGAGACATAAGTAATACATGACATAAACTAAATCACTCATACCCCTTGTAAATTTGATGTTTTCTGTGTTTTTCGTAACCCAAAAATGAAAGGTGGACTGGTTGAATTTAATGCCTTTGTTGAGCACTTTTAGATGTTAGCTTTAATATGTCACATTCTCAAGAAACAGGACAAATCAATTTTTTGTTTAGCATTGCTTTGTTTTAAGCATTTTGATGATAGTGAGCCTTGCCATGCACATCAGACTTACTTAGACCCACAAGCCAGTAGGCCCACAGGTATTTGACTTACTTTTCCTAACGTTGAGAAGCTGAGTTGGAAGAGGAAGGAGAGAGCGTCTACGATGTCTAGACCTCGAGCCTGGGAGGTCTCTAGATACTGCAGCATGAAGAACCAGACCTGAGAGGGGGTATCTAGGAGCAGGAACTGAAAACCAGAGGGTGTGATCACCGGCGTTCCTCCCGATTCACCTCTGAAAAACAACAAATCAGTTACAATGTTTATTCAACAAAAAAAAGAAGAAAAAAAAAGAAAACAAATTACAACAAAATTATTTTAAAAAGAAATTGATGTACAGACTCCCGATTCACCTCTGGAAAACAACAAAACAGTTAAAATGTTGTATTCCTTAAAAAATAATTAAACAAATTTGATGTTTAGGATCAAGGTCATAGAATTGAATGAACTTGCTGTGTAGTTATCACATCTTTTTATAAAAACCTATTTTTGAGGACCAGTTCCTCATAAAAAGTAGCCCATGATACACTCTCTTTAAGAATTTGTTTCATTATCATCATCATTGATTAAAGTCACCATTTTGCCTCTTACGAGGGGTTACCGACTATTGTGCCATGTTGAAACTCCCTCCCTCTACTACTTCTGGTTTCGAGCATCCTCCTCATTTAGTCCTTACTGCTTCCTTTATTCACAATATCTTTTCATGAAGTCTTCCTTTCCCTCTTATGCCATCCATTTCCCCCACTCCCACTCTTTTCACAGGTTCATCATCTTTCCTTCTTAACCAAGACCCATCCATCTCAATCCACTTCTCTTTACCACTTCCACTAGTTTCTTCCAGACCCAACCTTTCCATGAGCTCACTCGTGTCCTTTCTATCTGACAGTTTCACACCACACATCTTCTGTAATAAATAAGTTTAAGATAGTTCCTTGGAAACTTATAGAGCGCAAAATAATATCCATCAGTTATTAGAATGACTACCTCATGTTTTCATATATGACTTTTGCAATACCCAGTATATTTAAACCGTATGCACTGTGATTTAAATAAGGATCACAATTTATAAATATACACAATGCATAAACTGTATGACACTTACTGCATTGACAATTGCAAATCGAGGGTTCAGTGACACAAAGACGTAACTCCATTTTTTGCCAAAATGAGTGTTTGATATCAAAATGTTCAGAAAATTTTTGTCTTTCCAGGAAACACAAAAAACTTAACTCCTTCCAACACCCCATAGACCTAAATTCTTAAGGCCAAAGTGCTCAGTGACACATAAACCACTTTTTCTCAAAATGTCCAAAATGGAGTTACGTCTTTGTGTCCCTAACCCCTCGAAATGTACTCACAATCTCATGAGACCCGAATGAGTCAAGACGGTAGCAATATCTCGACTCAACGTATCTACAGCCTTGGAGGAGCCCACCAAGAAATGAAGTACACACTGCAAAAAAAACAATATACATAACTGTAAATAAAATAAATTAGATCAATTTATATAGCGCATCTACTACATAAATATACCATACTGCGCTGTGATGAAAACAGAACGCTTAACAGTGCTACTTTACAGACACACAATAAACAAAACTATTCAAAAGCTCCTGAAAACAAGTGCGTCTTCATCAAAACTTTAAAGACAGCAACAGATGAGGCTTTTCGTATGTCTAGTCTAAGTTATTCCTGCTCATATACTTATTTTTATAAGTTATTTAGGCATACTTTAATACAGTCATAAAAGGAGTATGCCTGTATCAAGTGACGGGTCACAGCAAAAGATGTAACTAAAACCAGGTTAATACTTTGGTATTTAACAGTTGTTGTGCAGAAAGTTCTTATCTTCTATGCAACACTATTATGTTATTAAAGTAATTAATATTGTTATTATTAAAACGAGCATTCTTTTCCTAATTGTTGAGCTGTCATGACCATATATGTCCTATACAAAGGAAATACTGGTAGTCAAATAATGTTCGTATTTGGAGGAGTCACTTCAAGGGTTGAATTTATCAGATAAAAGAGTTGTTGCACATCAGAATGAACAACTCCCGTATATCTTTAATCCGTTTACATACCTCCCATCTTTCCGAAGAGTACTTGTCAAGAGTAGCTGTTTCTTTCACTTTCTTGTCCTTTCCTCCTTTTCCACCTTTGCCACTGATTGCCCATGGCTTGCCTCTGATTATTTATCATTGAGAAGAAAAAAAAACAGGAAAAAAACAAAACACATTGATTGCTGGAAGTAGGAATAAAGAAGATAAATCAGGAAGGACACATAGAAATTAAACTTTCAAAGGTTTTTATAGGTAAACCCACCCTTCAATAAGAGAGATAGATAGAGAAAGATAGATAGAGAAAGGGAGATAGAAATTGATATATATATATATATATATATAGAGAGAGAGAGAGAGAGAGAGAGAGAGAGAGAGAGAGAGAGAGAGAGAGAGAGAGAAAGGGAGAGAGAGATAGAAATAGATAGAGAGAGATTGATTAGAAAGAGGGGGATGTGTCAAGAATACACTCAAGTCTCATATAAGAGAGGAGATGCACTTAACCACACATGTATAAGTCAGACTGATATATGTAAAAACATCAGAGTTGCATTCATCCTCCTACCAAAACAAGGGATGGAAAGCAACACAGTTACTCTTGAGTAAGAGGCAAATATAGAATTACTGGCATTAGACCTGTCATTAATAATACCAAAAACATATAGTCATCCTGTAACAAACTGGATACCCTTACCCTCCAATAAGAGCAGTCTTGAGATTAGTCCTGAAGGTGAGATTGAGAAGCCATCCTGGAAGGCCGCCGGGCAGTGACTGGTCCCTGAACAGACGAAGATCCGTCAATGTTTTCAGTGCTGCATGCAGCTGTCTATAAACAATAACAAAAAAAGGGACAAAATATCTAAACATTACCCATTCAAATACAAAAGACTTGAGATTTATAGCTGAGACAGTTTAATGATTTTGTTTCATTTAATCCCTTTACAAATGACATTAATCACATTAAAGTATAAAATTCTCAGATGAACATGAAGACCAAGGCATTGAGATTAATATATATTAATACTATTTGTCTATATTTGTATTGTTTCTGTATTATTTTTTAGATCTTCTCTTGATAAAGCTTGAATTGAAGTTTTTAACCAATTGAAAATACAACTTTATATCAATGGACAGCTGAATGTAGGTAGAATATAATATAGAAAGCCCAAAAGATTCAAAAATTCCCCCTTTCAATATAGCACAAAAGCAAATTTAAAAAAATCTTTCTACACTCCTCAAAATTACACGTCAACAGGGAGCAAATTTGTCGTATTTGCAACCTGTAGAGAAATTAAAATTCCTTGTTTTTCTATAGGAATTGGCAAATTTTCCAACCTTTTGACAATATTTTCAATTATTGTTGCCAATTTGAAGAACAAAGCGAGATCAATTTAGCCCTATAAATAAATCTTGTCCTGAAAGGATTAACTTACTCCTGCTGATTGCTCTGTATCCATGAGGTGACTGATTTTGTTTTCTTCAGAGACATACCATCTTAACTAAGATCTTATCTTAACAATGTAGCAAACTAGCAATAAAAGAAAAAATAATTATTGTTGCCAATTTGGAGAAAAAAATGTGATCAATTTTGCCCTATAAATAAATCCTGTCCTGAGAGTGAGAGGGTTAACTTACTCCTGCTGGTTGCTCTGTATCCATGAGGTGACTGCAGCTTGGGGAATGGGAGTGTCAATGAACAAAACCCTCATGATGCAATGTTTGCCCAAAACTGGAAGCTCACTGCACAGAAAGAGGTAATAATATACAACAAATTAGTTCCAATATTAAAGAAAAGAATGTCATACAAGTAAAGCCAGACTCCCCATCCCCAAACATTGCCAATAAACATCTATTGACTACAACTTTTTAATTGCTAGTGAAAAATTGGATATTAATTATTAAAATCTATCTATTTATACTTACAGGAGTTAGGCCTAGTGCAGATCTATTAAGTCATAATTAGAGTGTGAACATGGTGAAAAGCCATTATTAGTTTTTTCATTTAAATAACCATGTTTTGTTAGGCAAATTCATGCAAAAAAATATATTCAAAAAATTGACTTGAAAACACATCACACAATTAGTCTGAACCGAGTCAGGAGCAAATTTGAAGAAATTATATTTTTAAATGTTGTAAAACCAAAGATATAAGAAGAAAACTGACCAAGTATCTGTACTAAAAATCGTACATGTAAAATTGGTCGTAGACATTCGACAGCTGAATATGACGCGCACGGTTGCATTACGTGCGTTCTCGAATCCAAAATCGTACCTCACACACACACTCTCGCCATACCGCGAATGGTCCGTCGTGGGGAGCTAGCCGGCAGAGAGTTTGCAGCGATACCAACGCAGCTTCGGAGCTCCGCAGCGCGCCATTTTAGCGGGACTCAGAAAGGTTTGCGATGGGAAGGCAGCGGCCTAGCTTTTTGCCCAAACAACGCTAGATCGGCTGCTGGCAAAATGAAAATAACTACGATCGAGAACATCGTCGGTTTCTTAACTTTTCAGTGAGATAATTCTGAATTCTAATTGAGACTATATAATAAATTAAATCGACAAAGAAACCTTGGTAGAACTCTTATAACTATACAAAAGCTTGTTTATTTCTTCATTTGACATTTTGTTTTCGACCATTTTTTCGTGCGCGAGTCAATGTAAACTATGTATTACCAAACTTTCAACACGCAAGGAACGGGGAACACTCGCGGACCTCGTAACAAATTCGTTGCAAAAAAAAATTTTCAAGGGTGATTTTGAAGCAGTGAAGAACATTGGCGCTGCAATGCGCAGAAATATACTTGAAAGAAACTTAAAAATTAATACCTGAATTTTCAGAAAATCGTATTTGTATTAGTGTACCTAGATGTGACTTGTATCTAAATCAGATTTATGAAGATTTGTCGGGAAAAAATGTCAATTTTTTCCGTTTGGTGGTCATTTCTAGGCTAATATTTTAAAAGTTGCATCAGTAATGGGCCTGATGTTTCTCTTATCGTACTCGCATGTTATTTCTACATAGATTAAACATAGGATGGTTAAGGGTAAGACCAGATAACATTATAAAAAAGATATATCCTTCCACCCTCCCATATCCAAGTTTTGGGCTGATTATTGCCGACCCACCGCAGCAAGGCCATTCAGATTTTCGTACGCGCGCAAAGCGCCCTCTAGTGCCCCATGAATGTGCCTAGTTTTGTGACAAGCCAGAATTTATTCCCATTTTTTCCTTTAAATATGTTTACAAATTATGTAAGATTTAAATCTAGAATTAGATCTAGACCTAGAGTTGACCTCAAAATGTTAATTGTCATCAGTAGGGGCGCTGGTTGGAGAATTAGGAATGTCTGCATGAACGAGGATATTCTCGAAAACTTGGACAAATCGTGTCCTAAAAAATAAGGATTGTCCACATTTTCGAGTAGACTTTTTTTTCTTCGGCGCTCTGCAGATGTAGTGTTCCTGATCCGTGCACTGGCAATGCGAAGAATGAATTCCGCGTAATAAAATACCCCCAATTCACCGTCTACTTTTATGGGTTTTTCCATCTTCTCAAGGATTTATCGTTCATAACGTGAAAGTTTCTGTGCAAAGTAAATGTGAAAATGCATCAAGGAGCATGAGTATCATCACAGAATCCATTTTTCGCATCGCCAACATGCGGCTTGGAATTAAGAATTTTCCGCATGCATGCTTTCTCTTCCATGTTAAATTGACGATATACAACATGGGATGAATTGGGTTAGGACGAGGATTCACCCTTTTTTCCATCGAACTATCGAAGACTTCTTCAAAATCAAAGTTCAAAATCAAATTATAATTTCAAGTGGTCAGAGGAGTTGAAAAACATCGTAATTGTAAACCTAAGTCAAAATCGAATTCTTAGGGTCTACTTCTTTACATTTTGAAAAAATGTGACCCAACCGAACCCACTCCAGCAAAGCATAGAGAGTCCATGCTAATGCGTATGGACCTCTAGCACTGCATGTATGTGGTATGCACGGGGTGGATTTTTTTTAGTATTAAGATCATAAAATGTAAGACAAATACAACATAACATAGGTTATGTTATATTTGTCTTACATTTTACAGTATTTAAGATTATTAAATTATTTTTATAATAGAAAAAAAGAATTCAAAACTAACTTTTAAAGCCCTTTTTCCTCCTTCTTTTACAGAGACGGCAGCATGATTCCCTCCTCGATTGCGATGACCTCAAAACTGCGCACTTTACGCACACCATACACTGACTTCTACATGCGCTACAATTCGCCACAAAGACAGCTCGCCCTGAACAACTCGACACAATACCCTCCCTGGATATCTCGCCACAATACCCTGGACAACTCGACCGTAGCAAGTTGTGCAGGGTATTGTTGCGAGATGTACAGGGTATTGTGTCGAGCTGTCTTGGGGCGGGTTGTTTTTGTGGCGAGTTGTCTAGGCCCCGGTGAAAACATACGTGACTGTTGACTTGGATTTCGATGCTCGTGACCCGTGGCTCTTGCGCAACATCTGACGGGTAGTTTTCTTATCTCGCAGACGTTTTCATTTATTGCTTTATCGCAGGTTTAAAGCACCTAGGCCTCTTATTCCGTACAAATTTCTAGATAGACTTTCGAAATGCTTATTATTAGTATCATTATTAATATTATTATTATTAAGACCCCAAAATTGCTAAATTGAATATTATACTTTGGAATTATATAGTAATGCTCCGCCACCTCTGTCGGCTAATAGTTGGGCTGAAATGTATACCAAACTCTAAAAACGCTCGTACGCAATAGCCTACCGCTGAGCTGTGTACACAACCGATCGCGTCCATATCAACATGCATATATTCGGACGTAAGCGGTCGCGAACGGTCTTTAAAAACAAAGGTCATAAAATCCGAAAATGGCGCACGTTAGCTGAATTGCGGATGGGCTATAAGCAAACAAGTAGGCCAGATGTCTAGAAACCAAGGAAATTTACACTAACGAAACTTGTAAGTTCCATTCTTTATTTATTTGTGATGGGTTAGTCTAGATCTATATCCCATTTAATTAATTAGTAGGACATTTGAAAGTGTCATACCGCAGGCTTTCAAATGTGTCGCGTTAATGTGCTGGTGCCAGTGTTGCCTGTTTTACTACACAGTCAGGATAGTGATGCTCCTATGTGTGACCGAACCCGCTTTTTGAATCGTTTTCCTATGCAGGCTCTGCACTGGTACTCTGACGGACGTTGATGACACAAATGTTCACCTGTGGGACCACACTTTCAATGAAAGGCAATAAATTAAATCCCAAATAAGCATTCTTTTGATTATATTTTACCGAAAAACAGCCAGACATGTTGCAGGATGATTGTAAAGTCTATCTAAGACAGATCCTTGAAGGGTCCGTAGATAACCATGGAGATCTTTGCAGTCAAGTTTCCTTGAATTATCAAATGCATCTTCACTGGAAGTCGCCATCTTGGATATCGATATCGGATCTAAGGCCAAGGGCTGAACTAAGTTTGTTTTTGTTAGGGTTAATTTCAAAGAAATGATCAAGCGTATATATTTCAGTTTAGGTGAGTAGAAAATATTGTTATAAATTTGATAAGACTTTAACCAAAGGCAAAAATAGAAGCCGTGCAGGTGAGAAAGAAGACCTAGATCTAGATCTAGATCGAATTGCTTTGGCTTTTCTCAGTTGTTATTACTCTTGTCCCACGTATTTTATTTTGTGTTATTAATATTAGTTAGGCTGTACGTGGCAAGAAGATGGACTCATCACGAAGAACTTTGCGCATATACGCATTGCAGAGCTACCTGCGTTACGTCACTGATATAAGAAAAAGATTGAGAAGGAGCTCGAGGAAATGAATAGGAAAAAAACAAGAAGGGGAGAGAGAAAATAGAGAAGCAGAGAAGAAAAGGAGGAAGAAGAAAGCGAAAGATAGATGAAGAGTTGAAGATTGAGCTGAGCTGAGCACGAAGCAATATTTCTTACATTTAGCGCTTGCGCAGTTACGTTTAATCGGTCTCCGCCTCATTTGAATTACCCGCCCGCGCCCCGCCCACGAATCAACGTTCTTGTTCCTTCTGATTGGATGTAAAAGACCCGCCATTCGCTTAACGTTACAAATTTGAGTGCGACGAGAGAGCATACTATTTTCCGTTTTTTTCAATACCAAAATTGTGATATTTCAGTCAAACCCTCTATTTTTAATGATTTTTTCACTTAAGTATTTCACTTAAGTATTTCACTTAAGTATAAGTCTTACTTAACTAAGAAAAATTATCAAAAAAGTCATATTGAAGGTACAAACTTGATTCTTTTCCTGAAATGTCCGTTCACGTTTCGTTTGCATGTGTATGGAACGCCATGTGTGCGTCACCTATGTGTAAAGTGCGTCACCTGTTTAAAGCCTGAAATTTCAGTGTTTTTGGTATCCATTTTTGTATGATTGACAGCTAGGGCGTCAGAGCCGAAGTTTGCTTCCTTTGTTCGGTAATAATTCCGAACCATACAGCTGAGTGTCGTATGAAATCGTTCGCCGTGTTTACGTCTGATTGTGACTGCGTATATGTTGTACTTTGAACTGGTTGTGGTCAGCGTTCGTAGTATTTCCATGGTTACGCGTTTGCGCGGCCTGGCCTGGGGGAAACTGCCTGGCCTGGGGGAAATTGCCTGGCCTGGGGGAAACGGCAATATGATTTCGGCGTTTTGTAAAAACACACCAGGAACTAACTAAGCTCCGAAGGGTGCTCAACCGAGATTTGGTGGTCTCCATTCCTACATTAATTTCTTTGTCAAATAATAAGCACTTTGTCAAATAATTAAAGCACTCTGTCAAATAATTAAAGCACTCTGTCAAATAATTAAATGCAAATACAAGTCCGAAATGGAAAGTTGTAATATGACAATAAAATAACATATCAGTAATAGTTTCATAAATGAGAGGCAGGTTAGTATACTTGCTAACAAAACTGACAAATTTGATAAAAATGGTTAAATCTTGAGAGGATTTTGATCGTTTGACAGTATTATATAATTGAGTTTCCCAAATTATTTTCAGTAACAATGTTGCATTTTTTTTTTGTTGGGGGGGGGGGGGGTAAAAAAAAATTAGTGGGGTTGGGGGCAGCTTTTTTTTTTGGTAATTATTTTTTTAATATTTCTTTTTTGTATGTGTAGTATCATATTATTATCAATGTTATGCTTTCAGTCATCGCTTATTATATTCATAATGTATATATATATCTCTCTCTCTTTCCGTCTCACTCTTTCGTCCCCCCTTCTCTCTCTCTCTCTCTCTCTCTTTCTCTCTTCCTCTCTTCCTCTCTTTCTCTCTCTTTATCATCACTCCAACTCTCCCTCCTCTACACCTCTCTCTTTCTCTGTCTTTTATTTAACAAAAATTTGAATTTGATCAATGACTTTTTAAATGCCTATCGGGGGTCTATGTTTGATTTTTGATTTATGTCATATTTTGTGTTATTTCAATTTAAATTGCAATTGTATGTTTGTGAAATGGATCGCAATTCAGCCATTGGCTGCGATGATCTTTCTAATAAGAACCATTTCTATTCTATTCTACTCTATGTATTCAAATATGTTATTCAGAGATGTCGGAGGGTATCATTAAATGTATAACTTATGTAAGTGCATACATCTTTGATGCGGTCATTCTTTTCCTGTTCAGTCCAATTTCATATTAGATCAGAGTGAGATGTGATGGAAAGGGGGTATGACATTGAGATAAATAATTAGAGAGAAAGAGAGAGAGCGGGGGGGGGGGGGGGGGGGGGGCCTTGTGTTGGATGTCAATTTTCAAAGCTCAAAAAAAAAACTATGCTCATTTTAAGAGGAAATTAAAGGAATACCTAATACTTGACAGTCGGAGAAGTGAATGACATGTGATTGAAATTTGTATTCTTCTGCCGGTTCATACTTTTTCATTTTGTATATATTTATGTTTTCGTACGTTATAGAAATTCTACTAATTCATCATTATTTTCTTCTTCTTCCTCCTCCTCTTTTTCTTCTTCTCCTCTTCCTTTTCTTCTTGTACTTATTATCATTTCTATCATCAGTTTAATGTTGTTATTATTATTATCTTTAAAAGGTAATTCTTTTATTTTTCTTATCTGTCTGTAAATATGACTATTTTTACTTATTAATTTTATACATGTCTGTAAGGGACCCCACTGGAAATAAGCTCTTGTGGGTTATCCTGTTCAAGCTGACTTGTTGATTTGTTATTATTGTATAATGTTGTATGTTCGAAGCTTGTCGAATAAAACTCAATCAATCAATACATACATATACCTCCACACTCAGGCGCGGATCCAGAATTTCTTAGGGGGGGGGGGGGGGGATTTGAAATTATGCAAGCCAAATATTGGTACGTAATGGTGACCCAGCAGTGGCGAAATGAGCAAAAACGTGTTATTGTTGATGTTGTTGTTGGTGTGTTTTTTTTTTTTTTTTTTTTTTGAGGGGGGGGGGGGGGGAGGTAGAAACGATCAACGTAACGTAAATTGGCGTGGGGTCTAGGGTCGAAGCCCCGGCGGGGGTCAAGGGGAGGAGCACACAGAAGCTCAGGGAATATAGGCTTTTAATTACGGTCAGATGAGCACATTTTGACTCCTCATTATTTTGTGACAAAGGCAGGTCACTATTCTTTTTTCCTTATTTAGGAATTTGCCATTTCCCAACACTCATAAAAAAATCTAGGAAAATCATGTCATTTTAGTAATATTTGTAAATCACCGGTATCGAATTAGAAATAAACCACGTTTGAATTATATTTTGGGGGCATCTGTCACCCCCTTCCCCAAGCCCCAACCCCCCCCCCCATCAGTGCGACAGTGCCCCCCCCCCAATCTACACCTTAACTATCTTCTTTCTCTTTTTTTCTTTCCCTTTATCTCCTCTTTTTCCTTTCCCTTTCCTTCCTTCTCTCTTATTTTGTGATGGGGGGGGGGGGGGGGAGGTAACAGCTGGGAGGCAAGGCCCTTTCGCCGCCCGATCTCCTTTCCCCTTTTTCTTTTCTTCTTCCTCTTCTTTCTTTCCCTTTCTCTCCTCTTTCCCTTCTTTCTCTCTCTCTCTCTCTCTCTTTTTGCGGGAGGGGGGGGGGGGGGCGGCAAAGTCCGTTCGCCCTGGATCCGCGCCTGTCCGCACTCATTGAGTCATCTCTTTTGCTTTGTACAACTAATACATTTCCTAATTATGAGCAGCACAGCTCATTACGACAATCGTGTCTAATGTTTATGAACTTGTTTTCCATTTTAATTGGTAAATTGATATTTAAATGTATTAATACATGTATGTATTTACATACATGTAGGAGCATCAGCTATCATGGCTTCAAGAAATCATGACACCCAGGTTGCGGGACGTGGACCCTGCTCCTGTGCAACCCACAAAATATGATAAAAATAACATATAATTATAGAATGTTGTACTGTAAAACATCATCATAAGAGAAAAGAGGTGGAGAGGAGGAGGGAGGGACAGAAAGTGTGAGAGAGAAACAGAGGGGATGAAGGAGAGACGAAGGGAGAAAGAGGAAGAGGCAGAGAGAGCAAAGAGAGAGAGAGAGAGAGAGAGAGATACAGACAGAGAGACAGGGGGTGGGAGTGAAATAGAAATAGAGAGGAAAGACCAGAACTGAAGAAGAAAAGGAAAATCTGAAAAGTAGCAAGTTCAGATAGAGAAAAGGGATGAGAGAGTGAGAGGAAGGATAAAAGTACATGCAACATCAAAATATGAATGAATGGAAGAACCTGCTGTGCCAATCATCATGACAATTAATATTGCACATAATTAATCTCCTCCATTAGATTATGATTTTCATTTCGCCAATGCTAATTATAACACCAATGACTAGACTGCATTCCTTGAGCTGGCGAGGCACGCGCAGTTGAACTTTCCATGAACTCAAATCATGCCGCAATGCGCATAACTTGGCTCGCTTTCCCACGGTCATTAAACTTGTCGGTATTATCCGAAACCCGAAAAACCTAACCGAGGAATCGTTCGGAAAACCGAGGAGTCGATCGGACGCCCGAACGGAAGAGCAAAGTAGCCGCCCAAGTCAAACTAAGGTCAACCTGATTTACGCATCAATTTTCTGATTGGATCAGCGCCCGGGGGCGTTACTTGGGATTTTTTTTGCTAGATTGATCACCCAATGGGTGCTCGTAAACTCATTGTACATGGATAAACAATATATTTGCTTCGTGCTGAGTGAGGAAGGAGAAGGAGTAAAAAAGAGGAAGAGGGAGAAGAAAAGAGCAAGCTACTAAAGTGACTTTCGTCTGCGACTTGAGTGTTGTCAGACCCTCTGAGCTGTGCCCCTCGCCCTCGGGCCTCCTGGAATAGCCCCAACGGCTTGACCGGTAGTACCTGGCGCGAAACGCTACGGTCAGGCGCGACGATAGCTAGGCGTGCATGTTGCAGACTGCAGCTCTGCTGTGTGTGCTGTGAAGTCCTCATGCCATGGGACATGTCTCTTAAATTGAGTTCTCCTCTCTAGCAATAATATAATATAAAATATGACATTGATATCACCTAGCCATAATTGGCATCCATACCCCCTTCGTGAAGAGCAATGTAAACACAACCTTAAGATAAATGTGTTTGTAATCACCACTTACCGCACCCGACAAACCCTGCAAACTGGCTTCAGAGGGGCTTACTTTGAATCATCAGGTCATTGTGTCATTGTGTCGGATGGTCACGTGACACAACCTTCTGTAGATTTGCCGTAGATTTTTTTAAACAAAGTGTCAGACTGTCAGTTAAATTGGATCAGACCATTCGTAGATGAGAGGGATTTATTTCACAAACATAACCACCAGGAAAAAAATTACTTTAAAAATTTTGGGGGCTACTTGCGTTCATGGAAATAACACTCTTTAATTTGTTTTGCATTGAACTCTTTTGCAAAATTTGGGGGCTCTTTTAAGACTTCTGGGGGCTTTTGGGGGCATTTAGGGAGCTAATTCGCTCCGAGCCCCCGTGTATTTTTCCCCCTGATAACCACAGCCAGTTTTTGAATAAAGTGGCGTGTTTACAAAAAAGGTCGGGTAACGCAACCACCCGATCCGACACAATAACCCAATGATTCAAAGTAAGCCCTTCGGAGTTGGCTAATAGACTCGGCCCTCTTCTCACAAGTACCGGAGTGATACCGATGTGCTTACCATCCAGGTCTTCCTGATGATTAATGAGCTAACACTTACAAGCAACATACGACTTGCATTACAGAAATGTATTGTTGTTTTACGTAATGCCTTTAATATGGTTATACTTTCAATACATATTAATTAGAACATTTTTTTCTCGCTTGCTTTACATTCAGGGTTTCAAGAGTGCAGGCATCGTCTCTGAGGTTCAGTGTCATATAAGATGTCAGACTCTGTGGATTACAAAGATAACACCATCATCCAAGAAGCTATGGACTCGAGATTAACCTGTGGGATCTGTAGAGGGCGCTACAACGATCCTCGTCTCCTGCCATGTCTTCACACATATTGTATGTCTTGTCTCCAAGGTCTTGAGTCTCATGTACTCTTCTATCGGGATGATGGCAGCGACACCAGCTCTTTGAGTAGCATGCTGAGCCACTTGGGCAATAAAGCATCTGCCATCATGTGTCCCGCTTGTGGTACAGAAGTGGAGTTATCCAAAGGAGGTCTAGGAGTTTTTCCGGTCGACTTCATGGCTCAGAGGATCCTGGTCCTCGACTCGCTGAACCCAAACTCGAGCAATCTCATCTGCGACCTTTGCACGGATAACTCCAAGGCGATATCACGCTGTGTGGAATGCATGGTGAATGTGTGTGGCTTCTGTGTCCAGGCCCACAAGAGACAACGCAAGACTGCCGGCCACGGCGTGATCAGCCTCCACGAAGCTCAGCGTCAAGGGACGACCCAAATCCACTGCCCTGTCCATTGCCCGAAGCATACGCAAGAGGAGCTTAAGTTCTTTTGCGAGACGTGTGACCAGCCGGTCTGCCGGGAGTGCTGTCTGGTGGAGCATAGAGAGCATCTGGTGGAGTACACCGAGGATGTCGCGGAGCACCATGCGAGGGTAATCGCCAACCTGATCTCTCGTCTCCAACCTCACATGCAGGCTATCATGGCCGGCAAGGCTGCATCGGAACACCTGGAATGCATGATCAAGGAGCGCGGAGAGCAGGTCAAGTGCGAGGTGAACCACTACTTTGACAACTTCATCCAGGCTCTGCAGTCGCATCGGCAGTCTCTGGTGACTCAGATCGGGCAGGTCTGCGACACGAGGTCCAAGTCTCTGCAGTCGCAGCGGATACAGCTCCAGCAGATCCTCACCGACATGGAGCACAGTAGCCGATTAGCATCCCAAGCGCTGGCTGACAGCAATAACAAGGAGCTCATGTCCATCAAACCACTGATCTCTCAAAGGTTGTGCCACCTGAATCGCATCTCCTACCAGAGCACACCCAAGGGAGATTCAACTCTCCAGTTTAAACCCAAGATTGTGTCTAAGAAAGTGGTGAATGGAATGCAGGTTCCTGGCATTGTGGACACCAAGATAGCTGACTGTAACAAGAGCATTGCTAAGGGAGACGGTAAGAACAGCCTCTTGGATACAATTTGATGTATAGCTCAGAACAAAATTTAGCAATCAATAAGGATGTACATGTATATTTTGTATTCAGTACTGAGTATTCATTTGCGGCTACATGTAAATCTCAATCTAAAGTTGTTATGACATTAAAAGGAACAATACCAATTATTATTGCAATTGCACCCAATTCTTGCAAATTGTTGCAGAGTGCATTTACATAAAAGAAACAGAGTAGAGACAAATTTATAGTACTAGATGCACACCTTACAATAAGTTTTCATTTCTTGTTAAAAAAGGTTAGATAGTATCTTTTCATGAGCCAGTAGGATGTATTAACAAAAATAAGGCATGGAACAAACTGAACGATGCAGTTTCATGAGTGAAAAAAAAGTATTTACTATTCATAGAGTATAATGAAGAACAAAATTGACCATTCTTGACATACCGTTAATCTTTGCTAAATCATTTTGTTTTATATCACAGGTCTTCATAGGGCCAATCTAGGCCAACTAACCACCGTCACCATTTCTCTCCAAGATGCTATGGAGCAGGCCTATCGTCATGGAGCAGATGAAATCATGGCTGAACTTCTTGCCATAGAGGGCAGGACAAGGTAAAATAGTGTCGCTATGGCAACATATGTGGTTTCACACGTTTTTGTGACAGCTTTTGATCAAATCTACGATCTACTTCAAGTAGTTTTTTCCCTTCATTGTTAATTCAATATTTGAGTTCAAATTGTGATTTTATACTAGGAAAATTGGAACAGGGGGATTGTTACATAAAGCTGGGCGTAAAGTTACAAATGACTTTACAAATGATTTGAGTATGAAGAGCAAAATGGGATGCCCAAAGTTTTTCTTGACATCTTAACAGAGTGTGACTATATTTCCCATAATCTCAATTAAATTGTAGCCAAGAATACACTTTGCATTAAAATGTTTTGTTAATAATGATAAGGTTAATCTACATCTGCATATTTCAACTTAAGCTCTTCATATTCAAGTCATTTGTAAAGTCATGCGTAACTTTACGCACAGCTTTATAAAACATCCCCGGGTACTCATTGCAAATGTTTGTTGATGTGAAGCTCACTTAATTTATGATGATTGCATTTTATTTTGTTACACCTTTCAGTGTTTTCTCTCTTTCATTTTGCTTGTTTGAAATGCGACACAAGATCTCTTACTTTGTTCTTTCAACTTCTTTGCACGTGGTTGTTTGCGGTTTTTGTTTGGTTTCTTTGCATGTTTTTATTATTTCTTACCACCATCAGAGCATACCCATGCAAGGTGGCCGAGAACGCCGATGGGAGTTACGGAGTGAGTTACACACCCAAGCAGCTAGGAGCTCATTCTCTTCAAATCCTTGTCAATGGCCATCACATCAGGGCATGTTTTTATATTTTACTTTTTACATTTGCTTTTACGTTTTTTATGTTTACTTTTACGTTTTTTACGTTTACTTTTAATTTTGCGATATCCTTAGTTTGTTTCTTCTTAATTACCTCAGTCACAACGACAAACCGACTTCCAAAGTTCCAAACCAGTTCAAAACCGAATGACTATTTGCCACTCCGTGTTATGTACTTTTTGCTCTGTCTTTTTTCGGTCCGATGTCGGTCTCAATGGTGTTACTGGGGTATCAATTAGTACATTCATTTTGATTACGCTTGATTGTGCAGTGGATGGAAAGGGAAAGAAGCTTGCAGTTTGTGTTATTTTTTCTCGCCTTCCTACAATTTTGATTTTAGGGACTTTTGAAATTTGATTGTGCAATGAATTGAAAGGGAAAGTAGCTTGCAGTTTGTGTTATTTTTTCTCACCTTCTTGAGATTTGATTTTAAGGAATTTTGAATTCATTTGTTTGATACAGAGTGTTTGTTAGATTTTATTTTTTATTTGCTCTCCAAAATATTGTAAAATTGTTATTATATTTCATTGCATCAGATTTCAAGACTTCATCTACACTGTATAATGACCAAATAAAATATTAATTAGCAATGTATGTATAATTGATGAAAAGGTCTTCATGTTTTATTCCTACCACACCAACCATATTTTCAAGATTTCATTGTGACAGCCTCTGTTTTACTACTCAATTTGATCTGTCTTCATTTGTGTTTATTATTAGAATGTGAATATAACAGGAAATCAGATTAACAATTTTAAGATTTTGATCTATTTTGCAATTCACAGTTGATCAGTGTTGTTTAACTAAACCATAGTGTATCTGGAAAGAACTAAACCTGTCTGCCAGATATATGCATGGTACTGACCCCAATTTTTTTTTTCAATTTCAGGGGAGTCCCTTTAGTGTGTCGGTGAAGGTGGGATGGCAGGAGCACACTGGTGTATGGCATTGCTGTACATTCTGTTCCAGTGAGGGCAACAAGCAAGCTACCTGTGCGTGTGGGGCCATCATGCCTGGTAAGAACTGGGGCCCTTTTCACAAAACCTTTTTTTTCAATGACAAATGACAAAAATCAGTGACAAATCTGCTGGTAACCAATCAGAAGCAAGGATTTCATTAGCTTATAACAAAAACTGTCATTTGTCACTGATGAAAAGTTTTGTGAAATGCCTCCCTGAAGCTGCAATATAATACAACCCAATTTTGTTTACAAAGACAAAGTATACGTCACGTGGTTGTTTTTATTTATTATTTGTTATAGATCTTGTGTTTACATTTTCAAAGACAGAGATTTAATATTTCAAAAGGATAAATTTGGAGAAGTCTTGAAGTCTGTGATTGTTGCAATGTCTGAAACCTGTACATGTACTTCCATCACCTGTGTGGTGTTGTTTTCCACTTTTTCCATTGTATCCATTTTAAATACCCCTTTCGTCTGATCTGTTCCTTTCTAATACCAAACCTTTTTCTTCTTTTGTACATTTTGTTCTCTCTGCCTTTCCCCTCCCTCACCCTCTGTGCCTTTCAAATTCTTGTTTCCTCTCTCTATCTCTCTTCGTTCTTCTCCTTTTCTCTCTCTGCCTCCACTCTCACTCTCTCAAACTCTCTCCCCTCTCTTTCCTTCCTTTTTTTCCTTATCTGTGTCTCTCTCTCTTCACTCTTTTACCTTGTCCTCCTCTCTTTCCTCCCTGCCCCATTCTGTCTCTCTATATCTCTCTCTTTCCCCTCTCTTTACCTCCTCTTTGTCCTTCTCTTGTGTCTTTCCCTCTTCACTCTTGTCCTCCTCTCTCTTTCCTCCCTCCCCATTCTGTCTCTCTCTCTCTCACACACTTTCTCTCACTCACTCACTCACTCTCTCTCTCTCTCACTCCCTCCCTCTTTCTCACTCGCCAATCTGCAGGTGGCTTCAAGGGTTGTGGTCACAGTCACCAAGGCCATCCAGGGAAGTGGCACTGGTCGTGCTGCGCTGTCAACGTGAGAGACGCCGAATGCACTGCTCGTCGTACCACCCTGAGCAACAACAACACTCTCGCTGCGCTACGTAGCAGAATTCCCAGCACCAGCTCTGGATCTACCGACCAGTCGTCCAGATCGGGGGATGGAGGGCCTGTTAAGTTCGTTGAGAAACCCACATTGGACACAAGAGTGGTCTCTAAAAGTAAAGTCAAGACAGTGTCTTTATAGGTACATGTATGTGTGGATCTAATTAAGGGTCAGTTGCCTTCTTGGGGTACTGATGTTGGAAAGAAACTTAGAGTTGATTACATTCATGTAGAGGTTTCAGAATTTATTTGAGTATATAGAGAAACCCATGTTGGACAAGAGAGTCTCCAAAAGTAAAGTCAAGACGATGTCTTTGTAGGTGTGTATAGAACTAATCAAGGGACACTTGCCTTCTTGTGGTTCTTCTGGATGTTGGATAGAAACCTATGAGTCAATTGCATCCATCTAGAGGTTTCAGAATTAAGCATGGCACATTTGCGTTCAGGAGAAAAGATCATTTGGCAGACAGATTTCTGTTACTTAAATGTCTTTTCAGAAATATACTGTATTCTGTTACATCAACTCATGTCTTTGAGAAAGCGAACATATAGGGATCCTCACTTGTGATGAAACAGCAGACAGGCTTCAAAATACAATTGTAGTGAAGCATGAAAAACTTTCCAAACTTTTTGGCTGAAGAGAAGGATTATTTAAAATGTGGTATGAATTTTCAGCATATGAACTATGAAAAGAAGTGTATTTTGTCTTTCTACGCGTTGTGAAGAATCTGGCCCGACTATCAAGAAATTAATGAGAGAGGGGGCTGTTTATGTTTATGATGAAGAGACTCGATTTCATTTTATGTGGATCACTCTTCCTATTCTTTTACATTTATAGCAAATTATTCACAGGCACTTGAAAAACTGATCACACTCTTTAAAAGAGCAAGACAACTCTGATTATTATGATTTTTGAAAATAAAAAAATGGTAGGTGTTGTGCAGTATGTGTTGTAATGTTACGTTTGAATATATTTGGGAAAGGAAAGAAGTAACGGGATGTAATAGGGACTAAAACCAATAAAAAAACACTTTTTCGTCCTTGATTTGATGATTCTTGCAAAATTGCTGTTTTATTTCACTTGAAAAATACACATAACCATGCAATTAAATAATTATGCAATATCTTTCACTGATGATGAAGTAATCGTCATGCTACATATTTATTTCAATATTGACATCATATGTATCACATTGTACTCGCGCATGATTTTCATATATTTGTTTATTTATCTTTAGTCATTATGTATCTCTACTAATCAAATATTTAGTCATCAATTATAATTGAATACATGTATCTTTACATCAGTGGTGCTCAGAAATTCCCTGTTTCAATGCTGTTATTTATTTTATTATACCAAGCATATTTGCAGCATTTACTACTACCATGCATGAGTAAGTGATGACATCATGAGTACATTTTGTGATTTGTGCCATGTATACATATTCAGCAATGACAACAGTAAAGACAGTGCCTTTCATAACATACAGTTTACAACCAAATTATTCACACCCTTGCCAAGTTTTGTAATTTTTTAATTATGTAAGAAATTGATTTGTCCCAATTTATGTTTCTTGAGAAAGTGACATTTAAGCTTAATACGTTTAATAGTATTCAACAAAGGCCCAAATTCAACCAGTCAACCTTTCATTCTTTGAAGTGACGAAAAACAAAAAAGCATCAAATTTACAAGGGGTATGAATAATTTAGTTGTTAACTGTATATATATCTTTCACATATTCTTTTTCCTGCTAAGGACATCATGTGCAATGGAAAAAAAAAAAAAAAAAGTGAACAAGGAATCATTCAGAAAAAATTGTTCATGAAGCTATGTATTATTTTTTCCCCCTTTGCCCAGTGTGATTATTTATGTTCTTACAACTTCTAGAAAAGAAATTGCTGAATGGTAGCCTGGATTTATCAAAAGCAAAACTTACTAAAAAGGAAAATATTATTGCACACTGCACAGAAAAAGTGACATTACAAGAACTTCTTTATTTGTACTTGGAAGAGTTAGAGTTGCATAATGCAGAGAGTTCAATTTCAAAACCTCACTGATTATATCTTGTATCCTACTAACTTATTACCTTTATATTAACTAGTAGACAACTTGTGTCTTATGTTTACTAGATATTGTAATAACAAATAGTTCAGTTCAATTATAACCAAATATAGATTTATATATGTTTTGTATCTCTAACCCCCAAATAAATTATTGTTTCTAAATAATTGTTTCCTTATATTTGTTCTTTCTGGTCCAGAAGTCTTTTTTTAACTACCAGTACTTTGTGTGTGTTCTATTTCAAAACCAGTATTGAAACTGAACCATTGTACTTCAATATCAATCACTCCATTTTAAGATTCAAGAATATCTATTCTCTTTTTTTTGTCCTTCAACAAAAATAATTTTCCCCACAACCTAGCTCAATTGTGCTAGTGATCATCCTCTAATATTGTAATATCCATCCAGGGGGCCATTCCTCGAAACCATCATAAGTCTAACTTCTTGGACATCCCATTAAAACGTGTGTTTAAGAATTAACACGCATTTCTATGGGATGTCCACCAACCTTAGACTTATGACGGTTTGGAGAAACTGGCCTCGCCCCGGTTCTTTTCATCTTCTTACGACTGCAGCCAACACTTTTTGAGAGTGTCGAGAGATTGAACGGCCCTATTATCATGGCAACGCAGCACGAGTTCAAGACAGCTGCATATATCTTACACTAATAAACAATGAAGTAAACAATGTACAAGTTGACCCTTTCTGGATAGGATTTATTTATTTATTTATTTATTTATTTATTTATTTATTTATTTATTTATTTATTTATTTATTTATTTATTTATTTATTTATTTATTTATTTATTTATTTATTTATTTATTTATTTATTTATTTATTTATTTATTTATTTATTTATTTATTTATTTATTTTTTTATCACATATTTGATCTTCAAATTGGCAACAATAATATTTTTCTTTTATCACAACATTGTAGAAAACAATATGCATGGGCAAGACTTATTGTGTTTTTTTTTTGATGGAACATTTTGATAAAAAAACAATGATGTTGAATCTCTCAAAATATTGCCAATTCTAGGATTTTAAAGGTTATTTTCCTCTTTAAATTAAAATTCCTTGCATCCAACGCAATACAGTAATGAACTAGAAAGGGATACAGTGTGTGAATGAATTATTTGCCCTTTCTACTTGTGAATCTGGTACTTTTTTTTTAGGGCTTTGAATAAAAATGTTAAAGGGATCCGGTAACTTTGTTTCAGATTCTGAAGAAAAAAATTTGGATTTAGCTCATGCTGCAATTATAATTATAAACCTTTAGGTCAGTCAAGAACCCCATGACTTTTACAAGCCGATCGCCTATCTGATTATCAAGATATTTATGATTGAAATTACAAATTTTGAAAACCGTTTCATGGTTTTCATAACACTACAGTCTATTGCGGAAAACGAGTATGGTAAAACCGGTCACTCTAAGATTTTTACTTTTTTGAGGCACTTCTTGATCATTTTGAGCCGCAATTTTTTTAGGCCGCTTCAATATTACACCATATCACAGACACTGATAACACGTAGGGCCGTGTATCTCAGATTTAACATTGTTAAACGATCCCTTTAATGAGCCCAACCACACAAAATGTGGAATATCCTGAAAGAGTTAAAAACAAAATCAGGTATTACAATACATAATTGAGAATGCCAACAAGAAATGAATACGATTAGGACAGCAAATTGTATTTATGGCAATCATAATCATAATCATAATTCATTACAGTAAGATATAGAAAGATGCTGCACAGCAATGACCACAATAGAAACATCAATTTCTAATGGTCTAAATTTCATTTTTTACCAATGAATATCAATAAAATCCTCATCTGTCGTACCAATATAGCTTAGCAAAATGTACTGCTAATAGATTCCTTTGTGTACAAAATTATTCAATGCTCACTATTTTGTCAATTAGCCATACCTTGATAATAATATACCATACTTTATATAGCGCATATCACAATATGTCTCTATACATGTATATGCAAGAAGTACTCATACTCGGTTGTTTCATTCACTCCATTAAAATCTTGTTCAGGAACAAAAACAAAAACGAGAGGTGCACAAATATTAAATTAGAAGAGATTTTAAAAAGTAAAAAGATAAAATGGCTACTTGTGCATATTAGTGAGATGACTAACGAGGGAAATATCCATTTGCAAACATCTAGCTAGCACATTGGAGGATTTCATGCAACAATTAATGCCCTGGTTTCTCTATAATAAAAACATTTCAGCAAAAAAAAAAGATAACATGGCACTGCAGCATTCATATTAATTTGTATCTGAAACTAGTATAATATGCACATTCAGACAATTTGAATGACAACACATTGCAAAGTCACTAAAATAAAACTTGTTTGGGAAGCACTTCAATGAGGACACAGATATTGGGGTGGGATATACAAAATATTTGCCTTGGATCATAATAATGTGCATGATATGCTTTAGAAAAGTATATAACCTGGTGTATATATATATATATATATATAAACAGTCGAAACACGAAAAGTGGTCTTTGTAGACAGGTTCCGTTAGTACATGTTTCAACGGGATGCAATTTTCAAGGGAAACAAAAATGAGGTCTTTGTAGACAGGTTTGACAGTATAAAATATCTAAAAGATCTTTGTGAAGCCTTCATCATTGTTTAGTATTCATTTTTCTCACACTGGTGGGGGGGGGGGGGGGGGGGGGCGGACGCTTCATTTCCCTTGTGGCTCTTTTCCAAGCCTTCCGGGGCGGTATTCTGAACATTGTTGAATCTTTTGTTGTATCTTCTGGAGATAATACAGCTTGTAAGTTGGTATTCTGAAAATTGTTGTAGCGGTCTATTATCTCTCGAAGGACCGCCTCTATCTTATCTTTGACACAACCATTTTTGTGGACCCTACCTATCAAGATCTATTTTTTATAAGCATGATAAGTAGGTCAACCAATAGGAGTGCTTTGTGCTTTATCTTTGCGCTTGTTAATTTTTGGCCTAATTAGATTGTTGCACGCTTATTCAAGTCGTCATCAATTAATTATCAAGCTAATGCATAGTGCTGTGGCATATTGTTTTCACTTAGCTGGTTGTTAAGGTTAATTCACCATGATTAATAGGATAAAACAGACACCGACTGCGAGTGTGGAACATCCGCGCAATCTATGCCACACTTATTAAGATGCCCACTCCTAGATGACCAATGCTGCCTGGAAGACCTAGTGGCAGCAAATGAGAAGGATCTTCAGTTTGCAAAAGCCTGGCAGAACATTTGAGATCAGATGATGGACACGAAAGAAGAAGAATAGAATAAGAAGAAAGAGATGGATGGCAACAAGCAAAAAAGAAACAAAAACTTAAGTAGGGTAAAGAAGAGGTGATGGTGTTGGTGTCGGAGGTGGCTTCAAGGAAGGGTCACATCACCGGTCCTTTATCCTCGATTAATATATGAAGAAGAAGAAGATGGATGGCAACAAGCAAAAAGAAAAAAAAACTTTAGTAAAGAAGATGTGATGGTGTTGGAGGTGGCTTCAGGGAAGGGTCTAATCACCGGTCCTTTATCCTCGTTAATTCACCTTGATTAATAGAAAAAGAAGAAGAAGATGGATGGCAACAAGCAAAAAAAGAAATGAAAACTTTAGTAAAGAAGAGGTGATGGTGTTGGTGTCGGAAGTCTTCAAGGAAGGGTCACATCACCAGTCCTTTATCCTCGACATTGACTAATCACATGAAAAACACGGCGTTAGAGACGATCTGCGAAGTTAGGAGCGGGATAAGTGGCCGGAAGAGGAGCGCCGAAGATGTTCGAAGAAAGTTTTCTATGGAAAAGAGTAAGGTAAAGAGAAAGGCTGCCCAAAGGAAGAGGGAGGCGGTCTGTGAAGTTGTAAGCGTGAGATAAGTGGCAAAAAGAGGAGCGCCGAAGATGTCAGAAGAAAGTTTTCCATGGAAAAGAGTAAACTCAAGAGAAAGACTGCCCAAAGGAAGAGGGAGATGGTCTGTGAAGTTGTAAGCAGGATAAATGGCAGAGAGACGAGTGCTGAAGATGTTTGAAGAAAGTTTCCATGAATGTGGCAGAAGACACTACAGAAGAGAACTTCATCAGAAATTACAGGTTAGGGTATAACAATTTTAATGCCCTCTTGGACATGATCCATGATAACAAATCATTTTAACGACAAAAAAAAGTAAGGTAAAGAGAAAGGCTGCCCAAAGGAAGAGGGGGGCGGGAGGAACAGGAGGGGGGCCACTCCTTCTCCCATTGGCCGACTGGGAGGAAGTCCTCTGCGACTTCATTAGTAAAGAAGGTTTGAATGGGTGTGCAGGCCCGGAACTTGAAACCCCTATATTCTGCCCAGGCACCGATACTTCAAAGTCAAGAGCTGGCAGGGATATTGGAAACGAAGAAATGAAGCATCACTGCGTTTGACAAGAAAAGTGTCATCCTTCAGACGAGAAGTCCTCTGATACACAAGCTGAAAGAAATAATAGAAAGTCTACTGCGTGACTTGTACAGCATATTTATAACTCCACAAGCAATCATTGCAGCCACAGACTTGACCCTTCTGGACTACAAGAACAAGGAGAATCTTTGTGCACCATCTCAGATTGCACCAGAGAGCCTGGGACCCCAGAGCTTACAGGGCCCGCTTTAGGGCCCTGAACCCTGGCTAAAGGGACTTTGCGCTTGGCGCACATGATATTTAATTTTACTTAAATGTTATTAATTGAAAATTCCAAATGTTGACAGCTATGAAAAGAGATGAAAGAAAAGATACAAAAAAAGATAAGACAAAAGTTACAACAATTTTCAGAATACCAACTTTATCTTAACCTCTAAGATACAACAATATTAGAGATAACACAAGTTTCATAATACCGCCCTCAACATGCTCTCATATCTTCAAGCATCTCCTTCCAGGTTTTGCGAGGTCTGAACAAAAGTACATTGCAAATACTACTTTGAACATGTGGAATTTTCTTCTGGGGGGAGGGGGGAACCTTCAATTGAAAACATGATCATATCTTTACCAATGCACCACTAATCTAGTGTCTCCATATGGGATTGTAGACATCACGGTAGAATGTGTGGAAATTTATTGCCATACAGCTTTCTGTGCAACGAAAAAAGGTGCATACACAAGTCCTACTCTCCCACAATGTCAAACTATTGAAGTAAATTGATAACAGGGGAAGAAAAGACCGATCAACGACCATCCGTTGTGAACTCTCTGTATATACCTTTAATAAAAAAACATGATCATTTCTTTACGCTAAATGCACCACTAAGCCAGAGTCAGTACGCGATGAATTACCGGTATGCAATTTTAGACTTCATGGTAGTATGTGTAGAAATTTATTAATATGCAGCTTTCTGTGCAACGAAAAAGGTGCATACATAGAGCTACTCTCCCACAATATCAAACTATTAAGTAAATTGATAACGGAGGAAGGAGAGACGAATCAACGACTATCAGTCGTCAACTCTCCGTATATACCTTTAATAAAAAACATGATCATTTCTTCACTATAAATGCACCACCAATCCAGTGTCAGTACGCAATACCGGTATGCAATTTTAAACTTCACGGTAGTACGTGTACAAACGTTATTGCCATGCATGCAGCTATCTATGCGCTGAATAAGCTAAATACACAAGTCCTGGACCCCGTTTCACAAAACTTGTCATCAGAGACAAATTACAGTTTTTGTTATAAGCTACTGAAATCCTTGCTTCTGATTGGTTATCAGCAGATTTGTCACTGATTTTTGTAATTTGTCATTAAAATAAGGCTTTGTGAGACGGGTCCCAGCTCTCCCACAATATCAAACTAATTAAATTGGGAACAGAGGAAGGAGAGACGAATCAACGACCATCGGTTGTGAACTCTGCGTACATAGAAGTGCTATCTTGGTCAGATGTTTGGATGTACACGCAGAATAGACTTGGAAAGATCTTCTGCTTCTCTTGTATCGCCGTGGCAATGGGCTCGGCGAGATGCTCCCTTAGTCCCTCTATGTTTTCACGCCTGTTTTTACCTATGATTACAAGAACAAAACAATATGGATATGACTTTTCATTAATGTTACTCTTAATTTTTTTTGTAGTAATACCTAGCTCCTCGTAACTATTCACTCTCAACAAATTTCTGAAAGTTTACCGATCCCCAAAATATAGATTGCTCTGCATGTTATGGGCTTTGTGTCATTGTAGTATACTAGCATTAAAATATGAGCTTCAAATACTACTTCTACAAAGAAATATTGCAAGTTTAAATACACCTTCAATCAACATCAAAATTACTTGTGAGTAGACTACTTGATGAAATCGCACAGAATAAGGCATGGAGTTTTAAGTTGTTTTTTTCCTTCTTCAATCCCGTTATTTCTTATCTGTTGGCCTGTAGAATGCTGGTTAAAGTTTTTCAAGGATTATTTTATACATTCTAGCTGTATACAAATTTTCTAGGGCACCACACTAACTTTTTTGGAAAGGGGGTCCAGATTTTTTTTTTAAATGTCTTTAAACATAAGCTCTATATTATATAAACAATTTAAAATTGTAGGGGTTCTAGGGGTTGGCAATAAAGCAAAAAATTGAAAGAAAAAGCAACGCCTATGGGTGTCCTGGTTTATTGCCGTTTGGTCTACACCCAGTTCGTCAACTATCCACATGGTCTAATGACCATTTTGTCTACTTATCATTTGGTCTAATGACCATTTAGGCTAATAGTCATTTGGTCTAATCTCAAATAAGTCTACTACCTATTTGGTCTATTGCTCATTTAATCTTATTCCCAGATGGTCCAATTTCCAGTTTGTTGAATGCCCAATTTGCCTACTATCCATATGGCCTAATAATCATTTAATCACAGATAATAATAATCACCAAATGATTATTAGACCCCAGGGGGTGTTTCACAAAGATCCTAAGCCGAACTTAACTCTAAGTGTAACTTCAAAATTATGGAGAGCCATTTGTAGCCTTAAAATAAAATATATTCAAAAGCGAAAATTGAACTATTTCAGACTTTTTATAAATTCCACATCAAGAACATGAGATCTCTTTTGTTTAATAATTTGTATCAACATTTCATGCCTTTTAAAATAACTTTTACAAAATATTTTCATAGATGCTTAGGATCTTTGTGAAACAACCCCCAGAATAAATTAAGCTATTCTATATCCTCACCATATGAAGGAGAGACCCCCAGCCGCCATGTTTTACTGTGTAGGAGAGGTTTCATCCATGGAAGGTCTGTTATCACTTCCAGCTTGTCGTCTTCTGTCAAGGAGAAACAGAGGAGAAAATCAATAAATAACTTTCTTTTATTTTTATTACTCAAACTATATCATTCCTGTATATACAAGACACTTTTATAATACATGATGTTCGAGTCAATGGTTCAAGTACCCCCCAATTTTTTTTTTTTTTTTTGTTATTTTGTAAATGTATATGTCTTGTAGTGTCTTGTGTATTTGTGTTGTAATACAAAATATCACAAAATCATTATACATGAAAGTTGAGCCCAGCTTTATAAATTCCTAAAAATCAATCACAATTTTCATCCAAAGGGAATTATATTGTATAAATTCATTGCTTGTTTCACAAACTAACATACACGAATAGGTTTAAGTACAGCAGATACGCCTTTTTCACGAAATCCAGTTAGCAGGGTTCAGATAACTTTGTCTCAGATTTTGAAAAAAAATCTTGGATTTAGCTCATGCTGCAATGATAATTATAAGCCTTTAGGTCAATCAGGAACCCCGTGGCTTTTACAAGCAGATCGCCTGTCTGATTATCAAGATATTAATGATTGGAAATCGTAACCAAATTTTGTGTTTTCCTAACAGTTTTCATAACACTACAGTCTATTGGAGAAAAGGAGTATGGTAAAACCGGTCACTTGAAGATTTTTTACTTTTTTGAGGCACTTTTTGATAATTTTGAAGCGCAATTTTTATTTAGGGCTTCAATTTAACACCATATCACAGACACTTATAACACGTAGGGCTGTGCATTTCAGATTTAACATTGTTAAACGATGCCAATAAAAGAATGAATGTCTTACCAAACACCATATGATCCAGTTTGATTCCATCCTCATTGTAGCCATGGAGGGCTTTCCGATGAGCTTCTTTCAAGTCTCTTTCAAATAACAGGATCCTGCAAAAAGCAACAAAAACAAGACCACTCTGGATATAATACATTTGTTTTTACAATAGTCATTATTAATGTGAAAGCCCTGTTTTTCATGGAAGGGTAGGAACTTTTTCAGAATACTGCAAAGTGCAATTGTGCACACAACTTGGCAATGGTATTTTCATAGGTTGGCAATTCAGAATTTATGTTTGAATTACAATCATATCCATCCACAAAATTGTTGAAAACTCTTGACTTGGGGAACCTGTATTAATATGCTACCGGAACCTACTGCTTTTGGTAAATCTAAACCTTAAATCTCTCTTTTTTTTTTTAATGTATGCAGAAACATATATATACTACAAGATTTTAAAAGATGAACAGGGCCTACAACTAAACTACGATGATGACTTGAATCACAAAATCTACACAATATTTAATATTTTGATCAAAAAATATTCCTGCCTATTGACTTTGGTGTTTGGTTTTTACTTACTGATTAAGACCACTGAAGACGTGTACCCAGTCCCATATTGCTGTGCCATGGTGAGCCTGAGGTGGGGTCGTACTATCCACAATGAGTAAGGCATTGTGATTCAAGGTACATAGTCTACTCTCAAGGGTTCCCTTGATCTCACTGACTGACGCCTGTATTCAAAGTATTCAAATCTATCTTGTTAATACCCCCAATAACGTCATGATATACAATGCAAATCACCATAACATCCTGAACTTATAAAATGTGTGGAACATAAAATAATCATGGAACAAGACAAATCCAAGACATGACAAATTTAAAGAATTTAATTTGAACCTCACATGTGTGCTAGTCTAAAACACCCCTTCAAAATCCAAACTTCATATAATTTAGAAAGACTACATAGATAGGACACAGACCTAGAGCAATGTCTTGTGAGAAAACCCCATCACAAGGAGTATGCTAGAACAGAAATTTTCTCCTGACTTACATAAAGCTAATAATATGTGGTGTTCCTCAGGGTTCCGTGTTGGGACCTACACTGTTTTTGTTGTACATAAACGATTTGCCAAACTCAACAAATTATTTTTGTCCCATTTATCCTTTCAATGTTAACCATTCACATTTGATTGTTATATTAATGTACTTTTGTTTGGATAATAAACTTCAAACTTAAACTCAAACTCAACTCACATGTGACATTGGACGGAATCTGATGAATCTATCAGTTAGTCTGGGTGGGTAGCTAAGGACGAGCTCAGATATGATGGAGTCGTACTGCATCTTGGGGCACTGTTCAAACTGTACCCTGCTCAGGTTGCATTGGACGTCGGACACACTGAGATGCTTGAAGATCGGCAGATTGTGACCTAGTGATGACAACCACAGAAATGAAATATTCTTGTGGGTAAATTAAAAATGATGCAAATTCATGTACATAATAAGTTTCAGAAACATTTGAACACAATGAGTTACATTAGTTTTCATATTTTCATGAAATTTTATGGTACTACAAGAACAGTAACATACACCCCTGGATTGTGGGGGTATATGTGATTTACTAGGCATCAAATTAAACAAATTTTGAACAATGAAGTAATCACTGACAGCAAGATAACCAAGAAAAGCAAAAAAAAAAGCAGGAAACTTGAAGAGAATCATGACCGTTTTGCACTTCTCAAGCAGACATGTGTAGAAAACAGAGAAAGGCAAAAGATGGCCTTTTTAACACACTAAATGATACTTGTTTTGCTTCAACAACATTTCCTAATGTAGAGGAGTTAAAAACAGATGAAAGTATAATTCAACTAATCTTACTATCACAAATGTTATACAACTTATCTATAAGTAGAAATACATTTATAATGAGGCATTTGGATGATCATATGTCATACTTTTAAGTTTGGTTCAATGGAGTGCTACATTTATGCATTACCTTGGATGGATTTGAGGTTTGGACAATCCTCTACATCGATATGTGAGATTCCGCAATCATCCAATGTGGCAGATGCCAAGGATTGCGAGTCGCATCTGAAAACCAAGACCGGATCTGCTTCCATGACAGGGTCGCTAGTACTGGTGGCTTGGTCACACATCATCGGGCTTGGGTCTGGAGGGGACGACTGGGTGTCCCTCTGGACCTGGACACCAACACTCTGGCAGGTACCATCAACAGCGTCGTCGCTTTCGTCAGGCATGGATGGAAGAGAGGAGAAGTCATCATCCTCCTCATCATCGTCATCATTGCTTAGCTCCTGCATCATCGTCCCATGGATGGGGCATGATCCAGCCATAGACATAGCCGAGGTGGAAGCATCTCGCACGTTCCTCTTAGGCGGGGTACTTTGGACGCTTGGACTGAATTCTTGAGGTTGGTCTATCGCACTACCTTGGACTGCTCGACAAGCATTTTCAACATTATCTCTTCGATCTGTCCTATGTTCATCTACCCTTGATTCCCTAGCTACCGAGTCTGAAAATGTAACATCACAGTGTATCCCTATTTCGGCTTCATCTGTGTCGACACCTACAGATGTAGAGGAATGTTTTCTTTTATTACACACACTCCGAGGCTTGCTTTCCTGCGAGTCACTTGATGTCCCATGCACATCCATAGAAGTGGATGCCTTTTCTGAGTTTCTTAATGATACATTTGATGATGATGATGCTGATGCATTTGGTGATGCAACGTTACTTTGACCTGCCGGGAGATCCTCAGGTCTTTCCTGTGGATTCTCCATCACGGCTGGCTGTATCCGGTGGGGTTGTCTTTCTGGCACTTGGACTTGGACTTGTACATTCTGCGGAGGAACATCCTGGATCTGTCGGTGTGGTCCCCTGTCCGCATTGCCCTGCTGCTGCTGCTGCTGCTGCCTCAGTGGTTCTTGGTGGATCGGTGCTACATCTGGTACCTGGACCTCAGCCTGGTTCTGGGGCTGTGGGGGATGCTGTGCTCCGGGATTCTGCATGGCCACCAGAGCGGATGACACACCGATGCCCGTCCCTGCACTGAGACCAACCCTGGAGCAACCCTTGGGCGGCTTGGGAAACATACGCTCTAGGTGGATGTCCTCCAGGTTTGGGAGCCACTCTATGAAGTGAGAAAGAGACTGGCTGTCGTTGAGTTGGATCCCATGACAGTGGTGGAGATGAAGAGATGTCAATTGTGACCAATTGGTATCAACAGGCTCTGAAATACAATATACATAGGAAATACCAAGCTAAAATCACCCCTCATTGAAGAAGAATTTGTACATGTACATCTCTGAATATCTTTTCCTGAAAGATATCTGGATATTTCGATCTTAAATATTATGAAACAAGTATTATTGGCTATTTTCTCTATACAATGTTGCCTAAAATCCACATATCTGTACTCAAGAATTTTAGAAGCATGTAATAAATGCTTGTGATGAAGAGTAGAATGATGGCTAGAATGCCTGGTCAATAGACATAAGATCTATACACAAGATATGGATCATAAGTAAGTGGACAGAAATGAGAGAGGGATAGAGAGAGAAAGAAAAAGGGAGATAAAGAGTGAGATAAAGAGAGAGAGAGAAAGGGTGATAAAGAGAAAGAGAGAGAACGAGAGAGAGAGAAAGAAAGAAACAGATCTAGACAAAGTTTATATTCATAAAAAACTGACTAAGCCTAGTTTTCAACCACATACATACTACATGTACATACTAGATAACCCAACGTAATTAGTTTAAAACAACTAACTTTGTAAGGTCATTATGAATATTGGCCTTGGTAAACAGAAATCAATAAAATATGGGGGAATGGCTTACCAACATCCAGCCATCCTCTAGGGTATCTGAGATGAGGGCAGTTGTAGACGGTGAGCGAGGTGAGATTGGGAAAGACCTGGCCCATGGCCTTCATACCCATGTCAGTCATCAGAGCAGGGTTCTCATTGATCTCAGCCAGACCTTTGCTTACCAGGTCCGTCGAAGAGTACTTCCCTGGAATCGAACATCATATAACATCATATAAACTATGGTTGATTATTGATAGATGACATAATCGGTCGCATGTATGTAGTTTTTGGAGCGAAATTATTCCACAACAATAGAAAAAGATTTTCAACATTGTTTATATACACTTTTGGATCTCAATGCCACCAGATTTTGGATGAAACTGCAATAGACCACTTTTCGTAATGTAAGTGTAACCAAATCTAAGGCATACGTCTTTGTGAAGTACCTCGATACAAATTATTTCATTCATCCGTTACAAATAACTGTATTTCAGTCAGAATACCAACTGCATACATTAGTTGTTGCCAGGTGGGACAAACAGTATGGCTTTCCCTGCCTTACGACACATAATATATGCATTTTGCATTCTGATTATAATAAAATTATTCATTACAGGTAAATGCAATATTTGTATTAAAGCACTTCACAACGACATATGCATCAAATTTGATTACATTATGAGAATGCTCTATTGAGGTTTGATATGAAAATTTGGTAATCCACAAAAGTTTCTGGTTTCGCTGTAGTGAGACTGTAGGAAGTGTAGTCAGCTCTACAGATAAGAAAGTGGATGCCGGCCTACCTGAGTTTGACCAGGGATCTACATAGCCCAGATGAAGATGCTTGACATTGTAAAACTTGCTCTCGATGGCTTTGAGTGCCAAGAAGAGACTGTCCCTGGTCAGGCACGGCTGTAGACTGAGACTCTCCAGAGTCTTGTACGCAGCCAGCAGGAGATGGCCCAGGTCCTGCTCCGTGCAGTTCTTGCACCCGCTGATGAGGACCGTTTTCAGATTGCGAAAACCATGAGTACACTCCTACACAAGTGGGAAAGGAAAAGAATGTTACAATATATGATATGATCCAGCAAGCAAGATATAGATGTAAAACGACTATGGTGCAAGACCCGGAAGCTTGGACATCACCCCCCCCCCCCCCCTTGAAGTTAGATCTGGAAGCTTGGCAGCTGGAGACAGCTGTCTTCCAGAAGCTTTGGTATTCAAGGTATTCAAGGTATAATAGTGAGAGGGTGGTGAAAATATGATCTACTAAAACAAAAATCTTAAAATACATAATACTTGGGAGATATTCTTGCTGATGAGGACTGTTTTCAGATTGTGAAAACCATGAGTGCACTCTTACACAAGTGGGAAAGGAAAAGAGTGTTATAGTAGTGAGAGGGTGGCGAAAATATGTTCTACTAAAAAAAAAATCTAAAAAACATAATACTTGGGAGATATTCTATTGCACCCTTGCAATTCTTGCACCCGCTGATGACGAAAACGATGAGTACACTCCTACACAAGACGGAAAGGAAAAGAATATTATAATGATGAGAGGGTGGTGAAAATATGAAAATATGATCTACTCAAAAAATCTTTAAAAAATCATAAAACATGGAGATACTGATTCCTCAATTGTAAAATAGTAATGTACTAAAATTTACTTTTTTCCTAGTGTATGGTAATCAGGGATAATGTAAAGAATGAAAAATCTTATGAACAGACATTACACTAGATATAGATAGTCTAGAACCTTTTTGATTCGCATAATGAATTATAGGTGACTGTGTTGTCCTTTATTGTGACCCGTCTGAAGACAATCCACGCAAAAGGTTGTTGCACTATTTCATCGATAGCTTTGCAATCAACAGTTTCTTGCAATATAAATGTGATTTTAGGCCATATTCAGTAGTCATGTATCATATTTGCAGACCATGCATCCTGAAAGAAAATGTAGAAGGCAAAACCTACCTGTGCCGATTCCTCCACTTTATGTTGTATCAGTCCACCGAGGAACGGAACACGTACCAATTCCAACCTCTCCAGGTTCAGGCATCTGGCCAGATTGTCGATAAGAGCCACATACTTGAGAGCATTCAGTGGCCCAAAGCAGTTCCTCATCACAAATGATCTGAGTCCTGGACAGATGAAATTCTGGAAAGGTTGAGAACTGGTGAGTTCTACCCATTCCAAGACCACCTCTTGCACGTGTGGCGTCTCTGGCAGCTCTGGAAGCGTCACCCCGGTCAGATGCAGTTTCCGGATGTGGTAGCCGGGAACGAGAGTGAAGTAGGGCCGGCAGTCTGCGTCAAAGCAACCGCCCCTGTTGGAGAAGTGTCCCAAGTCCAGCTCTGGCATTTCATCCACGAGGGAATCCGCAAGGTCTAGACTGGATATCTCCACCTGCCGTAGGTTGCCGCATCGCTTCAACTCCTTGACGATACCCTGGGTCATCTGATCCGACCTGTTCAGATAGGGATGAAATCCTGCATTTTCTGGATAGATGTGCAGTCCCTGGATGACTTCCAACTTGGGGCACCGCTTCAGGATCTTTGTGAAAGCGGACAGGGTGAATCCCTTGGGGACGTATCCATGCCACATGTGTTCCGTGAGGTTGATCTCCTTCACCACCTTAAGGTACGAATGCACAGCCAGCTGGAAATGATGGTTCAACCTCTCGCAGGAGAAGATGGTCCTCAGCGGTAGATAATGAAAGATCTTCTCCAGGAGTTCTAACGAGAGTTGGCTGATGTAGTCCTCTCCTGTTATCTCCTCACTCTGATGAGCCCTGTCCTCTGATGAGACAGCTCCATCTCCTTTACTCATCCTCGTTTTCATCCGTTTCTGTGAACTTTTGGACTTTGCCTTGGGCATCGTTGATTGTGGTCTTCACACCCAATTCTTGTTTCAAAAAAGAAAATTATAAATGGTGACAAGTGTCAACATTTGGGTAAAATAGATGTTAAGAGTTTGTTAGGGTACAATAACTAGACCACAAAAAACACGAATTTCAATTGTTAATCCCTCTTATTTTTGGCTTTATTATAATATCTATTGGAGAGGCATTCAAACCAAGTCCGAGTCAGAGAAAGAATTAATTTCCCTTATCCTAATTTTTGTTTATTTTTTCAAATTATAAACAAAACCAGTCATGGATATAGATTGTAGATCTATGTAGTTAATTGGTAAGCTCAAAACTCATGTTTATCAAATAGACCTAAACAAAAGACGCTCGTTCGTTCGTGTCTCCTTAGATCAAGATTAATGAATCTTGATCTTCGAAGTAGTTGCTACAACCAGCCGTGTCAGACACGTTGCCCCGGGGTGCGAGATAGGACTCTTGTAGCGTGCTACAAGAGTAATTTACTGTCAATACGAAAGTGACACTAACAATGTTAGACCCAACAATCTCGAATTGTACAGAGCAAATGGGGGGGGGGGGGGGGGGAGTGATAGTCTACATCAAAGAGTTGCCAATCTTTGTTTAAATATGATCAGCATTCTTCCAGTATTTGCGTAAAGGTAAAGGTAAAGATATATCACAACTTCAAGAATTCAGAATTTTACTCTAATCAGATCATATTGCATGCTCAAACTGTCACCAATTATTTTCTTCTCATTTTTCTGCTTTTGTAAAAACCAACTCAATATCTGGTTGGACTTCCCCTTGCCTTGGCTTTAAAAGATTTATGAAATATTGAATGCAAACTTCTTCAAATTACTGTTTTAAATCAACTGTCCGGTTACACAATCTAACCGTATCGGACGCACGTCTAAATAATAAATTACAATACAAGAATGAATACAAGATTCCTGATTTAGCACCAAAAGAGCTGTGTCTAGACCAAATTAGACATGTGTTGTTATGACTCTGGGAAGCTCTGACGCCGATGCCGTCGGAGCTTCCCGGAGTTAGTGTTGTCACTGACTAAGTTACCGTCATTTATGAAAGAAAAAAACAAGAAATGATCCCGAGACTGAGTCTGACTCTGAGAGAACATGTCAATGGGCCTAGACAATAATTGTCTGAACAGAAAGAATGAGATTGAGACATGTTGTGAGCTGAGAGTGTGTGTGAGAGTGAGACTGAGAGACCAAGAGAAGATCAGTGCAGTGAATGAGTGATGATGATAAAATGAGCAGATGAGTGAGACTGAGATGAGATCGACTCACTGAGCTGAGGTTTAATTTTGTTTAACTCTGACAGTTATAAATAAATGTAGGCTTGCTCTAGGTCTTACCCAAGACAAAAACAGTTCAAATCTATCAGGCTGCACTCCCTAATCAAAGCAAGACTCTAAGAGTCAAAGTAAAACCAAAAGGACAAACTGATGAACCATCTTGAACCTTCCGCACAAGTATCGTAATGCCTACATATAGAATATGCATCGCATTATTGATAACTGGTCTAGACTACATTGTGAAACTTGGGTAATATTGATTTCGTAATATTTCAAATAGTACGATGATTTACCTATGTTTTTGTATTCAATTTTTTAAAGTAGTCTAAATAATTAATTTCTATTTTACTAATGTAGAATTTTAATCTAGAATGTGATATTAAATATTAAAACACCAACAAAATCCTGTTTTAAAGTTAATTTATTATCGATATGGTTCGTGATAATCGATTAAGCAGAGTGTGCATGCTTGTCAACTGCTGCGATGCTGGAAAACTATTACAATTTCTTATAAAAAATGGCACGTTTCTTACATGAATCTAATCTGACTAGTGCCATAAAAGTTATAAAGGACTATGAGAAGGAATCAGATGCAAAATTTGCTGTCACAGTCCAGCAAAACTACTGTCAACAGGGAGAGTTTGGAATGCCACCCCACGGTAAATTTCTTAGTGTGGTCCCATTTGTTTATATTTACGTGATGATGGTGAAAATTATGATATTGATAACAATTATTAATTAACAAATGATGATGGTGATGATGATGATGACGAACATGATGATGAGGGGCGCTGGTCCGAGAATGGGGATCGTCCACATAAATGAGGTAGGATCGTCTTCGTAAACATGGAAAGACGAGTCTGCGTGGTGGCAATGCAATGCGAAAAACGGATTCCGCAATGATTTTTCTTGATGCATTTTAAATTGACTTTGTACAAGGACTGTCACGTCATGAGCGATAAATCCTCAGACAAACCATAAAAGTAGACAGTGAACTGGGGTTATTTTCTTACCCGGAATCCGTTTTTCGCATCTCCAGCGTGCGGTTTGGGAACCCGAAACCCGCAGAGCATGAAGAAGTTTGCACATTAATTGAGCACTGTACAGTGAGCCGATCCGCTTGAGTGGCTTTGAATTTAAGTGAGAGAAGGCCTACCTAACTTAAGCGCAACTTAAGTTACAAATAATCTTTCCATAGATATCTTCATGAATCATAGTTACAAATGAGTAGATTCCTATGTTATGATGATTCCACAAGTTACATATATATAAGTAGGCCTACATATATTAAAGTCTAGTTGGTTTTTAGAAATGTTTGGGTGAGCTGTACAACTTGTGTAGTTGGGGACAACGCAGTAATTAATGCAGAGCCAGGAATGACTACTGTCACGTATAATGGAACCATGCAGTCGACAGTCATGCCATAGTTGTAAATTGAATGATCTTTAAAAGGGATGAGTGCACATTTATTGTGTCTTTCCTTTGTAAGTCCCTAGGCCTAGCATTTGAACAACAAAGGTTTTATATCAATAGCAATCAAGAGAATACCATTCATAATCATTCCACTGATTCTAATCTTGAATTCATTTCATCAGATGTTGAGGAGGTACTGAGACACAAAGTGATGTTTGAGGAATTACCTCTGAATGGCATTCCTCATGTCATGCTAGGCCTCAAGAAATTCACCTGTCAACATGGACCTAAACGCAAGTGTGATATCAAGAAATCTAAAATGGTAAGTAACTTTAGCACAAAGAAATGCAATACTATCATTAATCTTACGTTAAAGGCTTTACCATGTCATTCTGTTTTATCAAGGGTATTGATATTTCATTGCAAAATGATATATAAATGTCCAGTTTTTGTAAAAATTTTCTTAGAAATGTAAAAAACTAACCGAAATTATGTTCAATTAAATGAATTTCTCATTTCAGATGTATTTGGGGTGATTTTAATTTAATTTTTATTAATGTTATTGATTTCTTAATATAAACTTTCTTTGGTTGATATATTTCTTTATTTTTGACATCATTTAGGAATTGATATTTAGGTTGCAACTTACAAACTGTAAAGTGCTTGCTTCTGTGTAGGCTATAGACTCTCAGACCTTTGTTAGCATAGTTATCATTAATTGGAGCTGTTTGAAAGACTTTCAGCATAAGATAAGAGTAAAGACAACTAATAACTTGCATTCCCTTTTTTCCTTCATATATACAAATTGTGCATAAAGTTCACATCGAGCTCAAACAGATGTTTTGAATAAAGATTTGCTTCATAACGTTCCCACATTTAGTATGGAATCCATTTTAAAATAGAATTTTAATTGATATACTTGTGTACATTTTAATTTCAGTCGCAGTCTGAAGATAGTGAAGCAGGAAAGAAATCTGCCAATAGTAAGAAGTTTGGCTGCACATCAGTCATTCTTATGCACAGTGTGTGGGTTTTCCCCGAATTCAAGGTAACGTTTTGTTCTACTTTGAAACATATTGAATGCTATTTTTACTTTTATATTTGACTAACTGATTTGTAAAATAGGTACTGGTATATATACCTACTACATCCATGAATTAATAATTTAGACGTGATTTAAACATGCATGCTATGTTGTGTGTATTATCTTAGCTTTTCTAGATTTGTCATATTTTCCCTAAATAATCACAAATTAATTTCAAAATAAAGAGAGGGGTCAAGATTCTATTTTTGTAATGTTTGGCCCTCTTTTAAAGTCTACATCTGTGTCATATTATTAGCCCTGATGGACGGACTCAACACTAACAGGCACCTGGAACCCCTGAGATTTTGATAATTTTTCATAAGGCTGATACAAACAGACCCCCTACCTAAATATGGAGCCCTGTTAGTTATACTGTGAGAGAGTTACCAACATTTATCAACATTTAATGAGAGAAAAAATGTGAATAATCAATTAATCATGCTGCAATTTCTCATTGTTTTATCTTGACAACTGGACAAGGTGTTTCATGGAATCAAACCTCGCAATTCCTAAATCAAATTTTATTTTCAAAAAGAAAAGCTTATAATTTATTACTCAAATGATGTAAAATGTATCAAAATGATTTTGAGCAGTTGAAAAATACCTGCAAAGTCCTGTATTATGTGCTTTTTGTTATCTTGCGGATGATAATTAGTTGGGCCAAATTTTATATTGTTTCATTTGGACAGATTCCCAGTGACACCCTGTGGCATCGACGAGAGACATCCAAGAAAATCAAGAATCAATTGGAGCAAAAGGAGTTGATGGGAGAGCACAGAATCTATGTTAATCTTCCAGATCCGAAAGCTCACTCTAACCATCTATCGGAGCAGGTAAACAAATTTTGGCAACTTTGCATGATTGGCAAGCTATTTCTATCCAATATGTATATTTCTATCAGGGAATCATAATTTTCTGTGTTTTTTTCAAGATCTATTCCATGTGAAATGTGGTCTAGATTGGAGAATTTGGGGCAGGAGTTAAAAATTGCAGAGTGTATTCAGGGATAAAGTGATGATGTACAGTATGCTAAGATATAGATTTTGATATGCTGCATATCAAACACCAGGGGTGGGGGAGAGATGTCTGAAGAACCATTTCATTGTAAAAAGTCTGGGAGAAAGAAATTGTAGTTGTTCTAATGTAGGAACAATCCCCAAGTAGGTTGAAATTGTATTCCATTGAGCCAAAGAATAGAGAGTCAAAAGCTTTCACATTTACACATTTTCTAAAAAGAAATTGGTTGTTAATGTATTAAAAAACTATGTGACTGTTATGTAAAGTGAATGAAATTGCTGTAAGAGAATATATTTATAAGGAAGAATTTTTTCTCACTTAAAGCATTTCCTTTCTTTTATGCAGGCTCTTGAATGGAAGGACTGGAAGAAAGATGGTAATTATTTTGGAAAACTTTTAAGTACATTTTACTAACTGCTCATGAGAAAGGGAGTAGCAAACACACAATAATCTTTTCCATCATTTGTAGATTTAAACAGTTTAGTACTGTAGCAGACCTGCCAACCAGTATGATTAGTCGTATTTCGTACAATTTTTAGAACCCAATATGACAGTACCATTTTTCTCAATAAAATACGCTTTTCAATAAACACATCAGTCGTGACGAAATCATGCATATTCAACCAATGATCCATAAAAAAATTCTACCTGTATGAAGGAACTGTAATGGCATTGATCTGAGTAACAGTTCATGTTTATTTTTTAAGAATACAACTTATGTCAGTAAAATACAACTTTGGGGATTAAAGAATACAGTTTTTGAACTCCAGATGTTGGCAGGTCTGCTGTAGGAACAGTGCTGGTCTGCTGTAGGAACAGTGCTGGTAAAACACTGTACTCATGTGGGTTTATCACCTAACTGTTTGTAATGTGAACGAGCATTTCAGTTTATTTTTGTAGACCCTTTCACTAGCTGTCACAAGATGTATTTATGTTTGATGTGGAAGTCTTGATACAAGACTGATTTGAGATGAGATTCAACATGGATTCTGGCATTAACCAACAGCCCAGCATTTATTTTCTTTATTTTCCGTTCTGTACTAAATGTTGAGAAAAGGAACCTGGGATTATAGGCCAGGAGTAGGTCCGTCTGATCACAATGACAGGAAATGTTTGTATCCTTGTTTTATTTTATGTGCCATTCAGTCAAAGAGCGAAAGAAGAAAAAGCGTGAAGAGAAATTGATTCAACTAGCTGAGCAACAAATGCAGGAAAAGGAAGAAATGTTGTCTAACGAAAAGGAGGAAAATGAGTTGGCGGAAAATGGTAAGCTAGTAAATTGTTTTATTCACTGATTTATAGATGGAAAGTTGCATTTGGATTGATTGATATTGATTTGACATAGGAAGCTGAAAAATCAAGTGAATGAATGTTCATAAGCAACTCCAAAAATGCAGCTTGCTTGCATATGTTTCTAGTCAGTATCAAGTGGTTTGATAGATAGTATGATGATGTCATACTTTTGCATCATTCCATAAATGTATTATATGACTTATTATTAGCAAAAGATAAATTTCTTTCGGCATATATCCAAAGCTCGACAAGAACAGGCGCCCAGAACACATGAGTACACAAAATCAGTTAAATCTGTACCCTCTTCCAAAGATGATACTGTAGACCTCTGTTGTATGTTGTATTTCTTTTTCAGAATTGTATTTATTGTATTTTTGTTGTAAATTGATTTCAGGCAGACCATGGACACTCTCTATCGCTCTTCCTGGATCAATACTAGATAATGCACAGTCACCAGAGCTTAGGACATACCTGGCAGGTCAGGTAAGGTACCAATTCGATTCTACAAAATTGAT